AGAACGTTCCTCTGACAATCGTCAAGAAGTTCTGTGAAGGTGTTGGTCTTCGACACTAAACGCTCTTCCGTAGGTACGGATTGAGTGGGAGTGTTGAACTTGGACTTATCCGGTCCGTACTACACGAGGCTATGCGTCTCCTAGCGCTTAGCTGTAGTCGCTTATGTAGTATGTTACCATATTTGGGACTCTCTGCTCGTGTACTATAGCTATGCTTCCGGACTCTTCTGGTACTGTCTAGGACAATCTATACTACTCCAGAACGGTCTAGACAGGTCTATGCCTTACTCATCTCTTACTCATCCTATGGTGCGATACGTCGCAATTCTTTCGTTGTTGTATTATTCATCGCACTATGGTACATGTGACTAACCACTCTTCGATTAGTCATGGACACTTCTCTGTAGTATATAAGGACTTCAGATTGCGTCCTCCCTCTTCAGTCTTTCCTTACTGACTGAAGAGTGAGTACTTCCTTACATCTACTCTCTAACTTGTAGTTACTTACTTGATCCTTTGTAGTCTTGCTTCGACTCTAGGTACAGTTGGTTACTGCAATATAGTCTTTCCTTACTGACTGAAGATCTTGCTTCGACTCTAGTCGGATCTAATCTTTGTCTTCACAGCCCCGAGTTTATCAGATATGTACCATATCCTACTCAGAATTCCCAAATGATCGGCGGTCCACGCGTGTTTTTGGTATTCTCACTCTCACTTTATGTCGTCTCAAGCACGAGTTCTGTCTCTCAACTTTAAGCAGTATACATTATTATCTTCGCAGTGGAATGGGCACAAACCCTCATCATCATGGACGATGCTTTCGACAAATATGCATATAATTTCGGCGACGTCAACAAGCTTGTCGAACTGCGTAACGCATGGCTTAGCGGCCCGTTCCTTGGCGGTGTTGTAGGCGCAGCGGTGCAGCTCTTCTATGCCCGCCATATCTGGCTTCTCAGCAAGTCAAGACTATTGGTGGTAGTGTTCTCTGTGCGGTCGCTGGCGGCTCTGACGGAACACCCTCAGGCCTCGGCCGTGGACCCTGGTCACACAGTGTTACCCACATGTGATATCATGTGCAGCCCTAACCCTAGGTGTAACTGTTGGCCAATCAGCATGCGCAAATAACGAACCTTCTGCTACTACATAGCAGCTTGTCTTCTTTCGTGACTTGCTTCACTGTTTGTCCATGGAAGGACTCAAGGACATCCATCGTATGTACCTATAGGAACACGACACTGCCAACATGCTAATGTGTTCAGTCAGAATTCCTAAAGGGGAGGTGGGGCGCAGTCGACGTCCCATCACCAGTAAACATGGGAATCACTTAATGCATCTTAAACACGTTTTTAAGGGCATTAAGACGCCTAAGACGGCATTAAGCGTCAGTAAGTCGTAAGAGTTAAGGTGCTCAATTAAGATGGATTAAGGCAATTAAGATGGGCGAGTGCAAAAACGTTCTGCATCGTCATCGCGCACGCCGGCCTCTGTCATGATGTCTGTACAGGCTCCAATTGATCTCTCTTGGTCTCTCTCTCTGCTACACTCCATTTTTTGGCTCGCTGTATGGAGTTGAGGGTGAGCAGCTCGAAGATATGCATGGGAGAGCTAAGTGGCTTAAGGCGCTAAGCTATTAAGCTAATGCACGGTTTACTGATGTCATCCGCCGGTGGAGGGAATCAACCTTTTGCGGTCGCTCCCACAGGTATCCGCCGAGGGACTCGGCTTGACACTCGTGCTCCATCCCCTCCTTCACAAGTACCCGCGCGTAGCGGGAGTCCATGGAGTTGTGTCGACTTGCGCTCCGAATGGAAACATGTTGAGGTCGTGGAGAGTCAAAGTGGTCGAGGCTTCCCCGGTACCTAGCTCTCGTTCGGAGACTGGCACGCACCGTGCCAACTGCAGCCCACCCATTTCATCCAGAATATGAAAATCTGTTGCGGCTCCCCTCCGGGCAGACGCACGGTAGTTGTCGTTCTCGGATCCAATCTCCGCAACCTACTATGCTCGTCAACTCTTTGCAGGTTCCTTCTATGACCTTTATCGATCTTCCAACTTCAAGTGCGTTTTAACCCGAGTTTGTCTGTGATGCAATGTCCTCCGGTCCGCTCTCATGATCTAGTACAGGCATTCTCCCTCTCGTCGCTGCACTGGACAACATTGCGATCCCACAGCTTGAGGCATTCTTGGCACCGCCTGATGTGAAAAGACACACTCCGACTATTCACCATGCATCTACTGGAAATCCACCCTGGTAGTCTTCAGAGGGTTCAATCACGTCGAGACTCATCGCGACTGGGACGACGCCGCTCTATTGCGCGAGCTCGCAAGTGCATACGACGAGTTACGGACGCGGGGCGGGAAGTACTTATCCTTCGCGGACCTCTGGTCAGCAACGCTGCTGGCTCGCCTACTGCGGGCTCGCTCCTTGCAGAACTACAATTTCCGCTACCACCGGTATGTTGCTGCGGTCAGGGTCAGTCCAGTGAGGTCATCCCTGAGACGTTCGCCAACAAGTCTGAATGTGGGGCTGGCTGCAGGACGTTTTGCTCAATACCATAACGCTTCCAGGTCGCATGACGGTGCCTGTGCTAATTCGAGGTTGATCGGTTCTAGCTGGTGTGGCGCTGTGCATCCGGGTTTCGGTAGTGTACGAGTGACGGCTTCGTCGTCATTGGACTACTTTTGGCTGGGGCCACCTGAGCGTCCTCCAAACACCGTAGCACCATATCATAGCCAAGAGGTCGCAAGTCATTTAGACGCGATGCGCTTGTTGCTGTCTCCTTGGGGGAACACAGGCGATGTCTTATCGAACAGCCCTCATCACACAGAATTGTAAACGGTGAATACACATTGGTATTTGTCACAGATATCTGGAGCTCAAAAAGGGGTATGTACAGGTAGATGATGACGAGGGGCCTTCAGCAAAGCGTGTCCTCGAAGTCCGTCACTCAGTTCGCATCGCCTTCTCTTTCCCGCTGCGCTGACGGCCGCGCGCACCACGGGCACGACCTGCCCTCGCGTTGCTTGACGCTTGCGGGATGCTTCTCTCGTTCCTGCCAGGCTGCATTCGAGACGGGCCAGCCGCACCACCGCCCACGGACCGGGTGTTGCTCGCTGGGCCGCGCCAGGACTCCACGTTGACGGCAGAGTGGCCGAGCGAGTGGAGCTCTCTCATAGAGACCCTCTTCGCTAGAGTGCTCCCCGACGTGCCGACCAAAGTCGTGGCAGCCTTCGTGCTAGATGCACTGACTCGAGTCCCCGACACAGCTGTCTTCCGACGCTTTGCCTCTTGGAATGGGCTACTGTCGGGGGCGTCGTCCGGCTGATCTTCAGAGTCGGAGTAGTCTAGAATCGCCTCGACCTGGTCGGCCTCGATTAGGGAGACATCGTAGTTTCTAGTGGGGCTGCAAAGGGTGAACGAAGGGTTGGTCTCGATCAAGCGGGCGGGGTTGGGGGCACCAATGAAGTTCGCGTTGCCTTTGCGGCCATGCATGCGGACCCTGCGATCCTCCGAGATCTCATCATAGGGCTCGAAATCCTTGGTTTCATCATCCATGTCGGTTTCTGAATCGCTTCCGGTCCTACGGGCCTTCTCACCCTCCCGTTTCCGTTTAGAGGCCCCATGGCGCTGATGCGCACGGCGCTGCCCTGAGGAGAGTTCGTCCTTGATGCGAGTGTCTGGAAGCTTGTAGGCCTTGGGCGCATCCTTCGCGGGCCATAGATTCCGATACCCGTCCGAATCTAGTACTTTGTCGAAGATCGCAAGTACCTCATCGTAGTCGAGCGGCTGGTCGTCCGACAACAACTTCTGGACACATAAATCTCCAAATTCCTTCAGGAGAACGGTCAAGGGGACGTTATCGCGTACGCGGAGATCCTTGCGGAGGCGTCCAGAGAGCCAGCTGTATTTCGCGGCAAGGGAAGCCCGCTCGCCGGGATCGAAGATGTGTGGGCAAGCTTCGTCACCCTTGGGATGAGTGTGATCTGTGTGGCGAAGGACGACCCAGAGGATGACCCAGTAGAACGACTGCAAGTCGTGGTGAAGCCCATGGATATCGCCTTCATCGCCCAGGAGCTGGATAGCCATGAAGTAGAACGTTCCCTGACAACCACGAGGGAAATCAGTAATTGATACGGCTAGAATGCTCATCATGAGAACCCACCGTTCTTTCCTTGAGCTCACCACCATCGTCATCACCAAGCAAAAGCTCGGACAATGCCGCCGCGGATAGGGAAGCGATGTTGGCAGCTGGGAACTCGCGACTCATAGAGGAATAATCGAAATCATGGATGAAACCTATGAATGAATCTTGTTCTGCCGGGTCGTCGACAATGAGTATGTTGTTGACGCTCACATCCCGGTGGAGGATGCCCGCGCGGGTCATAGCAACACGATGTCCTAGTAAAGACTTGCTATGAGTCTATCCAGCCACATGAACTGCGATTGTAATTAGACGTACCCCGAATCGCATCCCGAATGGCAGCTGTCATCTCCCGAGTGTTCCGGAACTTGATCAGAGGTCGTCCAACTTTGTCGACCACGAAGCGCATATGGCTTCGTTCGCGATGCCAATACTCAGACCCCCGAGATTGACGCCAAGTGAACGTCTGCTGCATCGGACGGTGCGCAGGAAATTGATCGCAGGCCAACCGAGGGGAGAGGGATGGCGGAGGTATGGATGATGAGGCGATATTTGATACAGGCCCCGACAAGCGACTCTGGTGGTCTGGTACTGGGGCCCCGTACAGATGTGACTCCCATTGACGCACCTCACGCTCTCCCAGATCCCCACCGAAGACAAGACTAGGGACCCCCACGTGCTCAGTCGAAGGTACCCTTGACAGGCGTGCATAGAAATCCTTCTCCGAACGTCGAACGACTTGTCGCCACGCGTCTTTGACAATCCGCACCTTCAGGTCTTCCGCCGGAATCCTGTCCACAAATAGGTCAACGAGGCGACCGTTGACCAAGCTACGGGTGTCACGGATTCCCAGCCACACGGTGGTCGCTCGAGAGAACAGACGGCCGTTGACGTCGAGCGCCTTGAAGAGGATGTATGCAGCGGACACACCCGCATTCCCTGACACATCGTCATTGAAGACCTCGGCCCGACGGGCTTCGGAGGACAAGAGCCCCTCACTGCTCACCCCGGCGAGCTCCAACCGATGCTTAAGCCATTCCTCGTCATCAGGCGTCAGCCTGCGAACGGTCGGGTCGCAGCCCACCACGGTTTCGCCGTCGTTGGGGTGGGCAAAATTCCAGAAAAACCGTTGGATGATGCGGAGGTCGTCGACCTCACCCAGCGACAGGGGTTGGGAGAAAATAGCACCGGCGTGGTCGAAGCGAGCAATGCGCACTGTGTCGCCGTAAACACCAACGACAAAGGCAGCAAGGAGGCTGTGAGCATGCAGGAGATTTCGAGCATTTACAGCGAGCTGGACAAGGGTCTTGCAGTACTTGAGCCCCTTGCCGCGGAATGGATCCTCATTCTCGGCTTTCAGTTCGACGATCATGGAAAACCGTGACCAGTCGAGATGTGAGGTCTCGGCGTCCAGGATCTGACCAGGAAAAGAGACAGCAATGTCCGGATAGGACTTGTGATGGTTGGAGGAGAAATCGGCGTAGGGGAACCGCTGAAATTGGGTATGACAGTCGAAGAACGACAGCTTCTTCTGGTCAGGGAATGAAGCAACGAGCGCATTGAGACCTTCGATCTGATTGAATGTGAGTCGGGATATTTCACAGGTGTATGAAATCTACGTACGAAGGAAGCATACGTTTCGACTTCACCACCCTTGACAGGTTTGAAGTCGTCGAACTCCTTGCCACTGACATCCGCGCAAGTGCACGGAGTGCTTGAAGGAACGTATGTTTCCAGAAATTCGCTCCCCGTATCTTCTGAGAGGTTGAGCTTGCCTCTAAGCTCCTTCTTCCATCCTTCGAGCACGTCAGGGTCGCCGATGCGGGTGCCTTGTAGGTTGACAGGATTGTTAGAGGCTCTGAGAACCACAGGGGTAGATTGTATGCCGCTCATACCTGAGCTCCCAGAGCAGAGGAAGCTGCTACTGAAGCAACTTGTTGAGATAGACATTTTATAGTGTCGGAAAGTGGCTGCAGAGTCCGTGATAGTGGTTGGAGAGAACAATGGTGGGGCACAAGCGCTAATATATTAGGAAGGTCAGCACACGTTCAGCCCAGAACGGAACGTTCCGGGCCATTTGACGGCGGGAAATCGTAGATGAAATCTGCTTACCCTCCCAACGTGTATGGTGACGGTGGGGTGGCCCTAAGCAAGGGTGCTCTATCGTCACGCGGGGGGCTCACCGGACAGCGGCTTTGCGACCGCTAAAAAGATCTACTCTCGATCAATGGATCTGTAACACAAGCGAAATGGCAGTACGGCAAAGCTGAAAGTTTGTGCAAGCTGCTGAGCGTTCAAGTCATATGGTAACTCGGACCCTAAGACACAGTGCCCGGCGAGTCAGTCGCCGCATCGAGGTGAGTTGTGAGCCATGTTTGCGGCAGCATACCTTTTGCTCTCGAATTCGCGTATTGAGTTTATCGGGAATTCTACACCAAATGTGATGTTCCGACGTTGGATGAGCCACCCACGCAATCGTGCTCTCGCCAAGCCTGATGCGGTAAGCGCTAACGAGCAGGCGATGTTGAACTTCGGAACCAACAAGCGCTCATCGGGCCGAGGACCGGAGCGGTGGTACGGCTCACGGTCAAGCAGGAGCAGAGCTATGAACTTGGTCGGGCACCAACAGGTTTATGAGGGCCTTGCACCAAGCTGTAGCCCTAAGGTAAGGCGGAATGCTTCCTCGCTCTAGTCAGCGCCATCTGCACTTCAAGCAGTCAGCAATCAACGCCGTCTGGGACCAGAAGCTGCGGATAGTGAGGTACTGACTAACCACTGGGTCCCGTGTGCGTGCGGAGTCGGTCATCATTTTAGTGAGCGTGCACCTCTCACTGCGCATTCCCGGGACTCCAGTACAGCAGCAAGTCGTGGGTCCTTGGTGCTTTTGGTCCCCAGACTTACACCAGACGTCAATATGAATGCCCCCCACAATCGTGTAGCTAGTTTGTACGTCCGAGTCTTCGCACATGCTACTTCTCAAGCATCCTCCAGGGCAGTACTGATTATGGTGCACCAGGGCTGGTCTACAGGCACGCGCATGTAGCAATTAGCTCGTTTCCGCGACTAATTAGATTCTCATGATTAGATTCTAGGCGAATACTTGAATTGGGGCTTAAAGGGGGTACTCAGTTTGTAAGTCTGTGAGTGCCATAGCGTCTCTTCAAATCAGCAGGTCTAAATGTTCGTCAATCTCCCTTACAGATCTGTACCAAAATTCTTTTCCCAAATGAACGACGGCCCACGCGTGCTTTTGGTACTCCCACTTTCTGTCATCTGCACTGAAGTACGAGTTCTGTCTCTCAACTTCATACAGTATACGTCATTTTCGCAATTGAGTGGGCACAAATTCTCATCATCATGGACGATGCTTTCGACAAATATGCATATAATTTTGGCGACGTCAACAAGCTCGTAGAACTGCGTAACGCATGGCTTAGCGGCCCGCTCCTTGGCGGTGTTGTAGGCGCAGCGGTGCAGCTCTTCTATGCCCGCCGTATCTGGGTTCTCAGCAACTCAAAACTATTGGTTGGTATTGTGTCTGTCGTAAGTACTTCAAAGCACAGGTCAGCTTCGATTTGTTTCAAACTTAGTCTTGCGTGATGTCGACCTTCGTAGTTATCGCTTACACAAGGCGCAGCAGGCATTGCAGGAGGTATACTGGTAAGGAATTCAATTGATACCCATTGGTCTTTGACCCATCTATCCCTATCATAGCTTAAACATCGCTCTGAAGTGCAAGCAGCATTCAAGTCAGACAAGGCGTTGCCTGGTATTTCGGTACGTGACCAGTGCCTGAACAGAAATAGTCCACGACCACATAATTGATTGATCTCATCGGAAAATTACGACTATACAGATATGGATGGGCGGTAGTGCCCTCGCCGACATCCTGATTGCAGTATCAATGACAATTCTGGTACATTTCGCTAGCTCTCTGTTCCACGCTCGTCCCACCAAGGCACTCGTACTTGTAGCTACTCAAGAGTCGAAGCGGCCTTCGAGAGATGGATACTATGGTCAAGAAAATCATCTTGCTGGTAATCGAGTCCGGGACTCTCACACGGCTGCTGTGGCTGTGGCTGTGGTAGGCGTCGTTCTCTTCGCGGCACTCCCCGGCACAATCTACTACGAATTCCCGGCTGTGATTCTGGCCAAGCTTTACGCGAATACAATGGTCACCTCACTTAACGACCGAGCATTCCTCACAATACAGAATCAAAGCTCTGCGACTACCTATGGCAGCACAAATTCTGATACTATATACAGCCGAATGTTCAGGACAACGACGGCAACGGATGCAGCAGCAACAACGACCGTCGACTCAGTGCGGCTTGACGTACTCAGCGAGGCAGATTTTGACCCCTCGATCCCACACCATGAAATGGATACGTACACGCGGGTACGTGCGCCACTAAATCCGCATAGACAGTGCCGGGAGCTGACCGGGTAATATCAGCTGGAGAAGGTAGTCTCAGATTCCAAGGTTTGAGCAGCGATCTTAGCACGAGTCACAAAATAATTGGTGTTATCATGGCGTACGGGGGATAGTGCTAAGAAAAGGTCATATCAAGCCCCGTAGACAGACGACTGTTACGAAATGATGGAGCGGCAAGCGCTGTTGCTCCCTGCAATCCGCATACCTTGAGCAAGGCCTGGATGAACATCTCATCGCGGCTCTAGTATTAAGATTTGAATCTGGTCAGATCTGCTGCGCACTATGGAGAACAAGGACCAAGCTGCTTCCACCATTGTTGCAAGGCCTCAGGTCATGACCGAGTCCGAGATCGTATCACGTCAAGACCTTCAGTTTAATCTCGACTTACTCCTGCTCAACGGCTTGCTAGTTGCCTCTCTGTCCACATTCACGTAGTAGACGAGTATTATGAGAAGTTTTCGAATTTTCTTCATGCACGGGAACAGCACGTACGATGACTTCCAAGTGATGCCACGCGTTCTCGGGCCTAAACAAGCTAGTGGTCAGGCCATTATGGACGCGGTATGAAACAAGCTGCGGGGAGATGCGGCTCGAGGCCTCGGGCTTCCAAAAATCCGAAATATTGTGGGTGATACCTTGAGTCAAAGATACGAGTAGTCACTTTCAACGCCACCAGTTCAAAACTTGGTCGTTGCTCACGGAAAGTAGAATGCTAAGGCGCTGGATCGGCTTACATACGTCTTGGGCGTTGGCACTGCCACGTCGTCGAGGTAAACGCCGGCGTAACGTGGCGCTGCTCGTTGCCGCGACCCCTCATCTCAACCGTCTCCCGCGGACTATACATTGGTCGGACCGGCATACCGTAAGTATTGTGGACGACGGCGACGGTGTCGTGATGAGAGTCCACAGTGAACTGAACACTCCCGTTCCAGGCGGGATCCTCTTACACATGTCCTCGGAAGTGGTAGAAGCGTCGACGTCTGCTCTTGCACACGGTCCGGATCCATTCGCTGACCCACCGGCTGCAATTGAGAAAGGGAAGAATGTGCTGCGGCATGAAGAGGAAACACGTCATGATGAGAACATACAAGCGTCCATAGAAGAGATATGGTACCTCAAAGAGATATCCTTCAGACCGGTCCCGGAGGCGGCCCCACGAATGTACAAGATCATTACCCAGAACTTCAACGGGTCAGTGGTGATTGTTTCTGCTGCTTAAGGCTAGACTGACCGCCTATTATAAGGCCGTGCTCATTCATTGCTATTTGTGCGTGCGTCGTATGTTGAAATGGCCCAGGGTAATAATTGACATGGCAATGCAGGCAACATCCTTATTTTGCGGGACAAGATCCAGATTCTACCTTACGACAGGCCCACCGTCTCCTATGAGCACTTGTCTCACCTCGTAGCAGAGTACTTGCTTCTCTCATGTCCGGACGTAGATATATCCGCCGCGCTGTCCATCATGCCAGCTACTCGAAGTCAGTACACGAGCATCATCATTTTCTGCCACATCATTGAGGTTGGCGTCTACAGAGGGCATGGACTTGAACCCGCTGTTCACCGGATCAACTTCCTTCCGCCCCGCAGGCGCGGGTGGCGAGCTGAAGCTCTTCGAGCAAGCTGGAATCAAGCTCGTCCACGGATGGCTAGTCGACCCATCCAGCCCCGAATACAGGGCCATCTCGCGGGTCGAGGACTACGACTCCGCCGTGAACCTGCTTGTAGAAGCGGACTACCTCACGAAGGGCCAGTTCGTGATTGCCGAGGACGAGCACGGACCCTCGTCTTCCGTCGGGCCGTCGGGGTCCCGTTCTAACACCTACGACCTAACGTCCGAACAACAACAGAAGATCGAGGAAGGTACACATTGCTGCACTCTGCACTATCCCATGACTGACAATGCACTGGATCCGGCAGCCCTAGTAGTCCGCTCCTTCATCGAGTCCACTTCCTCTCAACTGACGTACTACGGCCTCTTCGACCTCGCCTCCTCCCTCCCACCCAACTCCCTCGTTGCCCTCTTCCGCAACTCCCACCTTTCTGTGCTCTACAAGTCCCCTGACGCCGACGGGGCGCTTTACGCGCTCGTCACCGACCAAATCTTCCTGCACGAGCCGTCTGTCGTCTGGGAAAGACTGGAAGACGTCGACGGCCAATGGTCCACCTTCGTGGACTCGCAATTCATCAAGTCCAGCCCGGCCGGCGGCGACTACGCCGGACACACGGCGGAGAGCGCGCTCGCGGCTCTGGAGCAGCAGGTGGGGGGACTGACGTTGGCAGATCGTGCCGAGTACGTCGTCTGGCTCTCTCGCTTTCCCGTGATCTGCGAATGCTAACGGCTCGCCATTGGACAGCGAGGCACTGGCACTCCAGCTGCAACAAGCGGAAGAACAGCGCATGCAGGACTACTATGCGCGCCAGGAGCTGCTGCGTGCGGATAGGGAACACGATCAGCGGGCGCGAGAGCACGCGTCGCGCAGCCGCGCCGTCGAGAATGCCACGCGGCCTAGGAAAAAGGACTGTATTATTATGTGATCTGATACTCCGCGTTACTCCCTTGGGTTACAGTATATTGTATGTAAGTGAAATGCGTTATTCAAGCACATGAACGCAGATGAGGCCACGGTGCGGCCGGAAGCCATCTCGGCGTGAATGAGCAGAGCGGGTGCCGAAAGCTCCTCCTTAGCTCCAAATTGGCTTAAAACACACCCAAAACGAGCGTTCTCGTGGGCCCCAACAACAGGTATGAATGTAATTGATACCAAAGAGCAACCAGCTCATGACGAATGCGTCGCGTCTTTTGTTCTGGGCCAGATCATGTAGGCAGCAATCTAAGGCACTTCCAGCTCCTCCGGCCCGGCTCGTGCCACCTCACCATTGTGCCAGAACCACCGTTACTGTTTCTTTTGGAAGGAATCTGCATGAATCAACGTTTGTGAAGGGCTGCCGCAACAATCGATACCGCAACTCGCCAATCACATTACCTGTGCTAACGATCGACTCCACACTTAGCTTCAGCGGTGAGTTGGCCTGATCAGGCCCAGCCCCAACGTCATAAACGTCGCTTAGTCTCGGACATGAGGTTTGCCTCATCGGCTAAGGCTGCGGCAAGCTCATACGAGCGTCTTCAAACTTTCCATTGTCCCGTCTTCTAGGAATTTCTCGCTGACGTCAACCAGACTCATCCTGACCGATTCCTAACCACAGCCAACACTACGCTCTATCAAATGTCAATCTCTACCTCCTCTATTTGCGGTTCCAGTTGGGACTCAGGTGGGTCTCTGCAAGTCATCTCGCGCAGCTGCATATTCCTGACAAAAGGTACCCAAGCGGCCGACACCGAGCAAGACAGCAAGGTGGTCCAGCAAGGATGGGGGCGAGAGCTCACAAACTGCGTCAACGAGGCTCCCGAGGACCTCGACGACTACCTCACTGTTTATGTCCCGAGCCACTCCGATCCATCAGAGGACATCAGGGCTCACATCAAACCCAACCTCTTCGACAAGTGGAATCCGGCCAAAAGGAAGGAAGCGGTGATGTACAACCATTTGGTGTGTTTTCGTCGTCCTGGTACTCCGCTGTCCTCTTCCTAACCACCGTCTAGATCGATGCCTTCGACAGTCTCGTCGAGCAATTCCCAAAGCAACGCCGTCTCACATTCTGCGACTGCGCTGACCAGAAGATCTCCTTTCCCTTCAAGGACCACGCTGATCACCATGAGACGAAACCCGACCTCGTCGTCTCCTTTCCCGGCAAGGCGCTCCCTCGAAAGCAAACCAACCCCACCTGGTGGACAGTCAGCATGGTCATGGAAGCCAAAGCCACTGAGGAGCAGGACCCTTTCGGGAAGCAGGGTCAAGTCCACGTCGACACCGTCACGCAGCTCGCTATCAGTGCGAGGAACTTGTTCTTCGCCCACGGCTTCTATTGCGTTTTCGTGGTTGGTCTTTATGGCCATTCTGCTCGCATCGTGCGCTTCGATCACTCGTCCGCCATCGTCAGCAAACGATTCGACTACCGCAACCGCCCCGATATCCTGCAGAGATTCTTTTGGCGCCTGGTTCACCCCATCGACGGCGATACCATTGCTGGGTGTGATCCTGCTGTGCATCCCTTGAACCCTCCCGATGTGCAATGGGTCAGGAACCAGCTGAAGAAGATGGAGTGGGGTATCGCTGTCTCTGAGTCCTCTGACGAGCTCCTGAAGGGCCGCAAGGTCACGGTTCCGGAGAATGACGCCAGGGACGCAGCGACGAGGACCTTCGTCTTATTCGATCTCATCGACATCAACGCTCGCCTGTTCAGTAGGGCTACGATGGTTTGGATGGCCATGGAAGACACACGAGAACGCCCACTCGACCAGATCAGCGAAGACTCGTTTCCTAAGCTCGTCGTCTTCAAGGAGGCCTGGCGGCAGGTCATTCGGCGGCCGGAAAGCGATTTCTACGAACGGCTCTCTAAGATCTCGGATGACGTCCGGACTGGTCTACCCAAGAAGCTCTTTGGTGCTGACCTCGGGAAGCGGGAGATGGAGGTCTGGAAGGCTGCTGGTGGCAGGTTCCCTCATGAGACGGACATCAACCAGGATTCTGTAAAGAGACCATCCTTCGCTGATGGTGCCATGGTCCCCACAACGAACGCAGACGACACGCAATCAGTCCCACCTCCCGATGTCACACCGACTCCGAACGCTAGTGCTACATCTGAGCGCCTTCAACCTACGACTCCTGCTGTGTCGGCGTCGTCTCTGCTTCCATATCCACTGTATCAGACACATAGCTGGCGGCTCCTGTTCGGCGACAAGTACGTCGCACGCGAACGTAGTCTTGTTCGCCTGGTGGTGAACGCTGTTGGAAGGCCACTCAAATGCTTCAGAAGCACCCGTGAGCTTGTCGAGGCTGTGCGAGACGCTATCGAGGGTATGTGCTCATTTCGGAACTTCATTTTGAGTGCTAGTACTGAATCATCGTCAGGTCACCGTGAAGCTTGGGAAGTTGGGGTTCTGCATCGAGACGTAAGCACGGGCAATGTCCTGATATCGGAACGACCTGAAGAGCGATTGCGCGGCTTCCTGCATGACTTCGATTTTAGTTCCATGACTAAGAACACGCCTCCACCTCTTGACAGCTCCGATACGCTTACGGATCCGCGCCTCCGTATGGCCGAGGCAGGTGGCGATGACGACTTGAAAGAACGAACTGTACGTTCCCATCCTCATACATATTCTATCACTACTCACAGCGTTGACAATAGGGCACATATCATTGCATGTCATACTACCTGCTTGAGAACGAGGACACCATCCACTCCGTTGAGCACGACCTGGAATCTTTCTACTGGGTCCTACTCTGGATCGTCCTGCGTCACACAAAACATGACCTCAAGGTCACCGAAGATGAACCGGATCCCTGCAATGCTGCGTTCCGATTCGGGAACGACCAAGAGGCTGGGATGATCAAGAGGGCGTGGTTGACTACCGATCAACTCCTCTTCACCGTGGAAGGCAATCGGCCGTTGACGGACCTCATGCACGCCTTCAGGATGCTCATCTGGAGGACAAGCCTCGCACCGCCATTCATGCTCCCACGCGAGTATCTCACGCACGCTGCGGTACTCAAGTTGTTCGATGAGTCACTGGCTCGTACCGCTGAGTGGCCTGACGCGTCCATGGATGGGCCGAAGCCGTTTCAAGTACGTGCGAAGCCTGCCCCGCCGCGTTTGAACCAGCCGTAGCGCGAAGCAGAGGATGTAAGGGCACAGAAACCATCTCGCAAGCAGAGCAATAAGGGAGACGGATCATCAACCGATGATGATCCCTTTCAGAGCACTCCCAATCCCCGGTCGAATAGGGGCAGTGGAAGGGGCAGCGGAAGGGGGGTAGGCGCGCGTGCGGGAGGGGGTAGCAAAAGGCGCGGTTCGAAGAAGTAGCTATCGGCAGTGGTCGCTCTCACCCTGTGTAGAGCTCTCCATGTCTGGTTGATTGTATATGTGTATACTCCTCCATTATCGCCATGGAACGTTACTTCGTGGGTGAGTTTAACGGACGGCTCGACGTGCCAGTGTTGCTTGATGCTTCTAAGGCAATGGCTGGCATATCTGCTCATGTCCGAAGACATTATCTATTCTTAATTCATGAAACGGAGCCTGCAGTCATGAGGACGAGATGGTGGTTGGGCTCAGGCTGGCAAGCCCAGGCCCGGGTAACTTTCTGCGTTGCCCGATGGATCATCGTTCACGTGACCTCTCCGGCGTCTTCTGCCCGCATACGTTCCATGGCGTACACTAGTAGTACTACGTCGTTCCGCCTATCCTGTGCCGCTATGTGCCTCACTCTCACTGTGCCTGGGTGCCTACAAATAACATCACTTACTGTCCCTGTGTAGGGTACAATGGTGGCTCCACGGTGATGTCTAGCAAAAGCATCCTCATCCCGCATTCTCCCACCGCGTCGCGCGCTCAACAAAGGCATCCGTTTTGGAGTCAATGGACCTACCGTCATATCCCTTCCTTTCTCTGTTGAGTAAGCTCGCGATACTGACCCCATGTTGTCACGATTGGATATTGGGTTCTGCTGTGCAAAACATCGACTGTGTCTTCTCGGATTTTCGGATCCACCTCCTCGGCTGAGGTTGAGCGTCTTCTAGGTTTTGTTCTGTCTATCCTTATAGGAATATCTTTCAAATCTCAAACCTAGCCGATTCCAAACCACAACCAACACTACACCTTATAGCATGTCAATTTCTGCCTCCTCTCTTTGCGGTTCCAGCGGGTACTCAGGTGCGGGAGAGCTCGCTCATCGCGTCAATGTGGCTTCCCAGGAGCTCGACGACTACCTCGCCGTCTACGTTCCGAGCCACTCAAACCCTCCTGAGGCTGTCAAAACGAGTGTTCAGCCGGACGTCTTTGACCAGTGGACCCCCACCGAAGGGAAGGAGGCGATCATGAATAACCACTTGGTGCGCGTTCGTCGTTTTCTTGTCTCTAAGGTCTTCTTCCCTGACCACAGCTTAGATTGATGCATTCGATACACTCATCGCACCATTTCCAGACCATCTACGCCTTACTTTTTGCGACTGCGCTGGCCAAAAGATCTCCTTCCCCTTCAAGGACCATGCTGATTACCATGTAACAAAGCCCGATATTGTCGCATCGTTTCCCGGAAAGAAGCTCCCTCGTATGCAGACTAATCCCACCTGGTGGACAGTCAGCATGACGATTGAAGCCAAAGCTACTGAGGAGCAGGACCCTTTCGGCAAGCAGGGCCAAGTCCACGTCGATACCGTCACGCAGCTCGCTATCAGCGCGAGGAACCTTCTCTTCGCTCACGGCTTCTGCTATGTCTTTATGATTGGTCTGTACGGTCATTCTGCTCGCATCGTGCGCTTCGATCGCTCCTCCGCTGTCGTCAGCAAAAGATTCAACTACCGCGAACGCCCCGATCTCCTGCAGAGGTTCTTCTGGCGTCTGGTCCACCCTATCATCGGCGACACCCTTGTCGGGAGCGATCCTAATGTGCGGCCGTTGACCTCGAACGAAACTCAGTGGGTCAGTGGCCAGCTGGAGAAGCTTCAGTGGGGTATGACTATTACAGACGAGGAACTCCGGAAGGGACGCAAGGTCATGGTTCCGGAGAGCGACGCCCACGACGCGAAGACCAGGGATTTCATCTTGTTCGACCTCATCGATGTGAACCCCCGCTTGTTCAGCCGTGCGACCATGGTTTGGCTGGCCATTGAGGACACACGTGAACATTCTCTGGACCCGTCTTGCGAGGACCCGCCCCCCAAGCTTGTCGTCTTCAAGGAGACCTGGCGGCAGATCATCCGACGGCCTGAGAGCCATTTCTACGAGCGTCTCTCTGAGATTCCGGATGACGTCCGGACAGGCCTACCGAAGATGCTTTATGGTTCTGACGTCGGAAAGCGGGAAGTGGAGGCCTGGAAAGCTGCGGGTGGCCACTTTCCCTACGAGGCGGACAGTAGCCGTGATTCTCCGGTGGAGCCGCTCCCCTCGGAGCACCCCAACGGGATCCAGGGTTCCATCTCTAATTCCCACCGAACTTCGTCGGTATCGGCTCCCGATGGCACATTGACGACCGTTAGTGCTGTCTCAAAGGAGCCTCCAGAGGCGAATGCTCACGCTGGCGAACCCATGACTCCTGCTGTGTCGGCATCGCCTCCGCTGTCATATCCTCTATACCAGACGCATAGCTGGAGGCTCCTGTTCGGAGACAAGCACATTGCACGTGAACGTAGCCTTGTTCGCCTGGTGGTGAACGCTGTTGGAAGGCCACTCAAATGCTTTAGAAGCACCCGTGAGCTTGTCGAGGCCACGCGAGACGCTATTGAGGGTATGTGCTCATTTCGGAACTTCAGTTTTAGTGCTAGTACTGAATCATCGTCAGGTCATCGTGAAGCTTGGGAAGTTGGGGTTCTGCATCGGGACGTCAGCACAGGCAATATCCTCATTTCTGAAAGAGCTGAAGAGCGGTTTCGCGGCTTCCTGCATGACTTCGATTATAGTTCCATGACCAAGGAGATGCCGCCACCTCTTGACGACTCCGATCCATGTACCGACCCGCTCCTTTGCATGGCCGAAGTATGTGATGATGACGACTTGAAAGAGCGAACGGTAACTGCTTTCCCCGGGTACATGCTGTATGCTGGTCTACGTCGCCTTACAGTTTTTGCCATAGGGAACATACTATTATATGTCATACGACCTACTCGAGACCGAGGACTGCGTCCACTCTGTGCACCACGACTTGGAATCGTTCTATTGGGTTTTGCTCTGGATCATCCTGCGCCACACGAAGCATGACTTCAAGATTACTAGGAACCAGCCCAACCCTTGCGCTGCTATCTTCCAATTCGGCGATGACCAGGGCGCCGCGAACACGAAGAGGGGGTGGTTGACTAAGCCCCGGAGCTTCGTCCTCACGGTGGAAGACAACAAACCTTTGACAGATCTTTTGCATGCATTCAGGATGCTCATCTTTCGGACGAATGTCATCAGCCTGTATCTCGAACCGCGCGAGTACCTCACCCATGCTGCGGTCCTCGAACTCTTCGACAAGGCGCTGGCTCGTACTGATGAATGGCCTGACGCGGCCAAGGACGGACCGAGGCCATTCGTATGATCGAAGCCTACCCCACCGTGTCTGGACCAACCGAAGCGCGATGCACAGGACCCAGAGGAGACGGAGAAACAATCTCGCAAGCAGAGCAAGAAGAGCCGCGGAACAGCTATGTTGAATCTCATATTATGTAATTGAGCTCACATTGTGCTCACGCTGGTCTTGTTTCGTCTCGTACTGTATATTTTGTCTCAGAGCCTTGTTTACATGTATATATATAGTCTGGCTCGCAACGCGTAGTACCTCACGCGTTTGCACTGCGCCCAAACGCGACTCCCTTTTTCCTACAAGCTACGGGCGACGATCCCTTCGACAGCACACCTAACCCTCAATCGAACCGGGGTAACGGTAGTGGGAGAGGTAGCCGCGGGAGGACAGGTGGCAGCAAGAGGCGCGGTCCGGAGACGTAGCAGTCGTGGTTCATCTATAGCTTTGATATATATAAAAGGTCGGGGCGAGAACGATGGGATGAGATTCAATTTCGCGTGTGGCCGAATATAGATACGTTCCCGTACATCGTAGCTATATGCAAGAACTAAACCTATATACTACTAGACATAACTGTACTGTGTGTTCGTCTGAACACCGGAGGTGTGGTGAGGTAGAAGTGTGCGCCCGGTAGAGACTCAGAGACGGGGTCGCTCGTTAACTTGCGTGTCAGATGATCGACGCCAGAGATCCAAATGAACACCAGCTAGAAAAATGATAGTCCAGCTTCAGCTGTGAGTTCTAGCTTCAGCTGTAAGTTCTAGCATGCGCTGAAACGACTCAACAAGGTGTCGTAGGGTTACAGGCTTCATGTAGTATGCCGGGATGAATTTCAAGTTGTATCAGCACGCGCGGCGCACTGCGATGCTTCCATTTCGCGTGGGAGAGTTCACATGACTTGATGCAATCGGGTGGCAGTCGAGTCGATCACGGACCGGGACCGGCGGGGCGCAGATGGTCGAGTTCGACTCATCCGGACTCTTGTCTGGAGTCGCAACGGTAAGTCCGTGTCTTGAGCGTGGCCTTCATTTTTCTGACATACGGTTGTATCGGCAATGTGTGCATGATGAAGCATGGGCACACTGACATGGTTGACATTGTGATGTCTAGGTCAACACGTCCATTAGGAAACAGCTGACAGCCGCTGCCTAGTATCCCATCTGTCTAAGGCCAACGATGGTCTTCGCATGCTGGCTATGGGTAACCTTGATAACTATTAGGTCGTGTATTTTTTCCTTGGCACGAGGATTACACCCGCCTTTACAGACAGCCTTCCTCACACAGACGAGCGTCTCTCAAGATCCCATTGTTCGCCCTTAGCGGATCTCTATTTCAGCCCCCGACCAGGCTCTGGGCTTCACCGTGACTACGTATGAACCACATCCTCACCAGAATGTCTATCCGTACCTCCTCTCTCTGCGATTCCACGTGGGACTCTGGTGAGTATCTCCAGGCCAACGCGGTAGTAGAGGTGAGAGAGCGATAGCATTCAATCGAGTCCGAACAGGCACCGTTTCTACCCAGGACATCAAGCTCCATAGAAAAGGATCGATAGGGGAACTCCTTCGTCGTGTCAATCACGCTCCTCAGGAGCTCGACGACTTCCTCGATATCTACGTTCCGAGCCAATTCAACCCTCCGGAGACTATCAAAACGAGTAACAAGGCGGACATCTTCGATAAGTGGACCCCTACCGAAGGAAAGGAAGCGATTTTGTATAAGCACTTAGTGCGCATTTCTCGTCCTTATCTTTTTACCCACCTTCCCTTACCGCCGCCCAGATCGACGCATTTGATGCTCTCGTTGCGTCGTTGCCAGAACATCTCCGTCTGATATTCTGTGACTGCGCTGGTCAGAGAGTCCCCTTTCCGTTCGAGGACCACGTTGACCACCATGCGACGAAGCCCGACCTCATCGTCTCCTTCCCCGGAAAGACGCTCCCGCGCATGCAGACGAACCCCACGTGGTGGATGGTTAGCATGGTCATAGATGCCAAGGCGACTGAACAGCAAGACCCTTTCAATATGGGTAGTCAAGCCTCTGTCAACTCCATCACTGCGCTGGCTGTCAGCGCAAGGGATCTACTTTTGGCTCATGGCTTCTGCTATGTCTTCGTGGTCGGTCTTTACGGTGACTTCGCTCGCATCGTCCGCTTCGACCGTTCGTCAGCCGTTGTCAGTAAACAGTTCAAGTACCGCGAACATCCAGACATACTGCAAAGGTTCTTTTGGCGGTTGGTCCATCCCATCATCGGCAGCACCATCGTCGGCAGCGATCCTGACGTTCGGCCCCTGACGAGACCTGACGTGCTGTGGATCAAGGAGCAGTTGCGTAAGCTGCGATGGGATGTACCCATTTCTGATGAGGAACTCCGGAAGGGGCGCGCGGTTGTGGTTCCGGAGAGTGACGCCGTGGACGCAAAGCCCAGGACGCTTCTTCTATTCGACCTTTTGGACGTGAACGTTCGATTGTTCAGCCGGGCTACGATGGTTTGGCTTGCGATAGAAGATCTCCGAGCACGTCCTCAGGAGCCCTCCTCCCACCATCCTCCTTGTGCCAGGCTCGTGGTCTTCAAGGAGGCCTGGCGCCAGATCACGCGGCGGCCGGAGACCGAATTTTACCAGCGTCTGGCTTCGATCCCGGACGACGTCCGTACAGGGTTGCCCAAGATGCTCTTCGGTGCTGACCTCGGGGAGCGAAACATGAAGATTCGGCGAGCTGCCGGTGAAAAGTTCTCTTACGAAGCCAACACCGGTCATAACTCTCTAATGGATCCGAGCCCGTCTAGCGCCATTGCGGCCACCGCCTCGGACACGTCTGAAACCTGTTTTCCCCCGGATATCGGTGCTCCCGCCCTCACAGATCCCGGTCTCAACAGTCCGCGTCAACTTCCTGCAGATAATGATGGTTGTGTGCCCTCTCCGCCCTATCCGCCGTCCGCCGTCTTCCCTTGTTCCCCATATCAGACGCACTGCTGGAGACTCCTCTTTGGTGATGAGTGTAGCAGCCGTGAACGCAGTCTCGTTCGTTGCGCAGTTGACACTGTCGGGAGGCCGCTCAGGCATTTTAAATCCACCCGTGAGCTTGTAGGGGCCGTCCGAGATGCCATTGAAGGTCAGTTACAGTACGCTGCATATTGTTAGATGATGTGAGGCTGACTACTGTTTAGGACATCGCCAAGCTTGGGAGGTTGGCGTCTTGCATCGTGACGTCAGCGCTGGCAATGTGCTCATCTCGGAGCAACCTGCAGACCGACTGAGGGGATTTCTTCATGACTTTGACTACAGCTCGATGACAAAGGGGGTCCCGCCTCCTCTGAACGAATCTTCGTCCACAGAACCTCTTCTACGTATGGGCGAAGCATATGACGAGGAAGACCTGAAAGAACGAACGGTTCGTACTCCGTCGCATGCAATACGCCAGAGCAGCTCATTTGTGATCTTCCACAGGGGACGTACTACTACATGGCGCAGTTGCTACTTAGGAAGAAGTCCATTGTGCACAGCGTTCATCACGATTTCGAGTCCTTCTACTGGGTCTTGCTATGGATCGTCTTGCGTCACACCCAACATGACTTAGAAGTCGACCCGGAATCACCCAACCCTTGCACCCGCGTTTTCCGATCCGGGAACAACCTGGAGGCCGCGGACATGAAGAGAGCATGGCTCACCGAAACGGAGGTCCACTTTACTGTCGACGGCAACAAGCCGTTGACTGACCTCATGCACCAATTCCGCATGCTCATCCTGGAGGCGATCATCATGGGCCCGCGGGCGGCTCCGCGCAGATATCTCACGCACGCTGCGGTACTGGAACTCTTTGACACGGCCCTCGCTCGGACTGATTGGCCAGATCCTGAGAACGATGGACCCAAGCCGTTTGCGTACGCGAAGCCCGTACCGCCGCGTTTGAACCAGCCGAAGCGCGCGGCCCAGCCTGAGGACGCAGAAGAGACAGAGAAGCGATCTGGCAAACGGAGAAAGAAAGAAGACGGATCACCTGTTGATGACGATGCCTTTGAGAGTACACCAGTACTTCGGTAGTCCAACAGGGGGAGTGTCAGGGGTAGTGGCGCCCGTGGTAGCAAGAGGCGCGAGTCGAAGAAGTAGCAGTCGTAGAGCTCTCGGGTGCATCGTATCTCTGTATGGTCAGGTTCTGTTGTCCTGGGATTTTGCGATGTAGCCGAGTTAGCTCAGACTATTCAAGTTATGGTTAGACGTCCTGCACGGGTTCAGGGTCCTCTTATGGACCGCCATGCCCCTGCCTCCGTGCATGGTACCGCGCAATTACGTAAGGTATCTTCCGGTCGAAAAGATCGTCAAAGATGCGTCTGCTCGCACTGAAGACCGGCCAGATCCCAAAGTTGGTGGCCCAGCCCAGCATGTTGAGTAAACGCCGCTACCCGCTCCCAGACTACGAAAGCCGGATGCCGGTCTGTCGCACTAAATATTAATATTACAAACCGTAGAGAAGGGCAGACCCAGTGTTCGGGAAAAATTGCGTTAGCAGCCATTCCTTAGGCCACAGGCTTTGACTCCGTCGACACGTCAAAAACTGTCACCGGTTGTAGTATCCCAGACATCCTGCACTGTAGCAAACAGGTTGCCTGTCACCATTCAATCAAACTGTCATTCATCCCGTCAGTCGAGAATAGGACGACAGCCGGGCGACGCAGGTCTTGCATGCACTAAACAACCGATAAATGCCATTCTTGTCCACCCGAGATCTCCGACCAGGGCGCAGCATCCTCGCACACGACCCCGCGGTAGCCGTGCACCGCCATTCTTTTGATTCATTGTCTACACCCAGCGTCCGTACAGCACGGCGTCCGTGCACAGCCCGCGGACCGGGAGGAACCCAGAGTCCAGAGCAAACGAGTGCGAACCGCTCATCCCGTCTCCGCCCTTCAGAGAAGCGCGACACCGAACGCCGCTGCGACAGCCCACACAAGGCCGCTGCGCTCGACCACACCGCCGACGGCCGCGTTGTTCGTCGTCCCGGTCGTGGACGCCGACTGCGAGGCGGTGCTACTGGAGCCAGCAGAGCCCGAGCCACTGCTCGCGGAGGTGCCGGAGGTCGCCGCGGCGCTGTTGGTGCTCGATCCGCCGGAGGAGGGCGCGGTCTGGCTGGTCGCACCCGAGGAGCCGACCGCGGTTTGGCTGTTCGCACCCGACGAGCTGATCGCGGTGGGGAACGCCGACGCGGACGCTTCAACGCCGGCGAGTGCGGGGGACGGAGTGCCGACGGCGGTCGCGGAACTGGCGAGGGCGACGAAGTGGCTGACGTCGTTCGTTGCGCCGGGTGCGGGGGCGTTGATGGCGCTAAGCGAGGTAGTCAGCGTGAGGGTCAACAGTGAGGACGAAGCAGATGGACGTACCCAACCATGCCATTAGTGCAGTGAGTGGTGCCACCAGTGGTTTGGGCGCAGTAGAACCAGATAGCTGTAAAGACGGAAAGGGTTGAGTCCAGATCAAAGCGAATGAGGGCGTAAGATCGCAACGCACGCTTGGAGACATCGGTGATGGTCAAGTTCCACGTCGCGGGGGTGTCACCGGACGCGGCAGGGCCCGGGGTGAAGCCAGAGTTGAAGCCGTTCTGCACGGGCTCGCAAGGTGTCGCGAACGACGACTGCGCGACGTTGTGCATCGAACCCGGCGCGTCGAAGACGAAGGTGACGACGGAGCCCTGGCTCGCAGTTATTGACTGAGGGGTGAACCCGAGGATCTTGTTGCCGCTGCCGTCGGTACCGACGTGAACCTACAGGAGTGTGAGTGTGAGGTGTCGACAGATGAACACGAATAATCATGGGGCTCACAATCTGATCCTGGGCGAGGGCGGCGGTGGCCAATGCCAGAACGGAGACAGGGGCGGCGTAACGCATCGTGAATAGGAGCGTGAGGACGAGGTGCGGGAGAATAGCGTAAGGGTCCCGGCCTGGCGGGAGTGGATGAAGTCGAAGGAGGGGTGAGGATCAAGTGCAGCGGACGCATCCACCTTAATATACGCGCGGTCAAGCGGTGGCAGCTGGATGTCCCTGTACGTGATCAGCATGTTGGCAGTTCGGCGGAAGCCTGTGAGACATTGCCCTGCGCAAGACGGGTGTTTTACGGCAGGTCGTGATGACAGCCGGACGGGATGTTCGAAATGAGCAACTAAGGAGCCAATGAGCATACAGCCTAGAACATAAAGACGTCGGGGCCTGAGGCTCTAAACGGGCTCCGGAGACTGCGGCTTCGTAAACGCCATATTAGCCGAACTGTAGTTTAGTAACTTCAGTTTGAGAAGTACGGTCTTGAGCCTTCCACTGATGTGGCTTACAATCCTCCGACGGCGTCGAACCGCGAAAATTGCAAAGCTGTTCTCATCTCCCTCTCCCTGGAATCGAGGAATAGAAGAGATAGCGGAGGATCGAAGGTCTATGTAAGTATTCTCACGATGTGAAACTATGGACACGAGCGACACTGCGGTAAGATGAGATCTGGGCATTGACAGATGCAATGTATTCGAACCTGAGAACTGTTTCACTTCGGCGATGCGCTGTAACACCGGCCGTTGGTTGCTTTGGACAGGGGAGGAAGAAGGACATAACTTAGCTGACCGCACAACTTCTATCAAGGCGACGAAGGGCTGGCAGTAGCGAAGGCTTCTGTCTATTCTTCAAGGATGCGCGAGTCGAAGAAGTTGATCTTCATCCGCAAACCGCAGCAGTCAGTCGTGAGGTGAGCTTATGTAATGCATTACCACGCAGGCCGAAATCGCCGCTGCATAGGCCAGCCAAACTCTCCGAGTCCTGTCCTTGTTGGAGCACTAGTGTTGGTTCAGCAGGTCTTCTCACCGAACAGGCATCGTCGTTGCGCAGTTCGGCATGAATTGTCTGCATGCAACCCACCAGACGTTGCTGGTGATACATAGATGCTGCTTTTCTCGGTCGTTGGTAGCGCACCGAACAGCTTTCCTAGTCTGTCAAATCTAAACAGGTAACAGCGACAGTATCGATAATAACCGACAAGGCATTGTGAGCCTGCGGAAAACGAATGCTTCTGCCATATCTCCCATCGTATACACGCTTCCCACAGAACTACGCCTCAGCGTCGTACGCATAGGAACCTTCTGCGTAGCTCTGTTGTTCAAGTTGGCGCAGGCAGCAACCCTGCGGTCTACGGCGCAGGCATTGTACGAGTAACACTGGTGCGTGCGGTCCGTCCACTATGTGTACTCCAGGGCCGCTTTCCGACTGACCTTGTTCCCCAGACTAGTCCGTCATTTGATCGGAGAATTGGACAGTGGTCCCATCATGACAGATACACAGATATGAAGGGACCGGAAACGCTATATGGCTTGCTATGCATGCTCATCATCATCGGCTCGTATCGACTTCCCTTTGTGATATTCCCCCTGCAAGTCCGTCGTCCCGGTACCTAGCTCATTTCCGCGACCGTTCTCGAGCCATGTCGGAGAAAGGGATGGGGGCGCTTGCGGAGCAATTCGAACGCTTCGACATATACCTGAGGGGATGCTGAAGAATAATATGGAAGGTGTGGGTGGACGATTCTGGCCGATCCTGGGTTCTTTTCAGCCACAAAATCACTCTCGGATATTCGGGAAGCAGGCGTCGTATGATCCAAGTACGACGTGGGATGTCCTCCCTAGAATCCACCCACTCACTTGTAGATCCAAGTCTGCAGCAAGGCGCATGATGCAATGGGGTCATGGGGAGGAACCATTGGGGAGCGCGGCGAGGAGAGTCGGGCTTCCGTACCTTTCCCGCGCACCAGATCGGATCGGGTAGCAATCGTTTGGGGACTTCCTCAACGGAGCACCTCCGTCCAATGCATTTGAGCCTGCGCAGCCTGGCGTGAGCACTCAACTGCTCAACGTTCACGTCGAAGTGTAGGTTATCGTTGTCTGTGACTCTTCTTCGCACTGATATCTACACGCTAGAGAGTGTTTTTTCTCGTAGATCTATCTTTGCTCTTGATCTAAGCGCCGTTGCAAGAACCTCATCTTCATCTCGGTAAGTTCAACGATCTCGTAGTTGAAAGAATAAGAGTGTAGGCCACAAAGCGAGCCTAACCACGCTGGTTCCAAGAAAATGTCTCTCAACGACAAGTTGAACGCCGCGCTCGCATCTCGCGAAAAGCGCCTCATCCGCCGCAGGCTCCCCGACCCGTCCGCGGACGACCACCTCGTCGACTTTTTCACCAACGACTACCTCTCGCTGTCGCATTCCCCAGACCTCAGGTCGCGCCTCCTCCGCAAACTCCACGACGCGCCGCACGTCCTCGGCTCGGGCGGGTCGCGCCTGCTCGTGAACGGACACGCGCACGCGTCCTTCGAGGCACGCCTCGCCGCTTTCTTCCGCGCCCCCGCCGCGCTCCTCTTCAACTCCGGCTTCGACGCCAACGTCGGCCTCTTCTCGAGCGTGCCCCAGCCCGGGGACGCGGTCGTGTACGACGAGCACATACATGCGTCCGTACACGACGGGATGCGCTCATCGCGCGTGGCGGCGGGCGCGCGCGTGCCCTTCGCGCACAATTCGCCGTCCGCGCTGCGAGCGGTGCTCGAGAGACTGATCGCGTCGCATCCGCGCTTGCGCGAGGGGGAGAGCAGCGTGTTCGTAGCGGTGGAGGCACTCTACAGCATGGATGGGACGCTGGCGCCGCTGATGGACATTGTGGAGGTCGTCGAGGCGCTGCTGCCCAGAGGGAACGGCTATGTCGTCGTCGACGAGGCGCACTCCACCGGCGTATACGGACCGCAAGGCCGCGGACTGGTCGCGGCGTACGGCCTGGAGGACCGAGTGTTCGCGCGGCTGCATACCTTTGGCAAGGCCCTCGCTGGGACTGGAGGTGCGCCCCGTGTCGGTTGCCCGTGTTGCCCGTATACTCACAGAAATATGTTCTAGCTGTATTGCTGGTAACGGCGCTTGTGCGGGACTACCTGCTCAACTACGCGCGCTCGCTGATCTACACCACATCGCTGAGCTACGCGAACATCATCGCAGCGGACTGCTCCTTCGACCTGCTCGAGGACGGCGAAGCCGACAAGGTCAGTCGATCCATCTCAATCTACGACGCTGCACTCATCTCCGCAACCACACCTCTCTCAGCTCGCTAGAAAACTGCTCGACCTCAGCACCTACTTCCTCGCCACCCTCCGCCACCACCTCTCCACGCGCAGCGTCTCGCCCGCGCTCCTGTCTCTGCCCCCGCACCTCTTTTCTTGCGCGCAAAAGCCTGAGTTCGCAACGCCGATCATACCCGTCCTAACGCCGCACCCGCGTCCGCTCTCCGCCCACCTTCGCGTCCGCGGCCTGAACGCACGTCCGATCACGTGGCCGACCGTGCCCAAAGGCGCGGACCGTGTTCGGGTGTGCTTACATGCGCACAATACGACAGAGGACGTAGATAGGCTGGTCGGTGCGATGGTCGAGTGGGCCGAGAGCCGGGAGCTGGCGCAAAAGGGCGTGGGCGCAGGATCTGGGAATGGGAGTGGGCAAGGGGAGGGTGTTGCCAGCGTGCAGGCGAAGTTGTGAAAATATCCTGTTGAGACAAAGGAAGCTGATGAAACACAGGCCATCTATGATTGTCCTCGAGCGGTGAAGCATACTTACAGACGGAGTGAGAGAGCTAGTCTTGCAGAGCTTCGATTTCCTGAGTGCTCGTCTGTAGGAACTCCTCATAGGAGTCCTGGTAGCCGGCTGTATGGACGCGTCGTAAGCCACGAGAGATATTGAGTCCCTAGACAGCCAGACTTGCCTGGTGTCTTCGCGCGGGCGCGGTATCTCGCAACGACTTCTCGGTTGTGGCGGATGGCTGCTAGCTGGGCTTGCTTGATGGTTCCTATATGCTATACTTCAGCCTCCCAGATGCTGCAATTGGCACAAGACTGATATACCAGAGACGTGGACGACGTGCGGGATGTATTTGCGCCCGTCGATCGTGGTCATGAGCGTCACGCTGGCCCAAGCGATCTTATGCGGGTCCCGGGCGACACGGATGATGCACAGATGTGTCCGAGGGGAGAAATACTTGACTTAAAAAGACCGGGTCAGCGACGGCTGTTTGGGCGAGTACATCAATAGAGGATCGGGAGTCAGGACGCACTAGTCAGGGAGGAGCCGACGGCGCCCCAGCCGGTGTCGCCGAAGTGGGTGATGACGCTCTGCTTGAGCGCAGCCCAAATGTGCTTGCTCGTGATGTTCTCTTCTTGCGCTCGTGCTACATGTCCGGGTACTGAGGTGGAGACGGGGAGAAACTCGACGAGGAGCCAACGGTTCTATTTTCATTAGTGAGAGCTTTTCTTTACAGGAAATTGGCATGTCGCTTACCTTGAACCTGACCATCTGCGTGGCAGAGCACCTTGTTGTGATGTGGGCTGCCTGAGATTGCGACTGGCGTTCCTAGTATTGTCCGGAGAGCTGAACGGCCGTGGATGAAGTTGCTCAATACTATTGCTAATGTAGAGCTCCCCGGCTCGAGCCGGGAGCTTCGAGCTGAGCGCCCATCGGCAAACGCCGGTGGCGGGAGGTCGAAATCGACCGTATACTCATTTTTTGCTCGTGACTGTCAACAACAAATTATCAAACTCTTGCTTGGTTGGGCCTGTGTCTACATCATATGGTAGCCATACCCCATAGTCTGGATGAAGGATGCCTTGCGGCAGTGCTGGCTCTGTGGCCAGAGAGGGATGCCGCCAAGGCTCGCTGCCTGGCACCAAAGTGTGCTACACTCGTCTGTGAGTACTCTCATTGTGCTGAGGTTCTTGGGATAGTGCCTATTTGAGCTGACAGAAACTTATCACCACTCTCACGCATAGGAGCGCCGGCGTGGAAGCCTTCCTAGACGCATGGCGCACTACGACGAAACTTGCTCGTCAGAAGGTCTCCTCCTTTGATCACATTTACTCATGTTTATGTCTTCGCAATTTCTGCTTCCATTGGAGGTGATAGAGCACATCGTCGACCAATGTGCTTATTATCACCCATTGTTGCATAGCTTGTCCTTGACATGCCGCGACTTGTCGCTCCGCACTCGCCGCTACCTCCTTCGCAATGTAATGATCAAGGACTTGCCATCCCTCTACGCACTTTACAGCTATTTGGACATCAGACGACACCTACGCCCTACGCGCACTAGTACACGCCATCACTTTCAGACAGGATCCCGAATCAGCGTCAGAATCATGGAGAAACCTACGAGGGGTTGTTCCTGCGACGCTGTTCAGCCAGCTTCCCAATCACTGCAAGTGGGTCGTCAAATTGCTTGGGCATGACACTAGTGTGTCGACCCTCGTTACATCTCCTAACAGTAACTTGCTTGCCACTGGATGTGAAGATGGGACCACTATCCTCTGGGATAATCGGGAGAACCGCATCGTGCGCCAATGGGCGGTCGGTGCTCCCATCGCATTCCTCGAATTCTCCTCTGACAGCAAGCGGATCGCGAGCCCCCGAATCAGTGCCGTCGATCACGAAGTCGCCATACGGAGCGTCGCGGAGTGCAGCCTGCTTGCTCTGCTGTCTGGCCACATAATGCCGGTCACCACCTGTGCATGGTTCCCGGATGACATCAAGATCGCATCCGTCTCCGCAGAGACTATTGCGTCTGGGACGCAGGCACCTACGAGCAGGTGTATCTGATAGAAGATTCCTTCGGGATCCCCAGCTGCGCCTATGTCCAGTTCTCTCCCGATGGTCGCTGGCTTCAGGTCGCATCCCCGGATCCTCGGGTAACCATTTGTCGTGTATGGGAGGCGGATACCGGCAAACCGTACAGAGTATTCGGCCACAAACACCTCGTCACTACTGCCACCTTCGATCCCACGAGCAGACTGATTGCAACGGCTTCATAGCAGGGATGTGTTTTCTTGTGGAAGATAAAAACGATGGAGTGGCTCGAAGCTTTTCAATAACAGGATCAGATTCACCCTTGCTCACGCTTGGCAACCATCGCGTTTTTGCAGGACGGGATGCAGGTTTCCCTTCCGTGGATTGTCCTCTCGACAATCATGGTCCAAATCTGGGACCCTTCGGGTGGAGACCGACTCTTGTCGCTTGAGGGACACAGGGCCTCCGTGCTCTCATTTGAGTTCTCTCCGACGCGACATACATTGCATCCGGCTCTAGCGACAGGAGTCTGCGGCTATGAGGACTCCGCGACGGTCTGTGCGTTGCGACGTTCGTTGAGCACGACTTCGGGATTGGGCACGTCGTCTTCTCTCCGGACGCTGAGGCGTTGTGCTCTGGCGGGTGGGATGGGTCAGTTGTCATTCGTCGTCTCCGCAGTCTCATCGCTCGTTGAAATGCGTGATGCTTGGTGATGATCCTGTAACTAACAATGGCTCTCTCTTGTGCTCTAGTCCGTCAAATACGCAACAAGACTCCCTGCGCCAACGCTTTTGTCAATATGAATACAGTGTATCCTACTTATGTGAATTATAGCAGTGTGATGTACAGTATACAATAAGGGTATGTCCTGAGCAGAGTTCACAAATAGGGCTACAATTGGTATCGACGGAACTAAAGAACGGTGAATCGGGTAGAATGTGCTACAAGGCAATGCCTACCAGCTCGTAGGCTAGAGCGGCTTGATTCCCTTCGATGATAGCTACCGTCTGCAGGGAGGTAAAATTGTGAATTGTTGAGGGCGTGGAAGCAATCGTCATTATCTTACTTCAGTGGATGTATTGCTCTGTCCTTGCAACTCGAATATCGTCGCCTCCCGCCTAGTTGCCAATGTCGTACTCAGCCCAGTTTCGCTGGAGGACTTAGTGCCCGGAACATATTGCAGAGAGCTCCGAGCGTTCAGCCTAGGAATATCCAGTCAGCGGAGATTCCCTTGACCCATGTTAATAGAGCACGTACGCTGCGAGTAGAGAGTTGGCATACACTGTGCTTCTATGTCAGTACTCCAGTCCGTGAGTTCCGTGGGATATTCCCGCTCACATTTTGTAGCAACGATGCCGAAAGCTACATATATCAATTTACTGGGAAGGAGCACTGACTAAAGGCGGAGAAACAAGATCAGCGAACAGTTTTATCGTATTGTGCTGTGCGCGTAAGCTCACAAAGACCAAGGACAGAAGATTGACCACACTGAGAGAGCGGGGAATCACAATCGTATTTTGTTCAGTATGAAGCAAACATGAATATATATCGTCGTACCTCGTTAACAAGCCTATGGAAATGTGTGTAAACCGACGAAGCAGATAGAAGAGGAGATAGTAGAAAGACCTACCAGTATTGATAGTGTATTTGATCAGCCTGTCCATAATCTGATCCAGTCTGGAATGAAGGAATGGATGTGCGATCAATACTGCAAGTCATGTCAAGCAATCGCATGACGCACCGCTCCACACCTGTATGTTTGGAGCGCAACAAGTTGACAAGAACGCCCGTGAGCAGAGCATCTGCCGCGCACGCTAGTGCTGCTCCTGCCGAGACGAGCCACTGTCAAAAGAAATGGCTTGTTACCTCTATGGGTCGGGTAGGATGGAAATGCGACATACCGTATAACGTTGAAAGTCGGAGAAGCTTGGGAATGTGAACCTACACAGTACATGTACCATAAGACGAGATCCAAATGTGTTTTTGCTCGCAGGACCTACGCTTTTACAGTTGCAGCTTCGCCGCTATGAAAGGAGTGTACTATGCAATGGCGTAGATGCACTCACCGAAAAAGAAGCCTGCAGTGAAAAGCCACAAATCTCAGCCAAATTGTCATGCATAGCTTTGAACAACCGACCGAGCTCCCCAGCCAGCAAAATCATCTGAAGAGGGAAAGATTTAGTATGATCGCGTTGATGCATCGAGAATACTTACGGCGATTGTGACAAGAACACGATATCGGCGTCCACCAACTGTATAGTGAAAGTTCAGATCGTCTTCTGACTATGAGTATCACAATGTGGCTTACGCAGGAACACGCGTGCGGCAAAGAAACTTTGAGAGGAAAACGCGTCAGTTACATCATACCAAAGAAGCACATTCGGCGCGAGTGCGAACCTTTGCGCGCTGATTATTATTATTCCCTGTATGATTGGTTTGGATCAACCTCGTGTTATCGAGGAAGGCGAAGCGAAGCTTACGGATATTGCACTCAAGAGCTGAGGTACGTGCCTATGAGCATACGTAACTCGACGTGGGCGAGAGAAAGATCGCTCACATCGATAGACCTGGAATGACTGATGTCAGAATATATCCAGGCAATGAGAGATGTGATAGACATACCAGACTCCGGAAAGAAGAGCCTCGCCGTTGCTATACTTTGTAACAAGATAATGATAGCTATCCCGCCCTCAGCCGCATGGTACGAACATCCCAGCAGGCGACCTACCAGATATGCATGCTGGAGACAACGTGAAAAGTTTCGAATACGCTAGTTGACCCGCAAGACGTTAGAGAGTAAGCTGAATAACCCAAGCAAGATTGAGCTTACAGAATAGCCGAGACCTGCTCAAGGATATTGTTCTATCAGGTAACGACCTGTGACTGGAGCAGTAGTTACGTACCAATACTTTGATCCAGGAGCTGTCGTTACGGTATGTTCCGAAGTACCGATAACATTGATGGACGACCATGCCATACAATCTAGGGATTGTGTTCAGACATACAATGGCATCTGGCGAGTCAAGTGGCGCCTACGTAAGGCCAAGGGAGGTGCCAATGAGGACAGCTCCGAAGGTACTGTCAAGGCGTACTGGGGGAGGGCATCCTAGAGGAGACCGGATCGAGGGCAAAGTCGGAGCCATAGTGTAGCTAGCGCAGTGCCAAAGCTTCTCAAATCCTACCAGGTGGTAGAGGGGTGCCCATAGATTTATACCCGCGCCGCATCTTCTCTAGTACCTGTCGCTAGCAAGTTTAGCGCCAAGATTTTGACGGTCGTAATGGATCGACTCAGCAGTGAGATTCGAAAGCGTAGACGATCGGAGAAATGCCAGATGCCGACAGTGGTAGAAAGAACATGTGCAGGAGATGCGCAAGAACATCTCAGTCGCCCCAGGTCCGGGCGATGCTGTTCGTCACTACTCATGACATGATTGGACACGCGATCCCGTCGATCATGGGAGGGAACGCTTTGGAACCCTGGGATGCCTGTGGTACCAAAGTGGCTTTGTTGTATTCGTAAGATGCTGTTCTTCTTATTCTCGTGGGGTCCAGATCTTCCAACGCAGGTTGATGTGTGCGCGGAATGGGAGCTACTTAGATAGAAGAAGGATCAGCTCCTACATCAAGAAGGAGAAGGCGACGCATACGTGATACTAAGGTCCCCAAGGGAACTGCCACATTCGCGCAGGCAGTACGTAGGACAGATGGTATGAGTTATGCTATGAGCACACCCAGAACTTGTAGAGATTCGGATCCAGTGGTGGTCAAGGCTGGTCGTTGGTGAACTGCCCGGGTAGACTGAGGTACAGCCCACCCCGTCCTGCTTGACGTATTGTGAATGCTACGCAAAGGCCATTGACAAGAACCTCTATTGGTATGAAGAAGAGCGCATTTTGCAGCTGTGGTGCGATTTGAGACTTGGGGTAGGGTAGATTCATGTCCAAGCTGGCGACGCGGTCCCATGAAGGAACTATTTGGCACCGCCTCTCAGGGGTAGGCGCCCATACATGGGGTCGGTGTTGCCACGTATCACCATGACATTACTTAGCTTGTAGCATAGGTGCCGACCTTTGCAGTGCAGTGTAGATCGCTTTGAGACTATTGTTAGTCTTCATGAACATCGTCCTAGTTGTCAAAGCAGGTTTCCTTCTGCGATCACACTACGTCTAAGCAATGCTGATCAACACAGGGACTCATGTCAGACCACAGATCGCAGTATTACAACGATGCTCCAAGCGTCGCTCTATGCATGAGAATGAGCGGCAGAAAACGACAGAAAATATTCACTTTAGTGAGGCCAATTCTAGAGGGGGCAGTGAGCGACATTTATGGAAATAATGCGGTGAGTCCATCCCAAAAGTCCAGAATGATGCAGCAGAACAAAATGCGTGTGGATGCACTACAAAAGGGTAGCATGAGTTACATAGTGAGGGTGTCATACCCGCAAGCAGGATATAGAGTGCGAACGAACGAAATGACGTGACAGAGCGTCATCGAGAGAAGCAACCATAAAGTCATTAGAATCAGCGCGGGAAAGTCCCATCCGGCCCTGGCGTGGGTGGAAACATGGGGTCATCGAGGTCCGTGTGCTGGAGGAACTGGTCAATCAGCTCCCGCCAGTCCGACTGCGAGCTAGAATCGTCCCAGTAGTCGGAAGACTTGTGGTCAGCGACCAGCGGCGTGTGGAGGGGTTCCAGCCCGCCCCCGTTCATCCACCTGTCAACACTGTCTCCGTCTCCGAATCTCTGCACGACGATGGTGGGCGTGATAGGGGAGAGGAATGACTGGGGAGATAGAGGCGTGGACCCTGACAGTTGCCGCGAGCTGAACGTGGTGGTCGCGTAAGATGGACTTTCGACTGGGGATGCCGTGAAGGAGAACAGGGAGTCGAACGGGCTCTCTTCGTCGGACGACATAGGGTCGATGTCGAGGAACTTCAGGCAGTACCGCCGCGGCTTGCGCGAGGCGATCTGTTCCGGGAGGTTGAACAATGGATCCTGTTCCACATCGGCGTCGCTACACGGTGTCCGATGCGATCAGTATATGGTGATCACGGTGGAGGCTCAGATGCGACGTACTGGGGCAGAGACATCTGTGGAGGTGAGGTGCGGATCATGATTGTGCTGGGGCCCGCCTTGCTCTTCCAGACGTCAGCGAAGTGTGCTCGCCTCGCGCTCTTTGCAGACGTCACACTAGTAGCAGATGCGGGCGAGCACGCCGAGCGTGGTCCGTGGGGGCGGCGTGACGGCCGGTCAGGTGAGTGCATGTTCGTGTTGATCCTCGCAAGCATGATGGCTGGTCGTGGTCGTGTAGCAGTCGGATCGCGGGCGGGGTAGGGAAGCGGGAAGTGATAGGGAGTGAAATTCGGATGCAAGCTAAGGGACCGCCTGTGTCTGGGGGATGGTGACCTTACGACGGGAGGTTGACCTTTTGAAAGAGCACTCTGCGCGCCCGGGGACTCGAGATTGGCAGGTGTAGATGACGGCGATATCAGAGAAGTCATGGTGGAACGGAGGTTGACGTGGGAGCGCTGGTCAGAGGCGTCAATGTGAGTGCGGAGTATGACTCTAAGTGGCTCATGACATGAGTGTGGACGGACGAGACTCACAGGTGGCGGCGAACACACGTCGTGCTGCTGTCCAAGTCAGGCTCCGAGTAGGGACGCCACGCTATACCGCTGCTTTATGGCTTTTCTTGTGGGGAATGCGCAGGAAACCGCGCCCTCGGGTGTCCATGAGCGTATACCCTGTTCAGATGTTAGCTATGCTCTCCGATAAGGGCGGCTAGCTGGATTACACTCCCACGGGGCTGTGTCGAGCCAACAGCGTACCGCTAGCAACCACTTATTGCGGCGATGCCAGTGTTCCGGATCGCCAAGACATGGTTATACCATAGTATATGGAACCACTACTTCATGATTGCCTACAGCATCCATATTGTATCCGGATACATGTATTATATTAGGAGAGCCCAGTGTATGGAAGTGGACGATCAATTCCGGAGCTCACCTCTGTCATGGTAGGCTTGATCGATTTGATACAGCACGTCTTCGGAAGTCACTTATGCCGGCATCTCCCCGCACGTGCAGATGGAACCCAAACCCACCTGCAGTGCACCTAGCAGCAAGGGGAAAATGCACCGGTCAAGAAATTGGTGCACTGACGGACGAAATGAAGACGGTCCGGCCGCGGAGTGTGTAGCGCGAGTGGCGGTGGAAGCGTCTCTGGCCAGCGAAGACAAGACCGGCGGTATCGTTCCCGAGGACACGTCCCGAGGACACCGTACACAGATTACACGATGTTCCCGGCCCTGCGCCTCGGTCCGAGGTAGGTAACCACACATATACGTTGGTGCAAGTTAACAGCCTCGGTACCTGACAGACGGCCGAGATTGAGTTGTCCACGTTAGATATTTCGCCCATTCCGACAGACGACTGAACCTAACCTCAACGTTTGTAAGACAGGAGGCTATCGGGCGCGAATAACGGATGAGACACAAGACGCAGATCGTCGCGGCATCCGTAGGAGTCGGCTCCGGGATAAGATAGGCATCGCTTCTTACTGTGTTAGCCGGCTTCGGATGGGCCGAACAGCCGGTGTTTTGGCAGAGAGCATGAGCGGTCGAATGGGAGTCGCGAACACAATCTGGCGTATGTCTGCTCTGAGAGAGTGATTTGTCGAGATAAGCAGTATGGGTCTCCTGAGTAGGAGGGAGAGACTCACGGTTTATGATTTATCACGACCCCGACTGCGCTACCAGCACGAAGGGATCGGATATGACAAACAGTCTGCAAATGGGTCAGGATTATAACCGCAGAGCGATTACCTGTAATGGACACTCATCACAGGGAGCAGAAGATCCGATTCTAAGGGTACCTGAGTATGACCTTCTGTGGTTCAACTAGGAAGGCGGCTCGAGCCTCCACTCGCGTTAATGGAAAACTAGAAGGTAGGTTCATGAGTATATCCAGGATACAACGACGCTCAGATATCCCAGTTCGCCGCAATCAGCTGGCTTCGCGGCATCACTGTTGTTTCAAGCCAGCCTTCTGTGGAGTGCATGACAAGGTTCATATGTCGCAAGGCATTGCGATCGGTAGATGCGGAAGGCTCCAGTCATACGATGCGTCCCTCACACGTCTCCGAGAGTGTACGCAGACGATCATGGGAAAGTACCCACAAGGCCGTTATGCGAGGCTCGCGGCACATAACACTCCTCACTTTCGGGTCTGTGCCAGGTGAAGGAGCTCGCTTCCTGCGTGCCTGCTGAAACCCAGGAGTACGTTGGCTATGTCAGGTCGATCATACTGTAAGTGATAGCCACAGCTCACCACTGGCGAGCCATAGTCGTCCGACAGTAGTGTGGAAAGTGATGTGAGTGTAAGACCTGCAGGATTGTATTTTATGGCGTACGATAGAAAAGAGATGAGACACTGAGGCACTGTCATCTCTATACTCATCCTAAGCGCCACAACGTAGGGGCCCAAGTTGGCTCCATCAACCCAGGAGTCCAACTCGTTCCCACTACTTGCAGCATTCGCACCATTGGGAGGGAATCCGATCTGCGTAACACTCTTCTGGCCTACGCCGAAAGAAGGCAAAGGTGATCCCGGGAACCCCTGACATCATTTCGCTTACCTCGTGTTACCCACATCCTACTCGACGCTGTTCACATGTGACGCGTGAGAACAAACACAGAGAATGTCGCAATGACCGTTGAATGCCGTCTTGCTGACATGACATGAGACAATGATACCAAACGTCAATCCTCGTGCCAGCGGCGTGAAGATTAGTCAAGAATCAAAGCTTCGCTGAGATTATTACATGGTGTACTGCAGAGATCGTCAGTAAGACGATCTTAGAGAGCTTGGAGGAACTACCCACGAATACATCTGAGCGGTGGGAGTGACAGCATGTGGGCACGTCATGACATACGTATCTGTCCAGACATAGTCATGCCGTTGCTCAGCAGAGTCGAGTCTTCGAAGCGCAACTTCACGAGACAGAGAGAATGCCTACGCTGGTGGTCATTGCGTGTGCGGCGGAACGGCTACCTGTTTCCAGCGGCATTGGCCTGGTTTTGGGCCTGGGCCAGGACCCCCTGCTGCTGCTCAGCAAGTACCCTCCGCTTGTTGAAATAGTCGATCTACGAGGCGCAGCACGTCGTCAAATTGACGTCGCCACAGAGTGGAATGACATACGCACCCAGCTCCTGGCACAATTACGCTCGTATGTCCCTTGTGCATCTGCACAAACGTTGCCCTCGTCTCCGGGTTTCACCACGTTGGCGCCGTCCAGACAGGCGAAGTACGCATCGCGGCTCTCCCAACACTTCTTTCGGTCCTTTCGTGATGTCAGATCTGGTGTCTCGGAGGCCTTGCCGCCGCTGAACCAGCCCATAGCTGCACTGCGGATTGATAGAGGAAAGAGCGGGAGATGGTGGTCGACAACAGAGAATAGCTGGGGTTGATTCGGGACTTATCAGCAGGATATGTCCCATTTAGGACATAACGACGTAATCCCAATACTTATCCCGCTACGGTCGTCGAGGTCGTGAGGTCCGACGATCTCCCACTCACCTCTACACTACTATCTGTACACCCTGGCTCTCCGTCGACGGCACCGCTTGCACCGTTGTCGTCATGGCGTCCTCGTCGACACAAACGACGCCCGCACAACATCACCCGCTCTCTCAAGACGAAGTGCCGTCGCGGGGACGTCGGTCGCGTGGTAAGCCGAGCGAGGATAGCCCAAGACCCCAAACGGACTACTTCGCCCTCAAGGCCAAGCTGGACAGTGCCTCGAAAGAACACACGAGATACACTAACGCGAATTGGGATGGAAGCGTTCGTGGATACGGGAAGGGCACTCGGTGAGCATGGCTGCTTGATATCACGCATCCTCGTTCAGAAAGGCTCGCTACCGCCACCAATGTAATTAAGACATCCTCCGTTGAGACAAGTTTCGTGCATAGTGCCCTGGAAATCCCGAGTCCACTATGATGTATCGTCATTACCGGCTATTCATCTCATTCATTGGATGTGTCTCAGTCATTAGCAGGTGACCTCTAACTAAAGCATCCATCGAAACTACACGGAAGTGTCGTCTGTCTCAAGTTTGCACAACTCTGTGGAAGGGCATAATGTCGTGCCCGTGTCCAAAGGTCGCGCAGACAGCGGAAGCTCAGCTCGCACGTCAGGGCATATGGTGCATCCTATGGCCGGGAACGTAGGTCTTTGTACCAGACAGTCTGAGTTTATCCATGACCCCGAAGTGACCGCGGTCTTCCGCAAATGAATTGGGGTTAGAATCAACGGAATCCCCGTGGCTTATGCAGTCGCGGACGTCCGCTTTCCTTGGGTAACTTACGTCCTTTGGCCTACATCTCACCTCCATGCGTAATACATGGACCGTGTTTCACTGACTGATATCCCCATTTCGCAGATCGGTAAAACCGCCGCCCCTAATCGTAGTGGAATCTTCAAGCGATGACATCTCTTCGCAGCCGCCGAAATACGAGCTTCTCGGCGATCCCTCTGCTGAAGGAGACGGCTCTGGCCCGTTCTCCCCCTCCACCACGGCGAAGATTTTGTCTACCAAGTGGCATGCGTTTGCGGACGAGGAGATTCGTTCTACTGTCACCGTATATGCAACGACCACCCCGCCGAACGAATTGTCGGAACATCCATGCTACGCTATAATGCGGGTGCTCTCGTCAGCTGTCCACAATCTCACGCGTGCGCGACATGAGTTAGAGGAGAGTCGACGTGTACTTCTAGAGAAGGAGGCTGCGCGGAAAGAACGCGCAAAGCAGCTTTTGCAGGAGCTCTCCTCCTCGGAGAAGGAGATCGGGAACCGCGTTTTCCAGTCTCTCTTCCCGGACGATGACGAGACATCACACCACGTTCACCGTATGCAACGACAGCAAAGCGTGCTGGTGAGCGTGGTGTGTTCTATCTGCAGCGGACATACGCTGATGTTTCTCAGTCTCTTGCAGAGTCGCTTACAGAGGCCATTGAAGATGAAGTGCCAATCTCGCGCAGCGTCCCGGAAGGCGATGTCACCCCAATGGCTTCTGTACTCGTTGTACCTCCAAAACCACAAATATCCACCACTGTCGTAACGGCACAGGCCGTACCCGCCTCTCCTGTCGCTTCGCGAAGTGTGGCCGAAACACTCCCGGCGGTCCAGGTTGAGCACGCAGATACCACCGACACACGAGAGGCTCCCGACAACGACGAATCTCGGGCTGCAAGTGCGGACCCAGCGAAAACAGAGCGACCATCGCTTGGAGACTGGATGGGTACCTGGTGGATAAAACCTAAGAGTAAGACAAGAGCCCCTCAGTTACCCTTTCCAGCCTCCGATGCCTCCGATCCGCTTGAGGAGTCTCCTCGTGCCGATTCGCAGTGCCTCTCTAGTGATGACCTGCCGCCCACACCCTCTACGCCTCAGACGCCTGGGAAGGAGTCAGCAGCAACGAAACGGAAACCGTCGCGGAGCGTCTTCGGTACACTGGGCTTCTCCATGTTGAACCCTGCCTCGTCGTCCACGAATGCAATGGTGGTCAAGAAGCGACGCAACATGTCTGTGACAGACGTCGCCGGTGCTGAACTTCCTCCGGAGCCGCAAGATGTCGCGCCCTCAGTCAAGTCCGCGCATGTGTCGCCTTCTTCCAGTCCTCTCCTTTCTCCTGTCGCTGTTAGTTCCGACCTATCAAGGTTCACTTCGTCAACCAATGCCTCTCCTTCCCCAAGCCTCATGGCCCCGGACGAGAAGCCTCCGCAAGGCTCATCTCTGCGCGCTATCATTCAGGCAACACGTGTCATGACATCGGATGCGAGCAGCATCCTAATTGATCATGGGCGCGAGACGAGCCCGCTCATTGCCCAGCTGGCGCTCGAACTCGTCCGTAACGCACGCGAAGCTGGGCTGGACTTCCGAGAAAGGCCGAAGGAGAAGAAGGAACGCAAGGCAGGCGGTGCCGAGAGGCGCGCGTCTCCTGCGGCAGATGCAGATGCAACCCCCGTCCCATCTCGCATCCTCACCACGGCGCAGGTAGGGCGGCGCACGCCGAAGAGTCGAAAGCCGAGCGTCAATCTCCCTTCGTTCGCTTCACCTTTGTTCGGATCGTTCGCCATCCAGCAGCAGAAGAAGCCTGCTATTCCTTCCGACAGTGCCCAGCAGAACCCATCGAGCGACGCCTCCCAGGGCAACCCTTCCACCGCAGCACCTCAGCCTATGAGCAAAGCCAAAGCTGGCTCGGTCCCACTGGAGTCTATTATCCCTGTAAACGCGAAGCCCCCTACCCAGTATCTTTCGAGGCAGTATACGCCGCTCACCTCCCGCGACTTCCACTTCTCTATTCCGCTGCCTGACAACGAGTCTTCCATCGCCGCGCAGGTGGACGAACGCAGCCATGAAGGTCTCACAGACCGTTTTGGGTTCATCTACGATATCGCACGATATGATGCGCTCCTGCTCATTCGCGCGAAGGAGTGCAAGAATACCGCTCCCGTGTGTCTCACCGGTATCAAGGTCGCAGACCGCACGGAGGACAATACGTGGCCGGAGGATGAGGAGGACGTGACGGCGAACACGATTGAGATCGTGAAGGATGGGTGCGACTGCAATGGCGAGGGCGATGACGGCGCGGACGCGATTAGCGTCAACTCAACGAGTACGCGGCCGACAGTGCGCAGCGTGCCTGCTGGTGACTCGACGCGGTCCCGCGGCACGTCTCCAGCCTCGTCCCGACGCGTGAAGCGCACGTCCACACTCCTCAGCGGGGCAAGCACAACGACGATCAAGTCAACTTCGTCTGTGCTCTCGGTCGACTCGGAGACCCCACGACATATTTGCGGAAACACGATCAGACGGTTACTCTCCCAGCTCACCGATATCCACGATCAGCGACAGGCGGCACAGCGCAAAGAGTGGGATCTCTTTCTAAAGAACCGCAGTAGGGCGATGACGAGCAAGGCCATGTCTGCGGGCTCGCGCAGCGCTTCTGCTGGGGTTGTCGGCGGGGCTGCGCAGCTACTTGGATTGGGCACCGCGGACGAGGCAGAGGAGCTCGAACATAACGAGGGCCTCATTGGCTTCGCTCAATTTGGGCTATCGTCGAGCAAGGACGAGAAGAAGGAGTTCGATAGGCTGGTGCGGAACGGAATCCCGCTTGCGTACCGCTCGAAGGTTTGGCTCGAATGCAGTGGCGCTCTGGAAATGCGCGAGCCGGGCGTTTTTGCAGACCTCCTTGCGGAGTGCGACACCACGAGCAGTGTTGTGCGCGAGATCGATAAGGACGTGTGTCGGACGATGCCCCTGAATATCTTCTTCGGTAGGACGGGCGCTGGGGTGGAGAAGTTGCGTCGGGTGCTCATGGTGTACAGCAAGTAAGCGAACTCCGCACCTCTGGTTCTTGCGCGTGCATGCTAACGCATTCGACCTTGCAGGCGTAATCCAGCTGTTGGGTACTGTCAGGGCATGAACCTTGTCACGTCGACGCTTTTGCTCGTCCATGCTGACCAGGAGGAGGCATTCTGGGTTCTAGCCGCAATCATCGAGCGCATTCTCCCCGATGATTTCTTCTCGCCGTCGCTTCTTAGCTCCCGTGCCTGCCCACTAGTTCTACTCGACTACGTCCAAGATCTGATGCCCAAGTTGTCAGCGCATCTCGCCGAGCTGGGCGTTGACCTCGGCGCGATCTGTTTTTCCTGGTTCCTTTCGTTGTTCACAGACTGTTTGCCTGTCGAGGTAAGTCGCTGCTTTTGGATGTTCGTCGTTGAACGCTGAATTCTTGTCAGACGTTGTTCCGGGTCTGGGATGTGTTCATGGTGGAAGGCATCGACGTGCTATTCCGCATCGCTTTTGCCATTCTGCGCACGAATGAGCATGAGTTGTTACACTGCACATCTATCCCAGCTGTGTATGTTGCGCTCGAGAGCTTGCCTAACCGTATGTGGGAGGCAGACCGTCTTCTTCAGGTCAGTTCCCCCCCCCCCCTTTGTCTGCTCTCCAGCAGCTTTGGCTCACTGACTTTTCTGAGTCCAGGCTGAGGCGGATCTCCGGAGCACGATCGTGCATGCTGATATCGTCAGGAGACGTAATGCTCATATCGCGCAATTGCGGGAGGTCATGGCATAGATCTACTACATGTTAAATAATGGTTTCATGCAATGTGGGGACTTCATCGAACATACGTGGACAGCACTAGGGATGTACTATATATAATTCATCACACCACGCAGCCAATTCATCATGCATTGTACTCGAGTCTGTACTGATGCGTCGACCTCCGAGTGCATTGGCCCTCCGTCGCGATCAAAGAGGGGTTGGGTCCGTCGCGCAGTAGAGTAATAGATTATCTCGAAGATAATGTGGTGGGTGAAGAGTACGGACCCGCAGTCTATAGTACAGTGACCTGAGTTAGCTTCAGTGAGAGCTGAAACGCTGACCTCGCATACGTAGTGACGTAGCTTAAGTATACTTAAGTAGTAGAACCTCAGGGAAGGCGCTTAGCCTAGTTCGGCCAGTAAACAAGATCCGTCACCATGATGACCTGGCTCTGCTCCGAGCTTCCTCGCGGCAATGTGTCTGTCGACTCCCAATCTTCTCATATTGATACGGCTCCAGTCTCCCATACCAAGGCTGTACGTCTCATCAACTATGCGTCGCGCCTTAGGGTGAAAGCCGGCGCCACGGCCCACTGCCCAAGGCTCGTTCTTGGCACCCTGTTCAAGCCAATGAACGCTATCATGTCTGCGTCGTCCGAGCACACCTCTTTACAGGGTCAGCGTCGTTTCGTTATCAAGACTCTGTTCAATCCTTCGAATGTTACAAACTTCGCTGAACCTGCTTCCACTCCAGAACCTCTCAATCATCCTTCTCGCTTCTATCTGTCACCTCGACCTGGACGTCGGCAAGCCGACGATGCATCATTCAGTAAACATAGTCGGCGTACGGAATACCCTTTGTAGAGGTATTTACTCTTCTGTTGGGTGCATGGCTAGGCGTACCCCAACGGGCTGTGTCATTGCCAAGGTATTTCTGCAAGGCCCGGGTTTTCCGGAACATGTTCTAAGTCGATCTGTCCCGCCGTTCGAAGTTCAAGTTCTTGTGAGACCGCATTACTGATGGATGCGGCCGCATGATGGTGATGAGGACGTTAGGAACAGGAGCGGTTTGAAGATGCTCTCAATTGCATTCCTCCCTACACTCTTCGGTGACCTTCTCTGCGAGACCTGCTACGGCCTACGAACTCTTGCACCCTAGTATGCCTCCCTCTGCCGAGTTGCCGATGCTAGACGACACTTTTGGTGCAATGCTCGTGGGGACTTTTGTAGGACTCATGTGAGCACGGCTTTGGATCGCCTACGAACTATGCTCATGTCGTTTTTCCGGTTGCGCAGATTATACGGAATGGTGATACTACAATCTTTCCGATATTTGAGGATGTATCCTGAAGACGGTCCTTGGCAGAAGGGCTGGGTCAGTGTTCCAAAGCAGCTTCGTACACACTAACATCTACTGATCCTGGACATTGACTACAGGTCCTTGCTATTTTGTGAGTGGCATGTGACATTTTGCAGCTGGATTCGATATTGACGAGGACTAGCCTTCTTGAGACGTTTCACATGGTCCTTTGCACGCACATCTGGTGAGTCTCAATCGCACTTCTTGATGCCAAAATCCTCATGAGGATCCTAGCTACCACTATGTCATCACGAGTTACCGAACCCCTGGTATCTTACTGACATTCAATTGGTGTGTGCTACGATCTCCTATTACCTCAGCAAACCCTTTTACAGAAAGGCCGACTATAGGTCGTTCAGTGTGAGAATTAATCTTCCTGCAGAGTCGTTGTAGGCTAATGTTGTACGTTGTAGTTGCTACCAATCCTCACGGTACGCCTTGCGGAAACCGCGTACGCCCGGGCCATTGATCACATGCTCACGGAACATTGTAGGGTGCTATTGTCGCTATATGTCAGAGGTTGGTTCTATTCGTGTTGTGCTGTTGATAGAATCGTTCACAATGGAAGCTGTCAGCTTCTTTGCATGGCGAATTTTCCTCCGTACGTCCGCCTTATGAAACATGCACCTACTTCCCTTACTGATGAAGTTAAATTCAGTTCAAACGAGATATAGGCCTCTTCCCATGATTATCGTAAGCCCACTTCCAAGTGAATGAAGAGAGGAATGAACCGATGCAATAATGACGGCACTAGGGTGTCCTGCTTCTAGGCGAGCTAGGTATTCTATTTGCCTTATCCGCATTGTGAACAGGTCTTGATCAGAACTCACAATCGTATCCTGCACTATATACAGGATTTTTCACAGGTGAGCGAAGGCTCCTCTCTTGTCAGCCATGATGGTATCTCAACGTTGCGCTGTCATCGTAGCCGCGACCGTCGATATGTGCGTCTCGACATGCATCGTACGTATACAAAGCTCAATACTATGCTGAACGTACAGACTTGGGCAGCCATTGTCGCAGTTGGAGAGGTTCATCGTACGTACCCTCCGGAATCGATCTCCTCGCGGAGTATCGCAGAGATAGGGCCGACCATCTTGCGCCTCCAGTGGTTGATCTCGGTAGCAACTGGGATAGTTATCATCTCCGACCTCCTCATGACAACGATGCTCGTGATGATCCTGCGTAACAGTCGAACTGGAATAAAAAGGTGAGTCTGCCGACTCGGACTAACTTGGTGAATTGATAGTAATCATGTAGTTACACCGACTCGGTATCTTCCTAGAATGGACCTCGTCATAGATGTTTTGACGCTGTATGCCATCAACACAGGTGTGTGCTTCTCGATATCCGAAGGGGATGACCACTCATGCCTGCATAGGACTCCTAACAAGGTAGACGATATTGATTTTCCTCTGTTGAAGCGCTGGGGGTTCTCGATGCTGATAGCATGCACTCTCAGCATTGTCAGCTTCTGCCCTTTTATCTTCGTTAGTCTGTCACGTTTCGATGCCGTCAGGGTGACGATTGACTATATCTCAAGTCTCTGATATTCCGACAAAACCTCATCTTCGGGGCATTTGGAATCGTCGCCTCCAAACGTACGTGGCTCATGCGCCTGTTCGTAGTATTGATACACGATTCTGACATCGCCGCCTTCCTAGTCTATGCCAATGCAGTTCTCGCCTCGTTTGTACTTCCATCATTGCATTCCATGAACCATACCGCTGACATCGCTTGATCACGGCTCTCAGCTTGAACGCACGAAAATCTCTGCGATACACATCGGCTATGCTCGAGGATGGCCTGACGATACCGCTGACTCCGCGGGGTGTGGCCATTCCCAGGACCAACACTAGCACTTCCTCGACATTTTTGGTTGACTCGCCATATATAGTAGTGGCCCGTAGGCTCATGGTCGATTTTTGTCCTGTAATGCGTGTAATGCGGCCTCAAATTCGCAATGAAAATGAAACCGTCAGGCTGGCCTGTCGAGGTATCGCATCTAGGAACCGTCGTGCAGTGCTGATCTCCGCCTACTAGTACGCATACCCCAGTATCGTATATTACAGTCTCTCGAGACTTCCCCATAAGTATTTATACAGTTCCATCCATTCCTTGTGCATGTCCGTGATCGTCCTGTCCCATACACCTACTTGGCCGTCCCGAACCTGATATTCGGCTGCTCCTCCAACCGCACGCTGCTCGGCGCCTTGACGTCCCACTCCGCCTCCAGCTGGACCTTCTTCCCCGCCTTCACGCCGCACAGCCACTCATACAAGCCGTCCCTCTCGCCGCCCGCCCCGCTCTCAACCTTCGTCCACCTGACCGTGGCGCCCTTCGTCTCCCCTGAGAGCTTGACGGCAACGTCTTCGCCGTCCTTGGCCTGCGCGAGGCCCTCGGGCTTCCGGAGTGTGACCGCGATATTCGCCTCGTCGCTCCCGATCGGGACCGCGTCGCGCACGACGAGGTCCGCGATGTCGAACGGGTGGCCGTTCGAGATCGTTGTGACGACGGTGCGCGTCAGAGTCTTGGAGGGCTCGGCGAATGAGCGGCGCGGCTCGTACACGGTCCGCGCCTTGGTGTTATATGCGACCTTCAGCGAGGTGTCGATGCCGAGGACGCAGACGAAGCTCTCGCTCACGCCGATGAGCTGTGACAGAAAGACAGTCCGTCAGCGGACGAGTTGATGTGCCATCAGAGGAGAGAAGAAGAGAGACTTACGCCGAGCAACGTCTTCGTGACGAAGCTATCGTCCATGAACACACTGACAGGCCCCGCAAGCAGCTCGAACTCGCTCGTGTTCTTGATCCGGCCCTCGATGAACGCCGCGTTCGTCTTCCGCGGCACGCACACGTACTTCAGCACCGCAGAGAAATCCAGCACGGCGATCGACACCTTGTGCGCGATCCCGTCGCTCGCCAGCGACACCTTGCCCTCCACGCGATACGCGAGCGACAGCGGGCTCCGGTCGAGCACTGCGCCTTGGCCTACCTCGTCCTCTTCCGAACCCGGTGTGCCACCGACATGCTCAAACTCCTCTTCGGGGTCGGCGTTGGCGGGGGCCGCGGACGCTGGACGCACGCTGAACGGCCCTGGTGCGGTATTTGCCTGACTGGGAGGGACGACGATGACAGGTTGAGGGTTTGCAGGCGCGCTGCCCCACAAGCCACCTTGTGCGGGTGACGACACCCTGCCGAACAAACCCGTGGATACAGCTTGAGCGGGTTGTTGGCCGAGAAAACTCCCAGGCTGAGGTTGAGCAGGCTTTTGCGCTAAGAAACTCGTCAAACTCGTGCCCTGGGATTGAGGCTGAACGGCGGCTTGGCCGAAGGCTCCGAATCCTGTTTGCACTGGCTGCGGCAGTTGCTGCTGCCCCTGACCGAAAAGCGACGCTTGACCAAACGCTGACTGCTGCTGTTGTTGGGGCTGTCCGAACAAACCTCCGCCTCCACCAACGGGCTGTCCGAAAGGTCCACGAGCGACATTGGTGTTGATGTTGTTACCCGAGCTTCCAAGGAGACGCCCCCCTGCGAACGTAAACCGGAGCGGGTCAACTCTGGGGACGGAGAGGCTGCGCAGCGCATGCGAGTTCGCGGTACTGAGGGTCAGTGAGGTATTGCTCCAATCCTCGCCAGTGGTCTGAATGATGTTGGCGCAATAGTGAAGGGTGACGTCCGAAGACGGCTTGCCGTCCGAGGTGCTGGCGTGGAGGTCGTAGTAGGGCTGCCAGGTGACCCCTGTGACGACTGTAGGCCGTGAGCATGGGTTTAGTCGATGTGAGACAGAGCTTCTAGGAAGTTATCGCTTACGATAGGTCAGTTGTACTTCGACCTTGCGTTCGTGCTTCGCGAGCACGGTAGCCGTAACGACGCCTGCGGTCTCGCCCTTGTGGATGTTGTTGAGCTGCCAAATCTCCTGATCAAGCGCTTCAATCTGATCGTCCAAGTCAACGATCGCCTTCATAGCGCTGCGCTTCCGCGAGACCCATGTCTCCATGAAAACGTCAAGGCCCGTCTCCTTGTCGCTGACGAGCGAGCGCGCGCCGTCATCGAGCAATTCGGACTCCCTCTGGCGCACGGTGCGTTCGCCCTCCAGGAGTTTGCGCTTCGCAGTGAGTTTCTTGATCTCGATGGCATTCTTACTGCTTTTGTGGCTCGGGGCGTTGGCAAGCGTGGTGTTGCACGAGATGTCAACGACACGTGCGTCGGTTCCTAGGCCATGGATCCTAGGCGATTCCCTATCAACATGGCTGGAGATGTTCGAGATCTTCACCACGTTGCTGCCAGCCTGTTGCAGCGCAAGGTGAGCCTCAATATGAACGGCAGCGAATATCGACAGGACTTGCCTTCAAGTCGATGGTGAAGGTGCGCTTCAGCTCCGCCGTCGACGACTGGAAGATGGTCACGGACTTGACTGGGTGCTCTGACGCATCGAGAGAGATTGTTGAAGAAGTCATGGTGGTTGGTGAGAGAAGGAGACAAGGGCTGCAATAGCTGAAGGCGACCCTTAAATACGCCACATTACGGTTGAGTCAAAATAGAAGCCTCGCGGGACCGTCGCTCGTTGCCGGATGCTGCTGCGATACTAAAGCCCAATGTTTACAGGATGCGGTGTTCATGTGCTGCAGGATTCTGCTGGAAACAAAGACACAACATACAAGCGATTGAACCTGCCGCCGATTTCCCATCACGTTTACGGATTCGACCGGTATGGCCTTCAGCAAGAGGACAGAACGGTCATTGTCCCCACAGCACGCCTGCTGTCGAAGGAACAATGAAGCAGTCTCGCGAAGTGCAATTACCAATGAACCCCGATGCATACTGCACGACGAAATCGTGCAACGACTACAATGTATTTAAAACAGTGTATTCACCAAGCTAGGAAAGCTTTTAGGTCACAAATTTCCCTCACACACGAATAGAGAAAAAGCTGTGTAGAGGCCCACAGAACCGCACAAGCTGTCGCTCAAGACCGATAGTCGCTGCGGATATGCTCTCAGCGCGGCAATCGGAAGCTCGTAGTCGCTATGTAGGAATCGAGAGTTCAGTGGTATTTGCTGCTATGGCGTGAGAGATGAGAGTACTTGAGCGCAGGCCGATGTCGCCTGGTCACCACGGTCATACAAACCCATTATATTTGCCTCGATTCGCTCATTGGAGAGAGTCTGGGCGGAGCGAAGATGACCAGAGGGTACGATACTTCGGTAGAGCGGTTGCCACCTTCCTCTGTCAAGAAACGCAACCTCAGCAGCTTCGGACGATCAGCTCTTATAATTGCCAAGAAACCCAGATGTACACTGACGAATCGTACAAGTCCACGCCAAGATATTATGCGTTCTCCTCCAGCTCTTCCAACCGTGTGATCTGCCTGCAGCCAGTAAGTATCAGCCTCCAACTGAACCTGAAGATGGAAAGTGGACACACACCTATCTCTGACCGCCTCCTGCCACCTCTGCAATTTCGCAATCTCGTTCACCTGGAACCCGAAGATCCGCGGGCGGTACCGGTCCGCCTTCAACGCCACACTCGCCGTGCTCATCCCCTCCCCAACGCCCTCCGTCTCCTGCTCGTCCCTCACCCTCCTGCTCCGCCTGCTGCCTTCGACGTCGCCCCGTCCCGCGAGCGCGAGCTCGACCGGGCCGCTCTTTGGTGGGATGAGGTTCGGGTAGACGAGGAAGAGGAGGTGCGGGAACGACGTGCCGAAGTACGCGCCGTCGATGGACCCGTGCCGGGACGACTTGGGCGAGTAGATGTCCTCGCAGCGGCCGCAGTACAGCTTGACGGACTTTTCGTAGGGCACGTCGGTGAGGCCGACAGGAAGGAGGGGCTGCGATTGGCAGAGGACGCGCGGGCAGCGGCCGAAGTCGGCGCGCTTGTATTTTTCAAGCTGCGTGGACGTGAGCGCGTGGATATGAACATGGACGGAAACGGAAGGGGAGAGGACAAAGGTGAGAAGGGGAGGCGCGCAGCGGTGGCGAATTCGTACCATTTTTGCGAGGCCCCGCGCTGTCACTATCCATCGCGCGTGGATGAGGCCGTACAAGAGGCGGGCTTGCAGGTCGAGGTTGCCACGGAGGTCGTCCTGGATCTCCTCGTCTACTAGGGTAGGGGTTGGTACTCCAAGAACGATCGGAGCAGACTGAGAGCATACCAAGATTGTCCGTGATCATGTCCAACGCCTGCGCGTAGTGCTGTACCTCCGTGTTGAGGCCCGTGAGATTGAAGCGGTCAAGGATGTAGTCCTCCTCGACTTCACAGAAGTATTCATTGCCCTTCGACGACAGGAACCAGGAGATCCACTGCAAGACACATCAGACCGAAGTCATTGCGCGAGTTGGAGACATATTCACCGAGCTAGGAGAGCTTGAGTACGCGTCCGGCATAGACTGGTGTCTCAGACACTCACTTCGAATAGTCGGAGCCAGATCCGGTCGAGACTTCCTCCACTGCATAGATCTGGCTGTCAGAGAGCGCACTGAATGATATTCTCTAGCGTACTGACTCGTGTCGAAGGTGCTGAGAGACGAGGACAAGGACAAGGGCAGATCCGTGGCTGGAGGTCGTGAGCGAAGGGAAGCAAGCAAGGATGGCTTCAGACTCGAAGCGAATGGAACAGACTCGGATAAGCAAGGAGTTAAGGTTCCATTTATTCTACCCTTGTTAGGGAACAATGTTACCGGATGTCAGACCATTTACCAACATACTTATCGTCTACTTTACAGGTCAATAGTCCACTACAAATGAGCGTCTACTTCCTTTCAGTAAAGCCACGATCGACCGTTGCCCTCCACATCCATCCCGCTTCTGCCTCTCCCTGGGTCTCTTTGTCGTCCACGGGTCTCTTTTTCGTAATCAGGCTTGAGATGATCAGCAGTCCAAGCTGAATATAAAAACTCTTGCACATGCTGGGTGACGCGGTAGTCCAAATGCCCACCGACCTCCGCCCGACCTCCACATTTGAGCTGGACTCGCCGCTGGAGCCCTCGCACAGACCGAAAGGCATCACTCGACTGACCGTGGATGTAACCTCTTCCTATAGCTCTCAAGTCAAAGCACAAACCCACCCCGCGCCGAGATGGAGGACACCGGAGTTCATGGTGTACTACGTGACGTTCCTGTGCGTGGTGCCGCTAATGGTTTGGATACCCTATACACTAAGCTCGCGTGAGTGCCCGTGTTTAACCATTGGGACCTACACACTGAACCCTCTGAGCGTAGCGTCGCATCCTAATTACCCATACTACGAGCGCTCATTATCCCCTGGCTGGTTATTCGGTAGACGAGTGGTGAGTACCTGTACTCCTGGTTAGAGTCAAACATGTGCTCGGCTGGGTCAGAGGTTGAGCCTGAACCTGCACACCTCTGCTACCTAGTCTGGCTGCAGACACTCCTGGTAGAACGGCCAACTATGGACTTCAGTTGTCGGATGTTAATGTATTACTTCAGGACAACAGCGACAACCAATACAGATCTTTTCGGAATGGCCTCCTCCCTCTCACTTTGCTCGCGAGCGTACACTTCGGTCTAAAACTACTCTACGCCGTCCTCACGCGCAAGGCGTCCTCCCTATCGGGCTCGAATAATCTCTACCGCATACCCTTCCTAGTCGTGTTCTGTACTGCGATGCTCTTCGGCCTGCACGGCGCGAGCGCACTCAAAGTCTTTGCCATCCTCTCCGCCAACTACGGCATCGCGAAGACGTGTAAGGGCTCGAAAGCGGGGCCCATCCTGACGTGGATCTTCAACGCGCTCGTTCTCTACGCGAATGAGAGGAACAGCGGGCATAGATTCGAGCAGCTACATCCCATCTTCGCGTCTTTGGTGCGTCCGTCAGGTGCATGCCGCAACCTCGCTGACCTGACTAGCTTGCATGCGGTTCATGTAGGACGCATGGCAGGGAATCTACCCGCGGTGGTACATCAGCTTCAACATCACTATGCTGCGCCTCGTATCGTTCAGCATGGACTATTATTGGGCGTGTAGGGGCGTTGGCCTGCCTGAGGTGAGCTCCTGCTCAAGTCGACACGCAGCACGAGGAACCTGACGGTGACGTGCAGACTTCCTTGTCAGATAAACATAGGCCAAGAGTCAACCACAGCCTAGACACCTACTCGTTTCTCAACTATATTGCGTACGTGCTGTACCCACCCTTATATATAGCCGGACCTATCATGACATTCAATGACTTCATGTGGCAGGCGAGTCTACGTTATATGAGACATATTATCGTCCTAACGTTGCACTTGTAGCTGAAAGCACCACTTACTATCACCTGGCGGACTGTGCTCGGCTACCTGGGTCGTTTCGTGGTGTGCATTATGACGCTGGAGATGATCCTGCACTTGATGTACGTCGTCGCGATCAAGGACCGTAGAGCTTGGGTCGGCTACTCAGCCGCGGAGCTCTGCATGGTCGGCTTTTGGAACCTCATCATCGTCTGGCTCAAGGTACCTCCTGGCTTGTCTCTTTCCCCCTCTCGCCCCAGCTAACGGGACCGTCGCAGCTCCTCGTTCCCTGGCGCTTCTTCCGCCTTTGGGCACTCGCAGACGGCATCGACCCGCCAGAGAACATGTTGCGGTGCATGGCGAACAACTACTCGCCGCTCGGGTTCTGGCGCGCGTGGCACCGGTCGTACAACCTCTGGATCGTGCGCTACATCTACGTCCCGCTCGGGGGCGCGCGCAACCGCGTCGCCGCGAGTGTGCTCATCTTCACGTTCGTCGCGCTGTGGCATGATTTGTCGTTCAAGCTGCTTGCGTGGGGATGGCTCGTGAGCTTGTTTATTCTGCCGGAGGTGGGGGCGAGGTATTTGTTGCCAGCTTCGAAGGTGCGTTTCTGGCGTGCTCTGTGGGAGTACTCTTTTGCTGATCAAGTGTGTGCAGTTTGGCGACAGGGCGTGGTACAGACACGTCGGGGCTGTCGGCGGTGTGCTCAACGTGCTGATGATGATGACCGCGAACCTGGTTGGCTTCGTCATCGGCACCGACGGGATGAAGTACATGATGGAGCAAATCGTGGGGAGCTGGCAAGGCATCCGGTTCCTGTTGTTCGCTTGTGCATGTCTATTCGTTGGCATCCAGATAATGTTCGAGTACCGGTAAGTCACAGGCGTGTTGCTCTGGTCCACGTGGTGTGCGGCTGACTTCGTAAAACATATTTGTAGGGAGGAGGAGGAGCGACAGGGTATTGTTCGTCGTTGCTAACAATTGCGGCTCCAATGGACTTCGATAGTGGTAATGTAATTTATTTACTGCCGATTATACTGTTCGACATGCTTTCCATGGTATATCATCGGTCTTTTTGGCCACGGCGAATCATCTCCGCCTTCGATAGGATTCTTAGTCTTGGACCTTTGAACCTGATCCGTCCTCAGGCCTCAGTAGTTATGGGAATGCGGCGGCCATGCGTCGATACAGCAGAGGTGTGAGGACGCACTTGAGGTGGAAGGAAGTGATGATGCTCTGATTGAGGCGGTTCGCTATCCCTGTTGCTTTGGAACGGTCCTGTGATGGCTCTTAGTGTACAGGGAGCATAAAGTCGGAAGTGATTGTTGTACTCGTACATACTCCTGGTACCGGTTGGCGAGTTCGCGCGGAGCGCCCGGACGAGAGCTTGCTCGTGAACGACACACCCGCGCGCCAGCCTTCCTACAGCTTTCTGCCTGACCACCACCGTATCTACCTCCATTCCTTTACTTCTCATCTCCCCCCTTTCATCCGCCAGCTACGCACACTTATCTCGATGCCCTCCGACTACCGATACGAGCGAATCCCGACAAGCGATGAGAAGCGTAGGGTCCCCCGACAGGAACCTACGAGCGATGTCAGGGAGCTGCACCGCCGTCTCGAGCAGGACCCCCGCTTCAATCCGCCGACGCCCTCGCCCTGGAAACGGTTCGCGCTGGTCCTGTTCCTCGTCTTCCTACTCTATGTTGGCCTCAAGCTCCGCGTGAACGCCATCAAGAACCTCGAGCCCGAGCCAAGCGTCGTCCATGCGACCAGGTAAGTACGTCTGAGCATCCCCTACACTTCTCTGTAATGGGGGAGACGAGAGCGGTCGGGGCTGAACATGTAGGGGGGCGTTGTAATGGGATGCGTTGTACAGGTACTCGAAGGACTACAAGTACCGGCCTGCGGCGAGCCCCATCATCACGGAGAGGCTGAAAGATGGTCGGACGCGGGTGCGGGGCGCTGCTCCTACCGCTAGGCGGTGAAGGTGCGTTTACACTTCATGCTGTCAGTTGTGCGAAGTCAGGCTCACCTACTATGGTGTACTACAGGCTTGCGGAGACTTGGATTGATCGTCTTGACGGAGCATTTACACTTACCCCTTCTCCGCCTTCTCCCTCTGTTAGCTGTTCCTGATCCCTCACGTTCTTTGTTGACAATCGTATATGAATCTCATCCTGCTTGCTTCTATTTGGATTCGTTTGCGCGGCTGACATGTGGAGCGGTGCGAGGTGAGTTTCAGCTCGTCGGAAAGTTGGGCTGGTATCGGACACTTGGCTGTACCTGCAACCACCGAGCACTCAGCACTCAGTACTCAGTACCCAGCGCCGAGCTTGCGTCAATGCATGCGGTAGCGACATCCATCGGTGTTGGTATATTATCCGCAGCTCTCGTGTGTCAATGCGCCGTGGGCCCACAGCTTATACAATCCGCTCATCGAGGACGGTCTTCAGACCATGCAATCAAGTGAAGAGCCTGCTGGATGCCAGCTCTATGCCGGAGGATGTCCTGGCATCCTACAGTATGACATCCACTCGTGTGTCCCGTACTGGGACTACGCAACCACACATCAGGACACGGGGTGTCGGCATTGCCGGGCACACTGGACTCACGCCAGAAGGGATTTCTCTCCGTATCCGATAGAATTTGCAAAAACGAGTGAGCTAACGGTACAACTAGTTGTTCTGTGCAGCGAGAGCGAATGATCAAAGAAAATCACAGCTATAGCTAGGGATCCACCGCCAATGACACCGCAAAGTCCACAACACAGCTTACGCGACGCCCTTCTGGGCCTCACCAGCGTGCTTCTGGTCGGTGGCGATGTTGGTGGTAAGCTTCTTCCTGCAAAGCAGGAAGCATCAGCTCCGCATCCCGACACTACCACACGACGACAGCAGAACACGTACTGCTCATCAGCCAGGGAGCTCTCAAGGTCAGACGTGTCCGAGCCCGCAGCCTGGGCCTTCGCGATCTTGATGTTCAGCGCCTGGACCTCGCCCGTGAGCTTGAGCACCTTATTCGCGATCTTGCCGTTCTGGAGCGCGTCCGCATCCGCGCCGGACGCCGCGTCGATCGCGGGGTTAAACTGGTCGGTCTCGGCCGACTCGGCCGCCTCGCGCATCGTGTTGATGTTCTCTACGATGGAGTCGTCGACCGTGGCGAGGTCAACGCCGGCAAAGGGGTCGACAAAGACAGCGTTTGCGTGCTCTTGGGCGCTGCCGGCGGTGCCATCGGAGATCTGGAAGGCGGCGTAGCTGTGGGCGGATATCAGTCACCCTCGCCTTCCCTCAAGCTGTGTGTAAGTGCAATACTCACTCCTGAACGGGGAAGCTGATCGACGAGCCGTCGGTGCCAGTGGCAGCGTCAACAGGAGCGGAGGGGGTGGCGACGGCAGCAGACGAGGTGGCCTTCGATGCCTTAGCCGACTTGGTATTGGCGGCCTTGGTCTTAGTCGCCGAGGCCGCAGACGTTGTGGAGGCTGCAGCTGAAGCCGAATCGGACGCAGATGCGGCGGCAGACGAATCCGATGAGGACGCAGCGGAGCCGCCGGTGACACCCTTGGAGGGCTGGCCGGACGCCTTCTGGTCGAGCGAAATGTTGTTGTTAAGCTTAGTCTGCTCCTCGGAGATCTTGCTCTGGATAGAGGACGTGTCATCGCCTGACGCCTGGGCCTGTGCGAGCTGCAGGAGCCACCGACTTATTCAGCATACTTCCCTTAAACAACATCGACACGAACACGCGCACCTGAATGTTCAGCGCCTGGATCTCTCCAGTAAGCTTGAGGACCTTGTTCTTGATCTTGCCATTCTGGAGGGCGGTAGCCTCATCGCCAGATGCGGCGTCGATCTGAGGATTGAACTGGTCCGTCTCCGCGGACTCGGCGGCCTCGCGCATGGTTTGGACGGCCTTGAGCGTGGCGTCGTCAACGGTGGCCAGATCGACACCATCGAAGGGGTCGACAAAGACAGCATTAGCCTCGGCCTGCGCATTACCAGCGGTGCCGTCGGAGATCTGGAAGTCAGCGTAACTGCGGAAGCCATGCTGTAAGTTACGTTCTGGAGCAAGGACGTGCGGGTGTGTACGTACTCCTGTTCTTGGAACGCGCGGCGGGTGAGGCGGAGCGGGGCGGCGGCGGCGAAGCCAGCCAAGGCGACGACGATGAACTTGGAGGCAAAGTAGACCATCTTGGGGAAGTCAACAACGAGGAGTGTTCAACACTGAGCTGATCAAAAGTGAACGAGTTTGATAGTGCTGAACGGCCGATGACACAGAACTAGCTGTGGAGTCGCTGCAGGAAGAACAACAGAGACAGACTAGCTGCGAGTGCAAGAAGGAAGGAAGAGGCCTTCGAGACCGGACCACGAGGAAAGGAAAGTGGAGGAGAGAAAGTGTGAGGGTGCAACATGACTCCCTCGGGGTTCTTATATCAGTTCCGTCGAGCTCGCCTTTCTTGCGTGGTGGCGCCAGCGCACCGTATGCTGATCAGTGTACCGACGGCTGCTCGACCCGGGTTTCCACAACAGGGTAAGCTCGCGGACAAATCGCCCGGGAACGTTCCAACGTTCTGTTGTCGGCAGTCGCTTGCAACGCCATCCGCGGAAGAACAAGGTGGCATCATCAAGACCTGCCTGCTTCGGCAATGGGATCGTTCCGGATCCCATTAGCGCTCATGCAATTACCTCGCGGCCCGTCCCCATGGACGACAACCGGGTTGCCGTGGAAGATCTTGGCTTGGCACACGGCCATGCGTGGGGACAACCGGCGCAACGCTCAGCTATCGGAGCCGCTAAGAGGGAAAGAAGATCACGCCTGCAAACGCTCATCATCCTCGTGGGGGAGGCTCCGAAGTGCCTCAGCGGCATATAAACGTCATTTGGGACGATGTAAACAAGGGAGGAACGGATCGCTGAGAGTTGAAAGAGAGGATTAAATCTTGGGAACGAAAGCGGAGGGGGGAGGGCTGAGTTGACGTGACGTTTGTAGACCACCCTTATGGTGAAATAGTCCTGAGTTGTCGAGCCCTGGAACAGTTCGGCGCATACCCCGATTCGGATCGGTAACTCGACGCATAACGCAACTATGTGTGGGCAATCACATTACAAGAAGAGTCACTGATATGCATGTACATCACGCCTTTAGCTGAGGCCGCCTCGACCTGGTCAGCGCGGCCGACGAAACACCCACGAGGACGAAAAGAAGCCAAAAGGCCCACCTCTTCGTGGCCCGGCTCACGACGCCCTTGCCTGGGCGCGGGGGCAGCGACGAGCTCGTGGCTTTGACATACTTCCTGTTCTCCGGCTTTATGACAGTCCCGTCAGCTGTTGCCAGCGTGCACGGACCTGGAGGGGAGGAGAGAAACAGAGGGAGGGCGAACCTTGTATGGGGGGTAGCGGAAGAAGAACGCAACCTTGTCGACCCAAGCGGGGTTCTTGAGGGACACGCGGTAGTGGGAGAACTGCTCGAATGCGTGCTTGCCGGTGTAGTAACCGTACCCGCTGGGGCCGATGCCTCCGACGGGCAGCCCAGGCACGCCTGCGGTGATGACAGTCTCGTTCGTCACGGCGGCGCCGCTCTTCGTGTTACTGAAGACTGTGAATTGAAGTATATATGGATGAGCGTGGAACGAGTCAAGGCAAATGGTAGACAATGACATACCCTTCTTCTCGAACTGCTTGTCGTGAGTGAAGACGTATACTGCCAGTGGATACTCCCTTGCTTGGATGAACTTGATAGCCTCGTCCACGTCCTTCACGGGGACCAGAGCGAGCACCGGGCCGAAGATCTCGCTATCCCCTTACACGTCAGTATAGGGCCCCCGAAATGAGGTATGGACGCCAGAGCACGCACTCTCCGAGCAGCGAATCTCCCTCCTTGACGTCCCGCACCACGGTCGGCGCAATGTACCGCTTCTCGACGTCCGCCTGTCCACCAACGACGATAGTGCCCTTCGTCTCGTCAATGAGCTTCTTGATCCTCGCCGCATGCGCAGACGAGACGATGCGCGAGAGCGAATCCGACTTCTCGGGACCCTCTGGGTAGAACGACGCGTACGCCTCCTTCAGGGCCTCCACGAGGGTGTCCTGGAAGTGCTCGGGGACGAGCACGTACTCGGGCGACAGGCAGATCTGGCCTGCGTTCGAGAAGCGCCCCCAGAGCAGACGGCGCGCGGCGAGCTTGACGTCGACGCGTGGGTCGATGACGACCGGGTTCTTGCCCCCGAGCTCGAGCGTGACGGGCGTGAGGTGCTTCGCGGCCGCTAGGGCGATTATGCGGCCGACGCGACCGTTGCCTGAGTCCCCGTTATGTGAGTCCGCGATAGACGGGACATGAGCAAGTCATACGAACCTGTGTACAAAACTGGAACGATATGTCAGCTATCTGGAGAAGCTGTCACAGATCAAACGACTCACTATGATCCCATTGTAGCTCTAAGATCTACCGATATAGTACGTTAGCGGGGATCGCTAGACGGTTATACTGCTACATACCTTCGTTGTTTCAGGAACTCCACCGTTGATGACATGATACAGCTCGGGATCGAGGTACTTGGGCACAAGTTCCGCTATCAATGTGCTGAACGCCGGTGTCTGCTCTGAAGGTTTCAGCACTGCGGCAGAACCTGCGGCAATGGCGCTGATCTACGAGTGCAAAAACCAGGATGAGCATGACGAGCTAGGACGACTGACGACATTGTCGCCCGGAACCGCAAGGCGAGCTGCGGATTGGTGACTCACGAGAGGGGTGAGGAGCAGAAAGATGGGAAAGTTGAAGGGGGAGATGATGAGAGCCACGCCCTTGGGCTCGGCAACAACCCGTGGCTTCATTGCGAACCAGTTGATCGAAAAGGGAATGCCTTGTGGCTTCGCCCATTTCGCGACGTTGCTGTAGGCATCCTTCACTTCTGCATAAGTAGGACCGAAATCCAGCCTGTTCACCACACGTGTTGTCAGTCATTGCTGGGCATATATATAGGAGAATGCGTCTCACAGCTCCGTCTCTTGGTCTGGTCGGCCAAGGTCGCTACGAAGGGCTTCCTTGAAACGCTGTTCGTTGTCCTTGATCAAATAGCCGACTTGGGCAATCTGCGCCTTGCGGAACTCGATGGACTTAGTCCGCCCGGACTGAAAAGCAGCTCGCGCGGTCGCATGGATCTGGACAAGAAAACATGAGCTTAGGAATGTCACGTCTGACACAGGGCACCTGCCTTAGGGATCTCCTCGATTGAAGTGTAGGCAAGCGTGGACATTGTGGCTAGTGTCGAAGGTGTCGGATATATATCGCTATTCACGTTTCAACGATTTGTCTTCAAAGGCAGTAGTCGATGATTTCGTTTGTTGCTCACAGCACTCAGTCGCCGAGACAAACCCAGTATCTTCTGTCTATTAGCTGCCTAAACGAGCGCCCAAATTCCAACCGAAGCGAACTTCAAGCGCTTACAGATGACGCTCAGCTCGTTCTGGCTGTGGGTCCTGGGATTGAAGCTGCTGCTACGACAGAACGTTGGTGACTATGAGCAAGGTGCGGAAAGGGAATAAAGACGCTGTAGAAACGAGAAGGTCAGGTCTTAAGTTGCGGAGATGATCAGCGTCGGGAATAAGAAGGGACTCCAACTCGTTCGAATCACACGGCGTCTTTTCACATGCCCACCTGCTGCGGTGCACCCGGAGGCGCTTACTTAGTCACTCGCGTCCGATGACTTTGGGATTGCTTCCGGATGGTGCTTAGTTTCAACAATAGGAGTTACATTGCAGTCGCTTATTTCAATGAATGCTCGGGACCCCGCCAAGACTTCAGCCCGCATGACTGAATCCACTACGAATCGACGAGACCATCGGTGCGGATAGCGCATTGACCCCTCGACTTCGCAACCAAGCCATCTTCCCGTGGCAAAATATCCTATGCGATACGTGAAGCACGGTGTCAAACGGTGCGCGGCATCGCAAGACAGTACTTATGACTCACGTCTTCGAAGATGCCAATCGGTAGTGCGAGAGTTACGCACGCGTTCGGCGAATCCTGACGATAAGAACATACAGGTCAATTCTTCGCCGGACATGTAGAAGGGAAGTCATGGATTGCGAACCACTATGGCGCCGACGTGACTCTCTACCGGGGCGGCGGAGAGGAGAAGATCTGTCATGGTATCAACGACAGTAAGGAGCGTGTGAGAACTGAGGATTATCGTATGGACGCTTACATGCTTGTTGGCGTGCTGTTCACGCAGCAGGGTCAATTATAACATACGAAGGAGTGTCAACCGGTACACGTACTGTATCCGAGCTGTCGCCGTGCAGATGAGTGAGCAGGATGGATGGATGATAGACAAGATACTGACCTTCTGCAGGTACGCGATGGCATTGAGGGCTGCCTGCTTGTAGGCCACAGTTCTGTCATGCGATCTCAACACGGTGCGGTGACAGAGATAGGGAAACGCTCACGCATCCATATTGTACTGGGTACCATCGCCATCTGTTCAAGCATGAGCCATGCTTCTGGAATTTTCTTGAATGGATCAAACTAACGGTAGTCCACGCTAATCCCTTCGAAGATGAGCTATAATTGAAGGAGAATTCAACATGACATTTTTCGAATCAGTTTCAGATCTCGGTATCTTCTCACCTTGGCAGAATACATCGGATCAACAGGAGATGGCTTGAAGTCGTTCAAGGTCTCAGATATGGCCTCAACAATGTATGCCATACAGACGCACCAGGAAAATAGGCTGCTTCAATGCGAATTTCTCGATACCATTTTTGATGATGCTGCAGCTGAACGTGATGATACCAGCCTGTTCCACGATTAGATTTGGATCTGCTTCATCACATTCGAAAAGCTCACCATCTCGATGGCACCACAGAAGGACATCTACGTGTATGACTTTCAGCCAAGACATCTGCAACTTCGAGGACATTCCATACCTCTCCCTGTATGGTTGCAACTGGTCAGGCAGTGTCCCGCAGCAGAAATTGTAAACTCACATCGCCTTGAGAGAAGTGTAGGTCTCCAACGGACAAGTTTGCGCCCTTGATGAACACCGGGAAGTAGCACCGAGACCCCTTCGACAAGTTCTTGATCTACACAACATGCGCATTTGTACGTCAGAACTTATCTGCCTGTGGCATCGGATAAGAAGTGAACACGCTGACATCGCAGTTACCACCATGTTCCCGGCCAGGAATAGTCCTTGCGCCCTCCTTGTACACCTTCGCTCTGATATAGTCCGGCAAGTCCTGCCCGACGTACGCGCCAACGGGTTCCGGGGGGAATGCGACAGCAGGGACGGCACCAGGGTGCTTCGCGATGAGCGCGCCCTCGCGGGTGTTCCAGGTGTCGAGCAGCTCCTGCGAGGGTGCAGTACCGATCAGACCTGGGTGCGAGACTCCGGCGAAGCGCACGCCGGGAATGTGCCGCGAGGATGCGTAGACCCCGTGGAAGTCCCAAATCGCTTTGGCCGCGCGTGACTTGAACTCCTTGGCTGCGTTGCGGAGTGTGAGCCGGAGTGATGTGACACGGACGAGGAACGTGGGAGAGAGGGAGAACTTACCGAAGAGACCACCACCGTTGTCGAGCTCGAAGATGCCGGTATATCCCCAAGGCATCTTGTCAAACGGCTGAACTAGATATACATACTGGACTCAGACTTGAAGAGGTTGTACCTTCGCTGGGCGTCGACATACCATCGAGGATGTCAACGACGAGACAGTCTCCGGGTTCCGCACCCTCAATGGCTACGGGGCCAGAGAGGTTATGGACCTTTGTCAAATCGACGTCTTTGATATCGTCGCTGGAGTCATTATTGCCGATCTGTGCACCAGTCCAGTCTACTCAAGAGGCATTGCGCTGAAAATATGACACGCTACTCGACTTGCTGGTTACGTACCGACGCACTGGACTTTGAAGACGTCTCCAGGCTTGACAGTAGCCACTGGGGGAATGTCGGGGCTACCGACTTCGTGCTCAACAGCCCAGTCTAAACACCAATCGAGGTCAACTTACTGCCAGCGATTATGAATGCCCTGTGTATAAGGTGAGTAATACGTCATATTGCACACAGATTGGACGATACCTTCTGCTTCTCTGCAGGACTGGCCAATCTCGGTTAGCGTGCTTGCGAATCACGTCGCCGTCGAAACTCACACGAAAGGGTCGACCTCGATGACAGTCGGGATCGGAACGGAATTCACTTTGGTCGCCATTACGACTGCGCAGAACCGTTCTCAACAATATCGCTGCTTGAAGGGTGCGCTTCCAGGTCAGCGTCCGAAGAAGACAGAGCGTGTCTTCCTTCCATTGCCAATTCGCTTTATATCTTCTCTCGTGTATCTCGGGTCTCAGTGGTTGAGATAAGCCCAGCTGCGCTTGTATGCAATTCCCCAGGGTGAAGCATACAGGGGCCGTGGAGGCTTGATCAGGGCCATCCCAGGATGTGCCGGACACTCGTCGACGTTAGCTATAGATAAGATAGGACTAACAGAATGGTTGGCGCCTTGGTCGCACGGGTACACGCGGATGACCTCTCGCAGAGCTTCTCGGCGTGCCACGTGGGTAGAAATGCGGAACGACGGAGGGGCGGGTGCCGGCATATGTGGAATCGGAGCTACTAAGATCGACGTCAGCATAGCCAAGACTCAAGAGTCGGGCGGGGGTCGGAGACAGGGTCTGGAAGGTTGGACATACCTTGCGGTGAATGAGCGGGCCTTTGGATTTGTGCGCCCGCAGGGCTTATCGGGAAGTTTAGTGGATCGCATTCTGTGCAGTAACGGTACATGTAGTATTGAACCGGTGAGCAGATTGGGAACGTCGTTAGTGGTCGTGACAGTGATGGCTCTGAGGTATCGTGAGATATGAGACAAGATAAGACACAAGAGAGACGAATGAATAAGTCAGAATGGAACGTCAAGGAACCCAAATGCAGTGGTACATGAGTAGAGATGAGTAGAAGATGAGGCGACAGAAAGCGTGAGTGATTGGAATCCCAACATGTAGAGGATGGTATATGCAGGAAGAGTCCAGAGTAATGGCCACGGAGTCATGGTCATGATGAGGTCACTTGTCCTTGGTATCTCTTGATCAGTTCTCTCAGACGCGCCTGTCCGAATGCATAGTCTGCCTTGGCTGGTGGGGAGCCGGGCGACGTCGTAGTGGGGAGAGTCCCTGTCGTCGTCGCGGCAACTTTGGCCGCAGTCTGCGCTTTGGGTGCTGGAGTACTGAGATCTACTTCAGAGATGGTAGGTGGCAACTTGACGTTCATCTTCGTACGTTCCGCGCGAGCAGGAGATGGGCGTGCAAGAGAAGCAGTCGAAGAGAGCATCGGGGTGGCAGTCGAGGATGAGATAACGGCAGGAACGGATGTAGACTTGATCATTCTAGCCCTCCTCGCGGTAAGGTCTGCGACAGAGGTAATCATCGGGTCTGACGAGGGGGACGTGACAGTCGGCGACGCCTGTGTGGTCTTATTCAACGGCCTGAGGGCCTTAGGGCGCCCGTCCGATGCCGGCGGAGTTGTCGCACCAGAATTTGCCGACTTCAAGCCCGTCGTCGCAGCGACCGCTGGAGATCTCAAGCCCACCATCGCACCAGTCGTCGGAGACTTCAATCCATCAGCAGCGACCTTGGTAGGAGAGCGCAGACCCTCAGGCTTCGGCTTCGTTACAGGCAGCGGACTCTTCATCTGCGCACCACCCTGCTCAGTGGTGGCAGTCGCCTTCCACTGGTCCACGAGCTTAGTCGCCTCAACCCTCTTCTTCACAGGCTCGGGCGTAGGCTTCGGCTTGGGTGTCACTGCCCCAGAGGACTGCGCCTGCGACGCCCAGATCGCCGCTACAGACGCGACGATCCCGCCTTTGCCTCCGCGTGCGGACCGAATGTCGTACTTGACTTCCGGGTCGAGCGAGCGAGGGGGATATAGCCCAAGCCGGGTCGATGCCTTGGGGTGGAGGTATGCGTCGAGTGGCGTTGCCTGCTTCGCGTTCCCGTTCGCGTTCCCATTCGCGGTGAGCTGAGCATGTGCGCGCACAGTGCCAATGGGGAGGAAACCGGATGAGCGGGGGTTCGGGGCTGCTTGCGCCTCTTGCTCCTGTTGAGCTTCGCGCTTTGGGGAGGAGGGAGCGACGTTCGCGAATGTCTCGAGACTCTTCTTCCCCTTGGGAGACAAGGCCGGTGGCTCTGTAAGATTCCTCGCGCTGAGGGCGGGACTGACAGCAGGGCTCCTTGCTAGGTTGATAGCGGGACTTCTCCCAGGACTGATAGCAGGACTCCTCCCCGGGCTTGCCGCCGGACTCTTCGCAGCAGGAGACCTCGAAACAATACCTGGCGACCGCCCCCTCCCCTCCTCCGGTGGCGGAGTCTCAGGCGGGGGCGTCTGGTTCTCTGGGGGAGCCTCGGGATCGATCCCGCCAAGCCACGCAGTGATGCGGCCCTGCGCGGCCTTGCGCAGCTTCTGCAGCTCCTTGTCCTTGCCCGGGCCGTCTGCGCCTGTTGCGTGTTTACTACTGTGCTTATCCTCCCGCTTCTTGGCACCGCCCGATCCCGTCGCCTTCTTCCCCATGTCGGTCTGCTGACTATTGCGTCCGCGCGTCGTCCGATTCGAGTCCCTCGCTAGTCCAACACCAAGGTCCTCGTTCTCCGCCTCGAAGTCACGACCGCGATCACTTCCTCCACCCCGACTGAACTTCCCCCTCTTGAGCGTCTTCGCATCCGCATCCATATCGTTCTCAGCCTCCAACCCTCCAAGCGTCAGACTCGAGATTGCAGAGTCAACGGGAGGCTCGACGTCCTGAGCCCGCGGGATCGCGATCGGTTCCGGCAACGGCAACACAGACCGCACGTCTGGGGCGCGTCCCTTCTCGGGCTTGCGCGTGCCGACCTCAGCCAACAGCCGAGCTTCAAGGGCATCGAGCCCGGTGGAGGCTTCCCCTGGCCCCCCGGAGCGCAGGCGGGGCACTTTGAGCGACGTGACGGCGGCCAACGTCGGAGTGGGAGGCGTCTCGTCCGCGCCCGCTTCGAAGAGAGAGGGAGGGAAGAGCGTGTCCGCACGCTCACGGGGTGTCGGGACGATCTCCTTCCCTTTCCCGGTGGCAGCGGGGGGCTTGGGGAGAGTCTTGTCCCTGCTGCTCTCCCCGCTCAGATGCCGCTCCACGAGCGCAGGAGCCCCCGCTCCTGCCCCAGGGTTCGTTCCGTCGACGGCAGCGGCGATCCGCTCCAAGTTCTCGACCTGGGTCACCTGCTCAAACAAATCGCGCGAGAACGACAATTTCGGCGAGAGCATCGGGCGTGGAGAGACGACCGAACCGCCCGTGTGGAGGGGGGAGAGTGTGAGGCCCTTCCGTGTGTGCAGCTCGGGCGAGGACGATGCGCTCCCCTCCCCTCCCTCATACGCTTCTCTCTGTCCGGGCGGAAGGTTAGCATGGACGCGCGGAGCCGCGATCGTTGCGTGCGGGTACGCTGCAGTAACATTGTGGCGCTCGTCGCCGTATCGGTGCGCAGGCGGAGAGACCGACCGGTGGCGCGAGGACATACGTAGATGATGCGAGATGCGCGACGCGCGTTCGCCCTTACCTTCCTCGCGGTGCCCGGCGTTACTCTTTCCCCCAGTGGGCATCGGGATGAGCGCGGGGGCTGCAAGGGGTGCGAGGGGAATGGCACTTGGGGGAACATTCGGGATGCCTGGAGCCGCATTTGAGAGGGTATGTAAGGGTTGGGAGGGCGTGGGCTCTGCACTGGACGGTCGGGGCGGGGGTACAAGCGGTAGCGCATTGGAGCCTGGATAGGCATAGAACGACGGCTGGCCGTAAACATTCGCTGCGAAGGGCATGTGTGGAGCTGGTAGCCAAACTTGTCCTTGGTCTACGTAAGGGAGTGGCGGCGGGGACATGGCGAGGATGGGCGGGGACATCGGGGGGGACATAGGCAGAGCGGGGTAGGCGTATGGGCTCATGGACCGATCTATGTATGGTGCCGGAGATGTAAGAGGCTGATATAGCATTCCAGCGGCGGGATCGCACAAGGGAGCGCTTGATGGTGGTATTGCGTACATGTCTGGGGGAGGGTAGTCTGGGACGACGGAAGGGTCTAGGATCTTGACGGGGAGATCTAGCTTGATGTCTTTGCTACTCGGCACTATGTGAGATACTTCGCGATGGCAGCGAAATGACATTTTACCTGCCGATGCCCATGGAAAGCTTGATGCCAACCGTACAACGCACTTCGAACAAGGACTGAGTAAGTTTGCCTCCATCTCCTATTCTACGCCCGCCCTTGACGCCTCGGGCATGCTTGGGCACATCGACGACCAAATTCGCTACGCCCTCGACACCGGGCGGAATGATGTATTCCGGACCACGGAAGTTGACCGACGTGACGGTATCGTTAATCTGCAGCGGCTGCTTCTGTGTGGTGGGAACGTTCGGCAGGTATAGGTCGCGTGTCAAGGTGACGGACAGGCCCGAATTCTAAGAGGTACGCGTTCAGCACATCAGCACCCTGAAGGAAAACGCAACGCCTCGTACCTTCTTAGTTGAATGGTTCTTAACCTGCAGTTCAATACACGCAGGCTGCCCGGCAACCATGAAGCCGCCGAGGACCTTGCCCTGCATCCAAATCTTCCCATTCTCACCCACAACAATCCCTTCTGCGGCCCCCCTCACCAGGTCGTCCTCGAACAGCTCTACTACATCCACCGGCTTCTTGTCTGTCACAAGCTTATTCTCGCCCTTCCATGAGACGCCAACACTCGCCCGTACTTCATACCTTAGTCTTGCAAGGCCTGAGCCGAACTCGATGGAGGAAGGGGACGAATCGGGTAAGGGGATCTGGAAGAAGAAGGTGGTGATGCCGCGGCGGGCGTGGTAGTAATTTGACGGGAGAGGCGGGTCGCCGGGGGACGGGAAGGGGTGAACAGAATTAGATGGGGGTAGGCCGGGGCCTTGGAAGAGGCGGCGGGTGTGGAGAAAGGTCGAGGTTGCGGAGTGGTCTCGCGATGTGAGCTCTGTAGAGGGAAGGTCAGCATCGTCTTATAAGGGCTCACAGTCGTGAAGTCGCTGGTTGTCGAACGTAGGACTATGCCTCTGTCTTTCAAATATGAAGTAGGTGACGCGTACGAAGCATCCACACTCCCCTTCAAGACGACGGGCCCCTTCAAGAATACGTGCCTCAGACGGTTAAGAGCTGAACTGTATGCGAGCCAGATCAGGCCATCCGACGCTCTAAAACTCCACCGAGCGCATCCCACAGGCACGGCCCTGGGCGTCAAGGCCCCTGGTGGTGCCTTCGAGCGTATGTAATGAGCGGTGAACATGCGAGATTGAAAAGGCTGATCTTGAGGAGGACGATATCGGAAGAGTTCCTAGTCCTCTCCAAGACTCATAATTCGAAAGCCTCACAGGAAACGATGGAAACAACCACATAAGATAACCAGAGCAATAGTTACCACTCACCCTCGATGGCATACAGTTCGACCATGATGACCCCGATGCCGAGTCCCTTCTCCGCCTTGCACTCCATCTCCATCTTCCCCGTCACCAATCCGCCGGCCGGGAACTGATGATCTGCGAACTTGAGTGTGACCTTGACCTTGGAGTGGTAGGGCGAAGCGTTCATGGGCTCCGGCCGGGTCTGTGTCGAAGTACCAGCCATGCTGAGCTCAGTTGCGCACGGCTCCGCGAGTAATGAAGTCGTCGTTATTATGACCTTAGCATCGGCAAGCAGAGAGCCACAGAAACAGATGTTGCAGAAAAACACTGAAAAGATAATAAGAATACAGGAGAGAAATAGAGAGACCGCAGAGCGGCGACGTCGGTGGAGAGTCGAGACACAGAGCTCCGGAAGCGTGACACTGCCCGCTCAGGATGCCGTGACATGCTTGTGATGTAAGAAGCGTGACAGAGTGACACACAGCGTGACGAAGAAGCGCGTCGAGTCCGTCAAGCACCTCCGCTTCTGCTCTTGTTGTCTGTTTCCAGCATTTCCCTTAACCACCCTCCTTTCTCCCACCCTTGTCTACGCCGCTCACTAGATTTTCAAGTCTATAGGTATTGCTGCTGCGTTGAGCACCAGATTATCGTCCCCACCGCGCTTGTCCGCGCCTTCCGCTCTCTCGACGAGATGCCCGCGAAGTACTCTCACACAAAGAAGCGACCACCGCCGAAGAGGTCTTCAAGAAAGGAAAGCGGAAGTGCGAACACACAGCGTGCGCATGACCGCGACCACGGCCATGGGCACAACCACGAGCACAAGAATCCCACTCCCCACCCGGGCCGCAGCGTCTGGCAACCTCCCGCGGGCTCCGCTGAACTTGAACGCACCATCTCGCGCATTATCCTCATCCGCTATGAGCAGGACATTGCACGCCTGTTCTCAACCCACTTGTACAAGGTCGCTCTCACGCACCTCCCCACGTTCGTGCTCCGGTGCATTACCGTAGGTGGGCCGAGCTGGGTCGCGGCCAACGCCGACTGCGACGAGATCAAGAATTTCTTCCGCGGAGCTATCGCTATGGACTTGCGACAAGCTGGCGAACGTGTGGCGACCAAGAGCGTGCTCTGGACATATACCGCGCTAAGGCACTTCGTGAGTACGCTCCCCCGCGCAACGTGGTGTTTCTTCGCTCGGATTTTCGTACCAATATCAGAGGACACGCGAGATTGTCTACTGGAGGCTGTTTGACACTTGCCATGGCCAGTCCACGAATGTAGTTCAATGTGCGCCGTCAAGCATATGTTTCTTGCGAAGCGGTGCGGCCTTCCGAAGCTTGCTCCTAGTCACCCAGCGTGCCATCATGTATGTCTGCAGCACAATGTCTGACACTCGCTTTATGAGAAGGCGGATGTCGAGTGCTGTGTGCACACGCGGCCTCTAAAGCGATCATTGATTGCTTTCCTGTTTCTTGTGACCGTTAGTTGTGCACGCTTGGCTCACTCCATGAGCCAACCCAAAACAAACTGAAATTTTCCATCCGAATTCCCTCTAATGCTCGCCTTCGTCTAGGCCAAGTCAAATGGCATTCTAATCTGCCAACGGCGTGGCCTCCACTCACACGACCTCATCCCGCACCACCCCGCCCTCGCCGCTCACCTCTCCCTCCTCGAGTCCGCTCACCCGCCCCCCTTTGCCAAGCCCCCGCACCTCGGGCCCCTAACCGAAGGTATCCGCGCCCTCACACATGCTGCACACGACAGCGGCCGCGGGTCCGACCTCGAGTGGCAAGCGCGGCTGAAGGAGGGGTACGAGCGCGCGTGCGCGACGCTCTGGCGTGTAGCGAACGAGTTCGACGTGCGGGGGTACGGGCTGGTGTTGAAGGAAAAGCTGATGGGGAAGTGGTGCGAGTGCGGATGCTCGACGGACCATCTGGCGGAGGTCTGCGAGCCGACGGTCAGGGCGGAGGAGGAGGAGAGCGGTGTAAGGGCGGGGAAGGAGCGCGAGTGGGATGGGCGAGGTGGGTTTTTGATGGGTTCGTGTTGCCTGGTTGTCACGGCTGAACGCTGGGCGGTAGGTTCTGGGGTGGAGGGTTGGGGCATGGATGAAGAGGAGGACTTATGGGACGCGGAGCTCGATCATGTCAGAGTGGACCCGGAGAGGAAGTCCAAAGGGCCAGACGAGGACGAGGACATTACAGCGGGCGAGCTCATGGAATGGAGGTACATGTGCGCGGAGCGAGAGAAGGACCAGGTCATTTTCGCGATGATGCCAGCCGTTTCTGTATTGAGTGCTCACGAGTCATACAGGGGAACTCGGCGTTCAAGAAAGGTGACTATAACAAGGCGATCACCCATTACAACAACGCATATCAAATTGAGCCGGAGCTGCCGCATTACCAGCTCAATCTCGCCGCGGCGTATCTGAAGTTGAACAAGTACGTAACGCGTCATCCTTCCGAGACTGCCATTGATTCTAGCCCTGCGAAGCTTCGTGGAAGCGGAAAAGGCGTGCGGTATCGCGCTTGGTCAGCATAGTAGTGTCAAAGGTCATTGGCGAAGAGCTCAAGCTCGAAAGGCTCAAGGGCGGATGGAGGAGGCTCTCACAGGTTGCTGCCTCGCGTCCCTTCATACCGTTCAGTGCTCATTGTGCGTTCAGACTTGCGAACCGTGCTCGAACTGCAGCCCTCGAATGCCGAGGCCCTCGCAGATATAATCGCGATATGTCCTTCAGAACCTCCAGCGACGGACAAGCCCGCGGCCTCGTCTTCTTCCTCATCATACCAGCCTTTTCAACCCGCATCAGCCGCCCCCTCTCACCTCTCGCTTTGGCTTCCGAAGCACGACCCTCCCGCCCCTCTCCCCTTCCAGCGTCTCATGACAGATGACCGAAAGCTCAAGATCTCATCCATCCCCATCACTCTCGACATTCCCCCGGACTTTGCGTCTTTCGCCGCGTCTGCAGGTGTGAAAGGCGGCAGTACTCTCGGGGCGTCGGGGCCGTCGGGAACAAACACGTTCCAGTACATGTCCTGGGAACGGTATATGGTGCGGAAAATATCGGACTGAGGTAGGAGCTCGTACCTTGTGCTCCAAATCTTGCCCGAAAGAGTGCAGTAATATCAGTTGTGTTGTTGTTGTCCTGTGATCGATATCCCATATCTGTCATGTCGTCCTTGCTCTAAATGCTCTCCACAGACTTGCGCTTCACTGCTGCAATGGTTGTCCAATGCCTATCATAGTAGTTAACTGTACTCAAACCTTGGCCGTACCACGGTGGTTCATATGATCTTGTGCATTTGTCATAATCCTTCATCTTCTCGACGCCATCCCTCTTAGTCGCGCAGCTCCAGTCTTCGTCTCATTTTCTCGGCTGCGGCGAGGAGAAATGAGGGTCTAGATATGTCTTAGCGTCCACTGATACTGAACTCTGCCTTCATCAGCAGTATCAAGATGTGCTCTAGCCGTTGTCGGACGTGGGGCTTGCTTTTGCGCTATTTGCCTTCAGCGCCTTCCATCCCGACCCTGACCAGATCCATCGTCACAGACGCACTTGGCACAGTACGCCCCAGGTAACCTCCCGCTCCGTACCTATCCAAAGACGACTTATCCTGCTCACGGTGAATCTTCGATGGCCCTGAGCGCGAGCCAACTCGGAGGAGTGACATCAAGGCAAGATCATATGGGCGTAGCCTCACGGTTGACCCAAGGAGAATGGTGTGTATAGGGATATCCTCGCAAGTTGTACTGGGTTCCGTTCTGATGATCGCGAAAAGCTATGCTCGACCAAGCCGCTGCAGCTTGTAAGGAAGACCCAGCCAGCAGTACACTGCCGCGGGTTGCGGAGACAGTGCCGAGACGACACATTGACACGGCTTCGTGGAACTATTCAGCATATTCTGATGCTTACGTCATACGACGGCGGGGGAAAAACCCCGGTGACGGCAGGTATTCTGGGCGACCTGTCCAATTGTTCCCTTAAAGCGTTGACATGTTCTCAATCCAAAGGTAACTGGATGTAAGCCTCGACAGCTCGTCAAACAGAGGTTCACGTCTGGCAGGTCAATATGTCAAACCCCGGTCGAGCAGAGGACACTGGCTTCGGGAAACCTTCGCTCACCTTGATAACCAGCGACCAAAGCAAACATCTACTTACGGTGTCGACTCGGACAGACGAAGTAGAGAAGAGATCACAGTAGCCTCCAAGAGTCCCCGAATGTGCCCGCACATCCGGAACAGTAAGGCTTCTGCCTCGCAATCCAACCTTGTCTTTCTTTAGCACGACATGAAGTAAGGTTGTGTCCTCGGGTTTCCCTCCCGAGGCAAGAGGCTATATGGATACGGCATAAATTCTCCACGATCTGGGGCTTTTATGTTAAGTGCCTGGGTTCCCTGTCAGGGCAAGATCGGTTTTATACTCGCTGCCACAGAAGGGGCAAGGCTCAGCTCTCTCCCTCTAACCTGCTTGCTACTCATGTCTGTATACGCTCAGCTTCCGTCTTTGCCCCCTATTTCATCGCTGTCTTCCGTAAGGGATATTTTTGGCTCGGTTTTCATCGGGGCCTTTCTGTCATTCTCGTGAGTACTCTCCGCGCTGTCTGATACTGAGTTCCATACATTAATTCACCATTTATGACCTAGGTTGTATGGCTTGTTTGTGAACCAGACATACACATACTACCGTCTGTATAGTACCGACGCACCATGGCTCAAAATCATTGTGGGTCTCTCGAGTGTGCTCAATGATTCATGTTCTCTAACGTTACTTCCACTGGAAGGTCATCACGGCTATGTTAGTCGATATCCAATTAGTTAGACGGTGTTTCGGTCCCTTGCTAAATCCAGGTGCAGATTATTGGAAACAGTCGTCTCAGTGCTGCACTTGCACCTTGGGTATGATTTCTACCGAGCACTCCCGAATAAGCAATGGTGACGTTTTGTAGTTATTACTACTTTGTCGAGAACTACGGAAACCCTTTGGCCTTCATCAGTGGCGTTTGGTAAGCCTAGAAGCCAGTTTAAATACATATATCGATGCAGGTGTATCTGAAAAGTGCCAATCTAGGTCTTTAAACGTACGCATCTGCATTTAACACCCTGTAGATACCCGGATTTACGACAGTGCCACTCTCATGTCAGGTCTTTCCGGTATTTGCAGTATGTCTAGCCCGATCGCCCTGGCTCCGATGAAAGCCTGATGAATGTGGTTGTAGACTGCTATCATGATTAACTGCCAAAGGTTGGTTGCATTCGCAAGATTGTGCGTCGTTCACTGACATCAAGCCATCCCCGGGAGCTTCTATACCGTGAGGATTCTGTTAGGTATGTGCAACCCAACTTATAAAAAACAACGGAAATTGACGTCGTCTTCTCAGTTGGCCCATCTAGGTTTCGACTCTTGCTGGTCATTGTCATCGTGAGTGCTCTACCAGTGGCTAACATCCCCCTATGAGAACACGGATTGACTCGGCAGCTAGATTACGCTCATGGGTGGAGCCATGGGTAGGTTCTCCCACTGTGATCCAGCTTGTTACATTGATTCGTGTGTATTAGGTGTTTCTATTGGTATGTACAGGGCTACCTATGCAAATATGTATCGCTGAGCTTTGGCTCTTCTCAGCATCGACTATCCTCGGGTAAACTCTAGTTGAGACCAGAGAGAACCAGACATTTCTGACCATTTCATCGGTTTTGCAGGTTCCGAGGTATCACTCTCTTCAACTTCAACAACTTTCTGGTAAACACAATTCTCTCAGATTTCTAGCTATGTATTCCGCTTATCAAAGCGATAGTGGCTCGTCTTGGCATACAATGCCGTTGCATCTGCAGCAGACGTGATCTTGACAACGACATTGATTCACATCCTCCATCGTAGTCGCACGGGATTCAAGAGGTGCTCAATTGGGTATCTGTCAAACACCGGTGTTATGAGCTCATAAACTCATCAGCACTGACTCCATGATCAACAAGCTAATCCTGTACGCAATTAGTACTGGTAAGCACATATACCTTCCCCAATATACTTCGGTCTACGCCCGGGTTGATTATGAGACGTTCAGGTTTGGTGACAACGTAGGTTATCCAATCTCAGACTATCACATCAATCTGACTATCCAAATGACAGCATCTTCAACATCATATCTTTTGTGCTGGTGAGTTTTTCGATGACTACTTAGTGCTTGAGCTGATGTGAGCGATAAGGTGCATGTCTATGGAGTGGGAAATTGGAGCTGGCTAGGGACAATGATGTTTGCAGAACACCGTGGGTATACTTCAACACCCTTCGTCAACGATTGCTGACTCAATACACTCGTCTAAGTCTACTCCATCTCGCTCATGGCAGCGTGTGTACTGTCTTTTTGTCACACCATCCTCTGGTAGCTCATGAGTCCCGACACGGAACATGCAGACTCAACTCGAGGAAGTTAGCCACCAAAAAACGTGAGGACGACAATGTAACGCGTCCGGCAGAGTTGTACGGTACAGCTGTCCGTGCAAGCACTGTGCGCTTCAACCGGTCATCCGGGATGGGAGAGGCAATCGAGCTCCCACAGGTACTACGCATCAATGCTTTTCGACTTTGCTTGCTCCCATGAGTCACTTTGCTGATATGTTCGCGCCTCTCACCACCCCATAGGTTCATTCCGACATGATAGAAGTAGAAGAGAGAAAATACGACGTGGGAGATACAACGTTGCAATTAAGCTCCACCAAACGCAACCCTTCGTGAACGCAGCTGACCTTCGACGACCACCAGTGCCCCCCCAGAGACCTCATTAGGACTCTGATGGCCTGTGTTGTATACGTGTCCTGGGTGAATCTGGGTCCCTGCTGAATCATGTGGAGGTGTCGTTGTCGATGTGTTCTTGAAGCCGAGTTTGGACGTTCACCGTACTAGCAGAATTTTCACTTCGCTAATGGCATTCACAAACCGACCATTGTTCTGTCGGACCGGCCATACGCCGCATTTCGCTTGTATACCGAGATAGTTGGTTGCGATACGTCAGCCAAATCCAACATACAGGGTACAACGGAGTCGAATGACACAAAAATCCTGACACTGTTTTGGACAATGATTATTGTCCAGGGTCTATGACAGCGTAACTCGTGCCACCCCCTCGCCGCTTTACATCTGCTTTGTCTCTAGTAGTATATAGGTTAAGGGCTCGCAGCCCAGGATCCTCGTCCCCTCGCCCTTCGGGAGCTCGCGCTCCTCGAGCTTTCGTTTTTGCACCCACCCTTCCGCTGCCCCATTTTTGGTCTCGCTTAGCTACGTCTCATGTATCAGGTACATTCGCCTTCCGCCGGCTTGAGCTCGGCCCACCGGTCGCGCGAGAGAGCGGTGGCGACACGGACTCGGTGGTCCCGCGCAGCTTCCGTAGCGCGCGCCCAATACCATCGTTTTCCGTCCTGCCCGAGTATAGCGTGCATAGACTGTAGAACTACCGAAGATCTAATTGACGTTCCCGCCACCCAGGTCAGATCTACCAGAAACAAGTTCGGATATATTCGCAGTCAGCGGAACGGCCTGCTGAGACCCCGAGGGTTCTGAGCGGCCAAGACGTAGTTCGACTGCGCGCGCGTACAGCGTCCAATCCCCTGGCACTGTGATCGGGAAGAAGACGTGGCTGAGATCGTGTTTCAGGCGAAGTTGGGGGTTAGATACGCAGCCACCGCAAAGGTCGAAGTCTGAACGCAAACGCAGTCGGCACAATTTCGAGAAGAGAGGAGCGTATCCTCCTAGACGCACCGTTGCAGTAGAGGCAGCGATGTCGTACGCCGACGAGAGGGCTCTGCCCGCACATGTCGCATACGACCGCGTTGTGGCAGACGCCTTGCGGGACTCGAGCTTGAAGACGCGCGGCGTCGTACAACGGTCTGTCGTGCTCTGCGATGATCGGGAAGAAAGCATGAGTCGGAATATGGTTCTGCCTCTGAGATGGAGTTGAGATGCAAGCATCGCAAAAGTCATAATCTGTCACGAGACACGCCATTAGTCAGCTTCACAGGTATGCACGGAATGTACGAGTCATGGAAAGGCGTACCATCGCAGACCAAGCACTTGTGCCTCACACCTTCGAGTGGTTTGTGGCAGCCATCGCATTTTATGCCGATGTGCCGAGTAGGATGAGATTGGTTTACAAACTGCTGCTGCTGCTTCTTGGCGATCTGGGTGAGATGCGAGAGGTCGTCGTTGGTTTGGATCGGAAAGAATGGATGTCTCGCGTCGTGCGCTTCCCAGGCCTTGGGAGAAGTCATGCACCCGCTGCACCTGTTGTAGTCTCTCCCGGGAATAGGACCTATTGGTACGGAGTAGACGGCAGAGAGGGTACTCACCATCACATTGTACACACTTATACCTAATCCCTCGAATACTGCCCTTCCCGCAGAAGTCGCAATAGATGCCTTGATGAACGACCTCTTCAGGAGGCGGATTGGGTCGAACGGGCGGAGATGGTACGGACGGTGGATGAGGCACTACCGGTCGACCTGTCTTCCAGTCAAAGCCTGTCCTCGGATTGGTTGTCGTCCCGAACGCAGATAGTCTGAACCCTGCAGACGGAACTGCGAACGGGTTTGGCGCTCTTGTTGCTTCGCTCATTGCGAGGTCGGGGTCGCGTTCGTTCGACGGGGCGGTAAACATGCTCATGGTGGAAGCCAAGCTCGAGTCGCAGATGTCCAGGCGTCCCTTTCTCATAGGAAGCAATGTCATATCAACATCATTGCTGCGGCAGCCTCGTGCACCGCCCATGTCAAACCTACATAGTGCGGCGTGGGAAGGCCCAGTCTGGATTGAGGAAGAGGTATAACTGGAGGCGAATCAGGAAGACTTTGTTCAGAATTTCCTACCGCAATTGAAACGGGAATCAATAACCGTACAGAGGGAATGAGCGTACTGTCTATCATCATTGACGCGGAATACTAGGTCCTTTGGAGGCTGGACGGCAAAATTGGCTTTCTAGATACTTGACAAGAGCCATTGGAACAGATGGAAGGAATGAGATATGAAATTATACTGCAAGGTCGTCGTAGCTCGTGCCGTGGTCAAGCTGCGGCATACAGGGCCGATGCGAAAGATCAGCTTATCGCAATAGATAAGATAAGCACTCAATTAGATTTGGGTCGCCCAACGGAATGTGCTAAGCCTGCGCTCTCCGACATACTCTCAACTCAGCACGTCGACGGAACACCTGGTTGTACTGTTTCCTCGAGTGGAAGGGGGAGAGAATGGAAATTTCTGTCTGTCTATCGCTGCTCTGGAGCTATTCCCTTCTGCTCACACGTATCTAGGCAGAGTTCGAACGCCTTGAACCGTTCAATGCAGGGTCTCTGGTCGACCCATAGGCGAGCCAAGGTCAACCTCAACTCAGCTTCTACCCTTCCTTCAGACTCTGGAGCCACTACACCCATCGCTCATGCGCCCACGGAACAACCCGCGACGGACTCAACACCCACAGACACTCCCCTGGACACGCCCACTGCAGAGGCGGAGCCCGCAGTCGCGTCCTTAGAACAGAAACCCGTGAGCGCGAAACGCAAATTGCGCTCTACACGAGAAGATGGAGGCAAGCGGGCGAAGCTGTCTGCGGGCAGCGTCTCGAAGGACCATTCTCCACCCCTGACGCGCCTGTCCGACCTCGGAGGAGTGGACGCGTGCATAGAGAAGATGCTGGAGCTGGTCGCCATGCCACTGTGTCATCCGGAGATATACCTGCATACGGGCGTGCAGCCGCCGCGGGGGGTGCTTTTGCATGGCCCGCCGGGTTGCGGTAAGACCATGTTGGCGCATGCAATCGCTGGGGTGCGTACTGTTTGGCTTCTCCTTTTTGCATCGCGCTTCGTCGCTTTGTCTCACGCGTCTGTTGACACGTAGGAACTCGGCGTACCCTTCATCAACGTATCAGCCCCCTCAGTCGTCTCTGGCATGTCTGGAGAGTCCGAGAAGACCCTCCGCGACACGTTCGAGGAAGCGAAGAGGGTCGCACCATGTCTCCTCTTCATCGACGAGATTGATGCTATCACACCGAAGCGCGAGAGCGCGCAGCGGGAGATGGAGAGACGAATCGTCGCGCAGTTCTTGACATGCATGGACGGTGAGTTCTCACATGTACTATCCAGGTTCACTCGCTAAGGTTTTGGTTTAGACATGTCATGGGAGAAGAACGACAACAAGCCCGTCATCGTGATTGGTGCGACAAATCGACCAGACTCGCTGGACGCTGCTCTCCGTCGGGCGGGTAGGTTCGACCACGAAATCAGCATGGGTGTCCCGGACGAAGAAGCGCGAGCGCAGTACGTTTGGCTCGTCGACACTCCGATCTGTTGCGTTCTGACTTTGTACGTAGGATCCTCCGCGTTCAGTCCGCTAGGCTGAGGTTAGAAGGAGACTTCGACTACGTGGCTCTCGCGAAGGCGACACCAGGCTATGTGGGCGCGGATCTCGCTGCGCTCACCGGCGCCGCAGGTATCATCGCCGTGAAGCGGATATTTAAGCAGATATCGGAGGGCACCCTCACACTTCCGGAGGACGTCTTGCCTCCAACAGACGGGGACACCTCTATGGCTGTTGACTCCCCAGCCCAGCCCCCACCGCCTGTCCTTCAAAATGATATCAACAAAGCCGTCCCATTCGCTAGTTTCGACGTCTCAAAGCACACAGCCGCATCCTCGATCATCCACTTCCTCCGCGCCCACCCCAACCCCCTCACCGAAGCCCAACTCGCGCCCCTCTGCATCACGTACGCCGACTTCATTCAAGCGCTGGAGCACGTCCAGCCCTCGTCCAAGCGCGAAGGCTTTGCGACGGTGCCGGACGTAACATGGGCGGACATCGGGGCTCTGCACGCGACGCGCGAGGAGCTGCACATGGCGATTGTGCAGCCGATCAGGCGGCCAGAGCTGTTCAGCGCGGTCGGCATCGTCGCGGCGTGCGGCGTGCTCTTGTGGGGCCCGCCCGGGTGTGGGAAAACGTTGTTGGCGAAGGCGGTTGCGAATGAGTCGCGGGCGAACTTCATCAGTGTGAAGGGCCCGGAGTTGCTGAACAAGGTGCGCCCCTCTAGTTCTTCCTTGTTCGGCGTACGAGGTCACTAACGTGTTTGTGACCGACTCTAGTACGTGGGCGAGAGCGAGCGTGCAGTTCGTCAGGTATTCTCTCGAGCGCGTGCGTCCTCGCCTTGTGTCATCTTCTTCGACGAGCTCGACGCACTCGTACCCCGCCGCGACGACAATATGGTGAGCGCGTCCCGAGTATGACCAACTTCCCTTTGACTGACTATCGATGGTACCTCCGCCCTTCCCCCCAAATAGTCAGAATCCTCGGCACGCGTCGTCAACACCCTCCTAACAGAACTCGACGGCCTCGACGCGCGCAAGTCTGTCTACGTCATCGCAGCTACCAACCGCCCCGACATGATCGACCCCGCGATGTGCCGGCCCGGCCGCCTCGATAAGCTCCTGTATGTCGACCTGCCGTCAGCCGACGAACGCGTCGAGATTGTGCGCAAGATGACGAGAAAGGTGCCGCTCGGGAGCGGCACTGGGGTCGAGGGCGACTCGGGCGTGATTCAGCTCATGATCGAGGAGCTCGTCCGGGAACGATGCGAGGGCTACAGCGGAGCGGACCTCGCTGCGTTGGTGCGCGAGGCGGGTGTCTCTGCGCTAAAGCGGACGTTGGGCACATTGGAGGCGATGGAGGCAGAGGGTGGTTTCGGGCCCGGACAGGAGCAGCACACGGTGCTAGTCTCTGCGGAGGACTTTGCGCTGGCGGCGGAGAAGGTGCAGCCGAGCGTGTCCGTGGCACAAAGGCGCAAGTATGAGGCGCTGCGGTCTAAGTTTGCGGGGCTACCTGTGCGCAGTGGGAAAGAGGAAGATGGGAAGCGTATGGAGGAAAAGTAGCGCTGTAGCATTACGACTTACCGCTCTGAACAACCGCACGAAGAGTAATGTTACTGGCCCGCGCTAATAGCCGTCAGGGGATCTGCGTATAGCGGAAGTATCATCCGACGAACGTATGAGCCGTGGTTATTGTGTAGACAACTTGTAGACTTCCATTGTTTATCCTTTCGCTCGGACGCTTTGGATATTGTGACGAAGTGGTCGACCCCACGAGAGATTAGATAAGATAAAGCGACCAAGCCCACCTGAAGGCATCGCAAGCGCAGGTTGTCGAGCAACTTCGAGTATTATCTCGTACAAAACACGACAAATACGACAAATACGACATCCTTTCCTCGTGTTCTAGCTCTGTGTCCGGCTTCGTAGGACTTACGCTCGACAGTACCTGTGTACAACCACACTTTTATCCAAACTCGGACCAGGATCGCAGATGTCCGATCTCTATCGTACCGCAATACAGGCTCGGTTCGCCAAGGCTCCTCAGCTCCCTCCACTGCCTGGAGAAGATGAGGAAGAGGACGAGGGAGGAGACTCTGTGGGATCTTTGCCCACCGGGATGGGTCCACCAGCAGCGTGAGTGCAATCAGTTCCTTTCTGGAATGCAGCCACTGACGCGAAGGACTACGTTGCCCAGCCCCTTTCGTACACCCAGAACCACCCGCAAGAATGCCCCAAACCCCTCCTATTCCCCCATCTCCGCATCTAGCTTCTTTGAGCAGGCAATGCAGGTTTCAGTGCCGGAGTCTGATCTCGACTTCCGTGTATACTACACAGCACCGAAGTTCGAGGACGGCACGGTCATGATCTGCCATCATGGAGCGGGCTATTCTGGACTCTCTTTTGCGTGCACGGCAAAAGAGGTCACGGACATGAGCAAGGGCGAATGCGGTGTTCTGTCGTATGATTGCCGTGGGCACGGTAAGCCAAGCCGACTTCTAACAGCGTACGTCCCTAATGCGTCACAGGGAAGACGAAGCACATATCAAGCCCGAACATTTCTGAGCAGGAAAACCTAGACGTCGAGGTTCTAACTTCGGACTTCGTGAATCTCATACGAGTGGTATTCCCGGACGTCGAGAAAGCACCATCGCTACTCGTAAGCGGGCGCTCTGCTGTCCCATGGGTGCGTGCTGATCACAGTGCAGCTCGTCGGTCACAGTCTCGGTGGGTCTGTGTGCGTACGCGCTTGCCCGATCCTACAGCAACATAAGTACCGGATCACAGGAGTGGCCGTGATCGACGTCGTAGAAGGTTCGCAAAACATCGTCGCACTTGATATACACCACTAACCATGGGTCACAGAGTTCACGCTAGAGGCGCTGCCGCTAATGCACAGTCTTCTCAACGCACGTCCCGATGGTTTCGATAGCCCCGAAGAAGCGATCGAGTGGCAGTAAGTATGCCTGAATATCCCAACCGTCAACCCTGTTTTTCAACTGAGCTCCTCTATTCCTCAGCGTTACCACGCACACGATCCGGAACCCGACCTCAGCTAGAGTTTCCGTTCCCGGTATCATCGTACCCGCACCTGACGGTTCCCCAGCAAGCGCCCCCGCGTACGTCTGGCGAACACCGTTGCGTTCCACCGCCCCCTACTGGACAAGTGAGCAGCGATGTTGCGGCTATCATCCCAACTACTCAGCATGTGCATCTTTGCAGGTTGGTTCACTGGCCTGTCGAGCAAGTTCTTAGCCTCGCGTACCGCGCGTCTCTTAATTTTGGCGGGGACGGAGCGCCTGGACAAAGAATTGATGATTGGACAGATGCAAGGCAAGTTCCAGCTAGTCGTGATACCAAACGTTGGACATATGGTGCATGAGGTGCGGCGCAGATAATAGCATCTCCTCAGTGAACCGTTGACCCTGAGACTACCTGTGCAGGATGACCCTACACGGATGGCCGAGACTCTCGTTGAGTTCTGGAGGCGGAACGAGCGTGTCGTGGTCGGCGTCAAGAAGGTTGGCGAGTTGTAGTTCGGACATGTAGCGTACGGTGCACACGGGATGCGGAACAGTAGGCGCTATCGTTTGTACAACACATCATCGGATGCACATCTTGTAAATATTGTGTATTGTTTGAATTCTGAGCTCAACATTTCCAGATACGCCCTGATCGGGTTTCAATGCCCATAAGTGACCATTTGGAAGGACATTTGATGGCCTGCATTCATTACACCGCGATTGGTCAAGCTATTCGTGCTAAGCACTCCGTGAGCGCGCAGCGCAGGGTCTTCGAGGGGTAGAAAGAAAAACCCCACTCACTCGTACGCAACCATACGGGCCGTCGGCATCCCTTGCACTCTCTAGCCAATTACTGCCACTCGACAGGGCCCGTCCTCGCCATCTGCCCGGAATAGGACTTTCGCAGATCCAGACCGTCAAGTATACCCTGACAGAGCTGAGGGACGACCTACGTATTCCAATCAATGATCTTGTTAAATCAACAACATGCGTATGTCCGGTCCGACTGAATTACGGTGGATAAGAAAGTGCTAGTCAGGGAAGTGAGGATCCTGCTAAGTAGGGCGAACGCACTGGGATCAGCCAGCCATGACATTACCCCCAATTCCTGGCTTTGGCTCGTTGCCGTGACCTCGGTATAGGTATGTTCATTATTGTAGTCTCACATGTACAGTTCCTCCTGACCTGGGTATAGAGCTTGTTTTGATCTCCGTTACCTGGCGTCCCCGGCCGGGTGTGAAAAAACTGTTTTTCGACTCACGGGTATGCATTAAGGGGGAATCGAACCCCCGGCGGGTCGATGGCAACGACCCAGGTTACCACTACCCCATTAATGCGACACACTCCCTCCCTGTGCTTAGTCTATGAGCCTCATTGCGGGGACTCTTGACGACAACCCAGCCCACTTCGGGATTCGACTCCGCGGTGATGAGCCACTCAAAGACAATGTATGCAACATGGTTCGCGATCTGAGTGACAGCCTGATAGACGGTCGTGCCGGTGACAATACTGAGAGCAACTGCGGCATTGACTCATTCTATCGAGTCGTGTATGACAAGAGAAGGCTGGCACGGCCGGGGGTCAAGCTTGTGATGAAGCGCGCCAATGCAGGCCACATTGGATGCACCATCATGAGGTCTTGGTCCCGAAGATATCATCCAAATAGCCTAAATTGTGATTGATAGTTCTGATTACAACAGATCCCCTGGCTCTCCGTCCTGCAGGCGTTGAGACCTGGTAGGCCTATGGGTCTCAGTCACAGAACGTGATGGCCAAATCCACCTGGACCAAGATGCGTATCAGCATTTCTGACGGTCTCCGCTGCAACGCTGACACGAGGAAAGCGCACATTATCATCTTGGCAAGCCACACACGGAGTCCCTCCAATCGGTGGAAGACCAGGGGACAGGGGGCAGTTGGGGCTCGTGCAGTCAGATCCTAAACCGTCACAACCGTTGTAGTATCTGCAGAGGCATGCAAGTAAGCTGCCGAGAAACGCAATCGCATGATCAAAAGCGCACCCAAAACCGATGGCCTGGCGGAATGTGTGCGGCGGATATAGGTTGATGTAGGTACAGGAGCCATTGCCAGGACTAGTTGGGTTCTGCAGCGTCGTCTCGACGGTCGTACAGTTCTCTCCGTTCAACCCGCAGTTGCCTAACGGGCTGCCGTCGTCAGTTCAGTGAATAATGGCGAACGGAACTAGAACTAGCCCGTCTGCAAGTAACTGTGACTACTTCAGTCCGTGACAATAGTGGAACGAACATATTGACTCACGCAATGGCGGAAATGAGTGGACCGTCCGAGACGTAGTCCCTGCCCATGGAAAGGATGTTTCCATCTTGAACCAGAGTAGGCTGCACAGCACATTAGCCAGATGGCGCTTCCAGGGAAAGCCTATATTTCATGTCTTACAGTACCGGCGCCACATCTAACATAGCTGTTCAATACGATAGATCTCAGCCTGAGCAGTGAAGGCGTGACTACTTACTGATTAATGAAGTGGACGGTGTGCGTCTCGGCGACGGCAGAGCTGATAGATGCCACGAATGCGATGAGGGAGACCAGCATCGTGACTTGCATGGTGCGACGAGTCGGGTGGAGGGAGGAGATGTGGCAAAGAAGATCAGGAGCGAACCAACTGTATAAATTCTCTAGCCAGACCTCCACTCATTTCTGCGTCTGACTAGGCGAGCATCGACGGCCTAATCATTACCCAGGAGTCGTGTGCCATCCAGAATTGGGTGGTTTGGCGATGAGATATCCATGCGTAGACTGGTGCCACAGAATCTCGGAACCCTGTGATGCTGAATGCGAATCAACAGCTCGCCATAGTAGCGCGGAACCCCCAAGGGGGTGCTATACATTACTCGCTTCTGCGGCCTAAGATAGTCACCGCCATAGTAGACAAGAGTTGCGCGCTCCGAGAACGGAGCCATCGCCGGCCCTGCAGAACGAACGCCAAGGCATTGACGGCCCCTGCGGCCACAATCGCCGACGCTGGCTGTCAGGTCCTTCATGTTGAGCGCTGTGAACCGTGTGCTAGTGGAATCTTCTCGGCTTATACGAATTCTGCCAGTTAGGACGAAGCCATCCAATCGTGATCGCTCCGGAGCATACTGCACATATTTGGACCAACTCGTGCCACCGAGCACTGCTGAAGGCGTTGTAGTCGTCCCGAGTGGGACAAAGGAATAGAGAGCGAGTACAGGGCAACAGGTGAAGCTGAACAGGATGGCCGCTCCACAGAATAGATGCCACCAAGTGCGGTGCTCAACATTGCGCGCCGTCTGCACCACTTAGTGTGCTCGATGTCATGTTTCCAGCCGCGCCTTAGCCAGAGGTCCGGATACTAGTAGCTGGGCGAGGCGACAGACCAGCGACAGATGCCTAGTACGAGACGTTGAGGAACGGGTGGCTCGATATGCATCGCGCTCTGAGGCCTGATGAAAGCTGCTATTCGGGGTGTCGGTCAGAACTGTCCGACACCGACGGGGTGACTTTCACATAGTTCCGAATGGCCTGGCGCACGCGACGATCCCACTTCCCAAGCGTAGACGAGCCAGCAGAAGCCGCGGCCAATATCGGGCACACACGGAACCCGTAATGATAGGCATGAAGAACATATTGCATTGCATCATCAAACACTAGAACGTACCGGACGCCCATGTCCTTGTCCATCACACCAGCCAGAGAGCGGGACACCTTGCCCAGCTGCGTTTCGAGATGTTTGAACGGCCAGATGGGAGGAGCTTCTGTGGTAAGGTTGGACTGCAGGGTTTCAATGAAGTCTGGTGGGCGTGTGCAATGATGAAAGCCAGACTGTTTCACGTACACGACTTCGAAATCTTGGTGAATCATCGTGCACTAGTGCCATGCAAGGAAAGAAAAAGATCACAGTACTCGGGCGCGGTATCCTGTCCCCGAGCCGGACTGCTAGGGAGGCAAAGGAAAAGGCAGCATCAAAGACCAATACACCTTCCCGTAACGAGCGACGAAAGGATGCAGCGACCGGGTGCTTGTCCGACGTGGTGACGCATCGCCCAGTAGCGCGGCGATGCGATTCCATTCGACATATCGAGATAACAAGTGTGTCGGAAGAGGCGGAGATCGCATATTAATGAGAAGGATACACAGGGCAGATGGGGAGGACGATGCCGAGGCATCGAGACGCGATGTGCGCGTCGACCTGCCCTGAATCATGGGCGTTAGTCACCTGCAACTTGTTTCAACATGAACGTCGGATGGGGCGTTCCAACTCTGCTTTCAATTTCAAGCCTCAATGTGGATACGCACATCATATATTCCTTGCTATTCCTCACTCGCCTATAGTGTATTGCCTTCATGAAGCGAGCTCGATAACCTGAGATACTAGTACCAGTCGCCCAATATGCCTACCGTCTTCATTTGCGTTGAGCTTGTTAGGCTATAAAGCTCTAGTCACGTCTCTGATTTGCTGTGGGCTGGCCTCGCTACGCTAGTACACGGTACCTAGGACCAAATTTCAACAGGTTGTACTAGCACAGACGTTGACGTCGCTCTTCTGACAAATCCAGTGAGCCCATCTTTCTATACCATGGTCACGAGTAGCTGAGACTCGAATTGAAAACGGGTTGGGCGGCGAAGCATATTGCTCGTGGCCTAAAACAATATGGACCGCATCGTGACGGTTGTTGTCCCACTACTACAGGAAGACTTACCCTTGCGCTAGACTTCCGCAACTCGTTGTGGACTGGTTTCGTCGAGGTATATGTTATCACAGTCACACGCGCTGCCATCAATACCCGATTCTTCCTAATATTCCATTAAACCTCTTCACTGTAAAACAGCATACATCTTCAGTGCTAGAACTCTTATATCAGTCTCTCTACGTGACACGAGGCCGAATGCTTCAAGCGAAGCTCAGTCACAGAATGTGATGGCCAAATCGACCTAGAGTCACAAGAGTCATCAATGGTCCGGTGAACAGAGGCCGAGGGTAGCTCACGTTGTCAGTCTGGCACGCTACCTGGACCCATGTTTGGCTCGGGTCGTGAAACGCATCAGGGCAATTCGCGTCCGTGCAGTCTGCACCGAAACCATCGCGGCCGTTGTATTAACTATAGACGAAGGTGAATAGAGCCAATATATCTGACTAGGACTCGGATTGATATGCATCGAATGGACGTACCCGAAGCCCGAAGTGACGCTGAAAGTGTGGGGAGGAATCAAGCTGATGTCCGTGGAGGAACCGGAACCCGCAGTGGTAGGGTTTTTCAGCGTCGTCTCAATGAGTGTACAGCTTTCCCCGTTCAATCCGCAGCCCCCTGGTTGTTGTGAGGCATAAGTATGCTACTATTGAAGCGCAATACCAGTCGCCACTGACCAGTTTGCAGGTACCTGGAGCTTTGTTAGTACATGTCAACTGGATAATAGAAATGTAAACGTACGCAATGGCGGAGATGATAGGACCGTCATGGGTGTAGTCTCCCCCCGTTGACAGGATTACTCCGTTCTGGAGAAGAGTTGGCTAGGCTATATGTGAGCTACACGATGCTCCAGGCATGCTCTGAATTATTTTAGCGTCGTACAGTGCCTTTTCCACATCTGTATACAGTCAGTATGGAGATAACACTGACGATAAATCAGTATCGGCTCACTTATTGGTGAAGTGTATAGTGTGCGACTCCCCTAACGTAGAGCTGATAAGGGCTGACATTGCAAGGAGAGATGCAACGAATTGAAACTGCATAGTGACGGAATGCGAGGAGGAATGAAACTTGGGAAGGAGTGTCGAGCGGGCTCGATGGAGTGGAGGGACGTCTTGCTTGGTCTACTTAACCCTCCTACCTACCGAGTGGAAACGAACGACATCTTTATTCAGCGTGGTTGACATCTGAGAATACCGCATGAGTCTCTATACAAACGGGTTGACATGAGTGTTACGCGTCTTTCTGGGCTTGCCTTTGCGCCTAGTCGGCGGGTAGACTCCTTCTAGCCGCCTGCGCGCGTCGTGAATGTCTGTCAAATCCAACTGGCATCGACTGCGCCCCGTGATTGCTCGGAGACTTGTCTTCCATGTTTGGATAAGAAAAATGTGCTGGCTGGATAGAGCGCTCCACACAAGAGGGCGCAAGCATCGTACTAGTGATATACCATGTAGGATGATTGCTGCAGACTCCTCACATGAGCACGTCTATGACTCAAGACTCACCAATGATTCGCCCCAGGATGCATAGTCACTTAGTCTGTATGAAGTATAGTCTGTATGTGCGAAGAGTTGAATGCCTCTACCTTAGCCCCATCATATCAAATGCTGGAAAAGGACGACACTAGTTGATTGATGTTCGCATGAAACCAGTAAGCATGTGGTTCAGCCCGGAGCCATTGCTGCGCGATGCGCCTAGCCCAGCTCTGGGTTCAGGATCTTACTCTATTCACATGAGAAACGCCCACTGTGTCGCACACTACGGTAGCAACGACGACGCCGTGGGACACACCGATCACATACAAAAAAACGTCCAAGGATGGAAACTGAAGAACGTGAGTGAGAGTGACAAGGGAACAGATCACGAGATCTAAAAGACGTGATGACATGGGTACGTAGCTCAGAACATTGCGAATTTCCTGGAGTTCTTAGTCACAGAAGAAAATGGCCAGGTTCACCAGGAATGGGAGGTTTCGAAGTATCAATCTCATGTTTCTGTTCCAAAGACAAACAGGAAAGGGTCACATTGAGTAGAGGACCGGCGACAGAAGAGAAGGGGGATTTCCAGCCGGTGCAGTCAAACCTATTGTATCACAGCCGTAGTTGCATCTAGTAATAAGATTATTCAGAGCAAGAAACATTGGGCTACACTGACTACGAAACATAGAGAGGGACATACCCAAGCTGCTCAGTCTTGCGAATGCATGGGGAGGAAGTAGGGTGAGATTGGTGTCGGAGACGGAGCCCGGATCGGTCGGGTGCATCAAAGTGGTCTGATATGATGGCTGGTCAGTGTCTAGTCCGCGTCCTACCCCATACGCCCCAGTGAGTAACTCGGAGAATACCTATGTAGACCGGTGCTGTATCAACCTGGAATCCTGCAGCGTCTAGAGTGTGTCAAAAAATTCGTAAGCGATGCAGAATGGGCACACACGGGCCGTTCTAAGGACAGAGAATGGCGCTCCGCAGCGTCTCCACCAAATGAAGATGGCGTGCGCCCCAAGGTCGGAACCGCCTCCAATGCAATGCCGCAAGTATGACCACATGAGGGCCGCTGAGGGTCGCTGTTAGATTACCTTACTAGCGGGCGCCGACCCACTTATGTTGACAAACACCTTTTCGCGTGGGTAGATACCACTCCTGAGCTGTCTCTTGTCCTCGCACTCGTCCCGTGGAGAAGAGCAGACTAGTACATTGCCATAGTGCCCTCTGTCGAGTCTCTGTACCTCGAGTATCTGGATCTCTCCAGAGGCCAGCAATAGTCGTTCTCTGATCTGTGAGTACAAATGATCCGAGATGAGCGGGAGTACGTAACATTTCCAACACTATCTATGAGAAGGTAGCGCAGTTGAGATGTCCTGGCCGTAGTACTCGCGGCTTTATTCCACGGCTCATCCATCTTTGAGTGCTGATTCTCCCAGGGGCTTATGGAAGGAGCTAACTAGAAAAACAGCGACAGACCGGGAAGAAAGCTACCATTAAGCGACAACTGGCATACCAAAATAGCACCGGGACAAGTAGGAGATAGTGCTCAGTGAGATTAATGATGCTTGAAGTTTCCTTCTCGTAGGTATAACCGGATCATACTTGCTCAGTAATTTGACAGGCGTGAAAGGCGATCAGGCGTCAAATCAGTCACAGAAGTACCTTCTTCGGCATATTGTTCACACACCAATTCAACGAGCCACGATAGAGATGACGATGGCGAGACTGCAAACAGGGCCACCGGTATCTCAGTGAAGCCCGTGATGCGGGGTTCGGAAGACCAAAGCCTTCGTGCATGGCTGGTATGCCGGCCATAACAGATAACATCCCTACAGGCTTTCTATAGCATGGCACGCCATCACGGGAGCGAGACATCAAGCATCAGTTTTCAAAAAAACCGTGACAGTGATGGATAACCGATGTTTGTCTTTAGGAGAATATTTCGCGTCCAATCGTTGCCAGGTTCTAGCTTTGACAGCCAATTTCTGTGCTATCAACTCGATACTGTACACTTTCGGCCTAACCTGATAGCAACATCCTCCAAAACTCTCCCAACTCGTCTCTGGTTTTTGCACAGCTGATTTGTCCTTATCACTATATCAAAAGAGCTCGGGAACCCTGTACCCAGCCAACAGCTCACAAGCTGTGATGTTATCTGCCCTTCTTAGGTTCAGTCACAGAATGTGATGGCAAGGTTGACCTAAAATAACGAAGCAGAGTATAAGCCTTGCAGCGATGCTTCCAAGAAGTCAATCGTTACGCACATTGTCAGACTGGCAGGCAACCTGGACCCCTGTGTCACCTGGGCTATGGAAAGCAGTCGAGCAATCAGGGCCTGTGCAATCGGCTCCTGCACCGTCGCAGCCTCCAAAGTACCTAGAATGAGAGCGCTTGATGTCAAGGCATCAACGTCATCCAAAGGTCAGTTGAAGCGTACCCGAAACCTGAAGTTACACTGAAAGCGTGAGGGGGGATCAAGCTGATGTCTGTTGAGGAGCCGGAGCCAGGACTGGTGGGGTTCACCAGAGTCGTCTCGATAAGCGTACAGCCTTCCCCGTTCAATCCGCAGCCGCCTAATGGTTCAAAGTTATCAGCTTGATAGACTGCGCCCATGACAATATCCACGAACCTGTTTGCAAGTAGCTGAATCGACGTGAGTCAATGGGAAGTCCTGATGGAAAGTGAGGACTCACGCAATTGCAGAGATGAGAGCCCCCTCGATTTCGACAGTCGCGCCTTGAGACAGGATGTTGCCGTTCTGGAGGAGAGTAGGCTAGTATAAAATTCAGTTCTCTGTATCGCAAATTGTGAGTGGTTCCTGAAGCAATTTACAGTGCCGAATCCGCAGCTATGGAAGGGTTTCAATGAGGAGCAAGTTGAGATTGGAGCGCATATGCTGCTCACTTATTGGTGAACTGTACAATGTGCGTCTCCGCTAAGACAGACCCTATGAAAACTCCAATGGCAATGAAAGTCACAGAAAGTTGGTACTGCATAGTCGAGAGTGAAGCGGGACTGAGAATTTGACTGGGAAATGTCGACTCGAGCGGGGTCGATGGGGTGTAGGCTCGTCCTTCCTGACCTATTTAACCCTCCCTCCCAATGTATTCTGCATCCGTGTCCTGGGGACATCAGGTTCCATGTGTTCGTGCAGGCCATTGGTGTGAGAACATCATCGAACACATCTGAATATCCAGCAAGGGCACTGACTCCTTCTAGCCGGGTCAGCCGTCGGGGATTCGCTAGTGCGATCTGTTGAGGTCTTATGGGCCCTGAGAGTCCTGTAAGTGTCAGACGTTTAGGAAGCTCATTTTCGAACCCGGAAAAACGTTTCTGTAGTACTCATGAGGCAGACACACCGCGCTCTGTACTGAACGTGAGTGGGAACGATCGATTGCGGCCTCGCAGGCTACCACCCGCAATCTTCGACATGTTTGCACACTTGGAATGAGGACCACTTATACTTGAGGATCTGTTTTAGCAGAAAAGGCTTCAATATTGACGCACAATCCACGCGAGGACTATACAAGGACTGGATAGCACCTGTAGTTGCTCTCGCCCGGACGGCCACGGCAAATAGCGAAAACGTGATAGGCTGATTCGCTCCTTCAAATTCCTTGGCCCTCTCTCATCACGTAGCTGAAGGGTCAGACATCTGAGGTACCGGATATCAATCCCCCCCGTCGCCCAACAAGCTACTCTTGAATCTGGGTGAGAGGTCCTCAGCGTCTCGTTGGCATCCAGACGGCTTCTGGCAACATCCAGACCTGTTATTTCGGTAATAAGCTCTCATACACAGACCGGTGATATGGCGCCATGGCGCACTATGATGCTGGGGACGTATTAGCAACTGTCTGGTAGAACGCAGAATCGGCAGAGCGTGTACTATATTGCCAACCACGGCGGCCGAACAAGGTCTCCATCGGTCAGGGATGAAGTGTGCTCCGTAGACCGAGACCGCTGGCTGTCATGCACAATGAGTACGAGAACCCGAGGGGCCTCTATGATGAATTTCATTGACGATGCTGGCAGTAAGCTCATTGGATCAAATGGCATCATTCGGGGTTCAGGTACCTATTGACCAATATTGCCCGTGGAGTAACCTTCGCCTCTCGGCAACGGACATCGTGGGCAAGAGACTCCGGACGGTTTTTCCGATCAAGCAAAGCTGCCACGCATTGAGGAACCTGACACAATTCTGAGTGGTGGATTCAGGTACCATCCTCACATGATATACTAACGACATGTTTACAATTCAACGCAGCCACTTACGATACGATGAGAATACGTCGTTTTTTCCAGGTTTATTGTCCAACGCCTGCTTCACGGAAGGAAAAGAGGGGGATGACGAAGAGGATGCCCTGTAGGTCCCTTACAGGAGGTCTCAGCGGGGACCCATGCGCGTGTACAAAATGCCCGATACTGAACTAAATGAGAAGAATGAGAGCACACGCACGACTGAAGTCCAATGTGGAGAGCTGCTGCGGTGGAGGTCGGCATGTGGCCTGATTTGACAGTAGCTATCGTGTCACCAAAGCTGAGCCAGACCCGACGATCACTCGATCGATGCACCCTCAAAGATGCACCACGCACGGCCGAGTACCTGCCGTTCTTCACGCCATCTGAAATCTGGTATCAGAAAAGTAGCGGTGAAAAGTAGGAGAGCCGACGGGTTTAATATAGACAACTCACGCACGTGCATTTCACCCTGTGACTCTGTGCAAGCCGCCGGTAGAGGTGTAGATCAACACAAAGTGACAAGAGCGGAGACGGCCCAAGCTGATTCCTGAGAATCTGGTGGTAATAAGCAGGAGCTAGCACATACCCGGTCAAGATCGGGCACACACGGGGATATGACAGCGCGGGATGGAGAATGTATTGCACTGTGATTGTTAGAACGAGTAGTATTGAAAGCTTTATTGCCTGTTGACGCAGGCTGAACGACGCAGATTGCCGAAGAAGCCCGAGTCATTGATCCAAGTTCCCTGATATTCGGCTGTGGGGTCTGCATCTATCCTCAGCCGCGGGACGACTGGCGGAATGATGCTTCCACAGTGCCAGATATGCGTCATGAATCTGCAAAGCCGAAGACGAGGAACGCTTCGAGGCCCCTCTAGTTCGCACTAGAACTCTGACATGTAGAGCGACAAGACTCCCGGTTACCAGATGGCATAAGCCTCCGAAGGCGCACCAGTGGACTAGTGAGCTATCCAACGCAAAGCTCTCAGATTCATACCAACAGTAACGAGAACGCGACGTCGTAGACCATAGAAATTAACATCGGAATCCCTAGTCTATACAGAGAGGGAAGAAAGGACGATACAGACAGAATAGGCATAGTTGAAAGTGGCTCGACCGCGACTCAATATGCCAGAAAAGAGGAGACATGTTATGGCTTGCCTATAACTAACCCAGCCTGGCCATGCAGCAGGACTGCATGGTAGGAGGGAAGGTGAGCGAAGGGAGTCCATGCTCCGCACTCGAATTCACGCTTCGGATGGTCACATGTCGGGCACCTTGTAATAATGTGTGGGAGAAGTGAGTGGTAGAGACAGGACGCACTCATGGAAGACTTCACAACAAACCGCAGACCATCCTCTAGGCATCTTGTCGAACTGGGAGCTTGTCGCTGAAGTGTGATGGATGCCTTCCAATTGGTAGATTCCCACCGTTGAAATCCATACCAAATGAAGATTGTGCTGCAATCTTGGGTAGAGACAAAAAGTGAAGCCCAAGACAATGGATCAGAGGGGAAGAAATGACAGCGCGCACGACCAGGTAACCGGCCCTGAAGTTGCTGACACACGAGCGTCAGTCGTCGACTTCAAGCCTGGCATGCGACCAATATCTGACCTCTAAGACGATGTTGTTGTAGTGTGCACCGTGCTTCGGGCTCGTTCACAAAGGTGAGTCTTTAGGCTTACAGATGTGATAGTCCATGAGGTGACAAGTGACAGGATACACGCGGACACGTCAAGCCCCTACTGCCAGCACCTGCCCCTTCGGCTTCCATGTCTTTGCCACACCTCATGGCGAGTCTTACATGCACATATTCCCTTCCTGTACTCTCTTTGGAACTCATAGAGACTGTGGTTGATATGCTGTCTTTTAACAAACGCGCCCTGGAACGTTTTACTCTCACATGCCGCGCGCTGCTTCCTCGCAGCCGTTATCATCTTTTCAACGCAATATGGCTCCAGCCGACTTTCGCAGAGGCCGATTCATTATGCGGTTTCCTGGATGTCCACCGGGAACTAGCTTTAAAAGTACACACGGTCACCGTCTCTTTCCGCAGGCACGAAGATCGCGAAGTAGCCGTTCATTTCGTCCAGGTCTTCTTGCCGAGGTTACTTAGGAAGGTTCCTCACATACGCTGCGTGAAGCTCTGTACCAATGCCAGCAGAAAATGGGACGCTCCTGTTTCGTTCCATACCTCAACTCTCGCATTCGTCAAAACAACTCTTCACCTTCACGAATTGCATATCGAGAGCATCCGCTTCGCATCGCATGTGGAGATCGTGAGAATGATAGCTGCACTTCCTCTGCTCCGATCTCTGGAATGTCACCATGTGGATTTGTGTGCAAGAAACGATATGATAGTGACCGCTCATCTCCGGGCCTCACAGCTTCGTAGATTGTCGGTGAGTGCGTCGGGAAACCTCGTATCCGAGTCACGATGGCCTGAACCACGAACAGCTCAACTATGACCGCAGCAACTCGAGTAGCGTAGCTACCCTTCTCCTGCAATTGACAAGAAGCACGCTCGAGGAGCTCATCTTGAGGCCTCCTCGCCAGCATGAAGGTTTGTGCGCCACTACCCTTCGCCCTGGTTACAACTGATATTCACCCAAGATCTCGGTACTTTGGACTTTCCATTTCTGCAGAAGCTGGTGCTATACACCGAGTCATCTTTGGACCGCGCCGAAGGCATATTGCGTAATTTCAAGACACCTTCACTACAACATCTGCGTTTGCAAGTCGAATCAAGCATACGATTCGGGGATCACCTGCAAGATTCCCAGACAGCAGCGTCATCTCTTGAACCCTTGCTACTCGATGGATCCAAGCGGGTCACTGTGGAGATCGAGGGGGGACGCACCAACAGGATGGGACGATGGGCAGCATTATTCCAGCGCATCCTTCCGACGCTGCATGCACAGTCACGACTTGCAGTAGTCTCTTCTCGCGGTGAGTGATAGCGTGCGTGGAAGAGCAACTTCTGACGTCGGATGGGGGACAGGGCCACATTCTCTACCAGGTCATGAGGAGAAATATGGCATCTCTTGCATGGCGATATCTCCCGACAGCCAGTGGATCTCAACGGGAGGAGGTGGCGTAGTGATCATGCTGTGGCGAGCGAGCGATGGCGTTGTCGTCCACGACTGGGCAGCGCATCACTGCAACTCCCTAGCTTTCTCCCCCGACAGTCATCAACTCGCTTCTTGCGGTACGGACGGTCGAGTACACCTCTGGGATGTCGTAAACGGCCAACATCTCGCATCGCTAGGCTACCCGGCCGTCGAATCCTCAGAGAACCGCTCTGGCATCGTCTCCGACGTCGACACAATGTGCGCCTGGTCTCCAGATGGCGCTCAATTCGTAGAAGCATCTAGCCCCTGGCTTGGGGCGGGGACGGTGCGAGTGTGGGATGCACACACTTTCCAGCAGATCTCTACGATCACCGGATTCCCCGGTCGCACCACACCTGTCGCTTCGCTGCCAGACACCTGGTGGTGGGCGGTGTTCGCCTTTGGCCGACCGAGGATGCTAGGGGCGCTGACCACAAGCGGAGCTCCTTCGAGTCAGCGGAAATACGGCCCTTTCACCATCGTCGCCTGCGCATATGACCCCTCGAGCTCGCGCGTCGCAACGGGAACCGGCAACGGGGAGGTCTGTATATGGTCCACTCACGATGTCGACTGGTCCGAGCTGGTCCTCCATCCGGCCGGAGAGCGAGGTGCATCCACGGAGATGTCCGTAGAATTCTCGCCCGACGGCCGCTTACTCCTCTCAGTCTCGAAGTTTGCTGGTGGAGTTGTCATCTGGGACTCGCACAGCGGCTGCAGGCTCCGGTCCTTGGAACCTGATGAGGACGAGCCCAGGTTCAGTTCGGCGTGCTTTTCACCGGATGGCAAGTACGTTGCTACTGGGTCGCTGGACGGCGTCATACGGTTCTGGAGTACAGTGGATTGGGCAGTCGCTGGAGCGCTCGCAGAACACTCCTCGGAGATTGACCGGATGGTGTTCGCTCCCAACGGGGAATTCTTGGTATCGACGGCAGACGAGTCAGTTTTGATCCTGCACGTTCATGACCTGATAGCGCGGGGGTGGATATCGGCAAGGAGTCCATGATGTTGTCTAGAACTTAGGCTCCCCTCGTAATCCTTAGGACTCATCGAGTAGTGTACGCACCGCTTTTGACGCTATGGGAAAGTGGGTATGCTCAATCGGAGCCCAAATCGATGCCCTATGGGCTTGTTACCTATGAGAGGGTTCTACGCATGTGACATGTACTGATGATGACCTACAGGGAGGGCTACAAGCATGCGGGCCTCAAGAACTTAAATGAGTAAACGGTAACTGCAAAAATAGCATTTGTGTCAAATGGCGCATCTGATGCCAGTACTGCTGGACGGCGGCGCCGGAGGGCGCCTTCCATGCCGACCGGACCGTCTAGGAAGGTTCAGGGCAGGCAACGCGTAGCCACACGCATCGCTGCTGTTCAGCCATACATTTCACTTTTCTGTCTTCTCCTTCTCATCCTCTCAAATCATCAGCGGCTCGAACATCAATATTGACGCGATAGCATTGAAACTGAGTTCCGGTTTGACTGGACTACTGTGTCCTTTGGGGTTCGCGTCCGGTTTGCTTGACCCCTGTCAACTCGAGATCAGGGCGGGAAATTTAGTTGTCAATGTGCCTCTCAAGATCATGAGCGGCCTTGCAAGCTAAGTCATTGTGAAGTGCGTCTTCTGCTACCTACGTGGCTGGGCCATGTGCCTGTAATGGGAAGGTGCGTGCATCCGATTGCCCGGTGATTGTGTCGCTCTTTCGTGATATGCGTGTATGTCCTCAGATTCTGTCGTCTGAAACGCAGACATCGCCTCGCTGAATGCCTGGAAAGCTCATTGCGTCGTCCACGGTTGCGTCCCCGTGCAGTCGGACGAGGCTCACCTTCACTACGATGTGTTCAAGACTCCTGCGAGGCGTAAGAGCGCGGTCGATGACAAGAAGGATGTCGTCCGGCACACATATCTCCAACGCCCAGGTATGACTCTCGCCACATGAATCTCTTCGTGTCCATCTACGAGAGACTACGAGTTAGGCATGCGCTGCCTCTGCGGTATGGGTGAACGCACAGAGTACGGCATCTCGCACGTATTCAGCTCCATCGTAACCACGTCCGCGGACGCGATGGACGAGTACGAGTATCACCACGCGCCCGAAGAGCTGCGCAGCGTTGCGGCGGTAAGGCTCGAAATCCTCTGCACCAGCCCCGACACGCAACCAGTTGTCGGTGTGCGCAACGTCGGCCTCGCGTGCGACCACAGAGGCGGGTGATTTTAAATTGGAGCAGCGAGCTCGGGGTACAGTTGCGGGTAGTATGTTGATGACACCTATCCTGCCGCGACCGGGTAGCGTACGACTTGGGCACCGAGTGCCTTCTCGATCCCCAGAAAGGGGCCAGGCACGACGCGTCTCATCCGTTCTTCTGGATCGCCCTGCCGGGCAATCGGTCGGAGTCCATCGCGACGCACACAGAGTCATAAGGAGACCAAGACTCGATCGTGAGCCGGGCTGGGATGTTAGCGACGGATGCGGCACAGATGGATGTGGATTTTGTCCTGGAGGGCGTGAAGCGGGCCGGTCGAACGGCTCAGCACAGATTTGGCTGTCGCCTGTTTTCCGTAGGAGATTGTTCCACAAGACGATATCTTGACCGACGTGGTTGCTGTCAATGGCCTCCTTGCAAGCTTTCTTTCTGAAACACCTGGCGGTGTCTTGAGCGGACAAGCCAGTACGATTATTCTGAGGAGTTGAGCGGGCGGTGGCATCTCGCGTTCACCTGCATCTGCTGAGACCCCTGAGACCTGTCGCTATCGTTGCGGACCGTAATGCGGTTCCTGGTTGCCTGAGCACTCTCTGCTATTTTCTCCCAACAGCTAACTTGCGTCCTTCGCCATGCCCATCCAACAGAGCTTCCCTCTACATCAAACCCAGGACCGAGGCGGTACGCTTGCCGATCGGGTTGCCGCCCGAACCTCTTCTGCAGCGAACAACTGTCATGCTGGCGTTCTCTTCCAAACGATGCGGTTTCGCGCCTTCTCAGTCGTGCGGCTCTCTGCCACGGGTTGATAGTGCGACTGTCCACCTGACGGGACGCTGTCGCACTCGCGCTCGTATCGTTGCTACCTTTGTGGCTTCACAACACCCTCAAGTCAGCGGTACGTATGCGGTCACAGCCTCCAGAGAGTATTCCCGTGCACGCTCCCTCGAATGCCGCATTTGCTCCGGTCCACAATGGCGGGTAAATCAGTTCTTATTGTTCAGTCTCTATCTCTCAAAAACAGAACCGTCTCTATGTGTGCCGCTCTCAAGAGGCTCTTGTATTCGCTAGGATTGAATCAACAGAAGCGCCTGCTTCTCTCGAGGCAGCACCGCTCCCGGACGATCCCGATCCTCGATGCGGTAGGCGCATCCTCACACTTCAACGGATATACGGCATGTAGTCTCATGGCATGTCGTAGAGCATGGGAAGGAGTCTTATTCATCCGTGTCTCAAGTGAAAACGTGCTCGGTGCCAGATTCGCCATGATACTCTCCGGAAATGCTGCAGCACTGCAGTCCCTGCGCGTCGACTCTTGACGGCGTTGCATGTCCACCAGACGTAGTGCCAGGGTGCGCCGCCGCCCAGGCGCAGAGAGATCTCGCTAGAGATTGCTTCCAAGGGGAAGACAGAAACGAACAACGAGATCTCTCGGCGATTGTAATCCGGCGATGAGAGAGCGCTGACGCCAGACGTAGAACCGCACTTGCATCTCTGGGCTGCAGGTGGATCGTTTGAGCGTTGTACATAAGTGCGTGGTGCAGATCTCTTTTTCTTCGTTAGCTTCGTGACCCTCTCTCAGCCTCAGCCCCAGACTCAGAGCGTGATGTCTTCAGGCTTCAGTATTCCCGCCGCACCCTCGCTCGGGAACACCTTTGGTGCTATCATGATCAGCACGTTCGTCTCGTTGATGTACGGCTTCATTATAATCACTACTCAAGCCACTGACGCGTCGAGACAGGCTGTATGGTCTGACGGCTCATCAGACATTTCGGTATTTCCGGACATACCGTACAGACATTCCTCTTTTCAAGACATTAGTATGTCCCCACTGCATATGTTAACGTGCGTCGGGTCTTAATCACTCTTGAATCCTAGGTATTTGCTCTATTGTGAGAATGTTATTTCTCGCTTAGATTACATGCAGCTGAGTTCCGGAAAAGCACTGCCGACACTTTCCACTCCATCACGCTTATGCATATGTGGTACGTAGTGTCGCTATGAGGAACGTTCTATCAGCACGCTATACTTCAGGAACATCCAGCTACTACTACTTCGTCATCAATTATTTCAACCCACTCGCCTTGCTCGTGAGTGTATGGTACGTGCGTTCGACATACAGCGTCACTATGTATCCTTGACTCCTCAAGCTCTTCAGGTCTATCCAGGTAGGTATCGAAACCTGGCTCACTCGTCATGACACCTTTGAAACATCGTGTCTCTCTGCAAGGCACTTCCTCTCTCTACGGTGAGTCGACGCCCATACTTGCCCGTGTTGTTGCACACCATATCTGACGAGGCTCTAGGGAGTCACAGTGCTGCTCACCCAAAGGTGCGCTTCGACCAGCCTGACCATCCTGTCTATGCTCATTATCTTGCAGCTTTTATGTTCGCCGCATATATCTTGGTATGCTTTCCTTCTGACCTTGCCGCAGCGAGATACTCACTTTATGTATTTCAGTCGGCAAACATTATCTTCCGGTTGTCGCAGTCGTCGTATGATTGTTTCCCCGCTGCAGCGCCGAATACTCTATTCACCCCTAAGCAGATCATGTTGATGCTCGTCGAGGTCGGCTTCATTGTCGGTGAGATATTCGTCAATCCTAGAAGGGCCCCCAGTGCTTATACTTGAACAGCCGCCAGCCTTGAGACGTCAGTAAATTTTCCGTGCTTCATGCTTCGACGAAAGGCAGCCTCTCATGTCCGGAGTTATGTCTAGCTTCAGCAATGATACTTTCGAGGGCCTGAGCAGCCATACGGTGCGTCTCCAAGTCTACTACTCTCTTATCCTACGTCTCACAGGTACTGCATACGCTCTCAAACATTGCAGTGGATGGACGCGGCGCTCTTCGCTGTCGCGACATCGGTCGATCTCATATTGACAGGCGCTCTCCTGTTCATACTAAGAAGTAATCAAACACGGTTCCAACGGTGCGCCCATTATGTTCACAATGACCCCCATGATACAGAACACTGAGTACTAAGGAAATACAGGACCAAGACTATATTAGACACCCTGTCGCTATATGCTGTCATCGCCAGTGCGTCTTTCTCCACTTGGGTGCCAGTGACTCATCGTGATTGACGTAATACGCACACAGCTGGTATTAACACGTATTTATCCCTCTTTTTAAGCCGTTTCATCCACAACAAGTGATCTGATGTCTCGTATAGTGCTCTGACCATTCCCGCATTTGTATGCGTACGTTCCATTTTCCCCGGACGCATCAATACAGGCATCTAGGCTGAACGTATCGAAGTCCATAGTGCTGCCTGAGACTTTCGTCTACTTTGCAATCGCCATGCCTGCAATGAAAGGTGGGTTTTTCGTTCATAACAGACATTATTCCTCTGAAGAGCCACGCGGATAACCATCTCAATCCCGCCTCTGCACATAAGTCTACTCAAACTCGGTGCTTGCAATGCTTAACTGTCGTCAAGCACTGTCCGAGCACACCTCAAGCGGTTCCCACTACACGCCAGCCATTGGGATGAGCACCATCAAGCGCAAGGATCGGAGTGGAGGAGCGAGCGCAACGCAGGATTCGGTAAGTTGATTACCCTAGATGACGTGATCAACTTAGGGCTAATACAGGATCATGGGAAGACATCACTCCCGTCTTCCTATGCGATCGTCAGAATAGAGACGGCGAAGTCTGCAGCACAGGAAAACATAGTTCTCGATGAGAGGAAGGATGTGAATATGAGCCCAAGTATGAATCTGAGAGACGACTCGGAGGTGTTTGAGAGAAGCCGGAAAGATGATCTGCAAGCTGTGGGGTACATAGTATGAGGTCGGCGTGTGCGACGAACCTCACGGCCTTCAATCTCTCATATACACTACGTCTGCATTGGTTATGAAGGGTGTAATCTTGACAATGTATCTAGCCTTGACCGGATTGAAAGCAACACAACTACCTGCGTACCACCCCGCCGGACCTGACTGTACATCACCCAGAGAGACGGTCAAGCACGGGGTCTCCAACATACAGAGAGTTATAGTACACCCAGTCACTGTCACCTAGCTCCGCTGCTCCGGACCCGGCCCAACCGGCGCTCTGATACCAGAAACAGGGTTGGCGGTCGCTACCCTCCAAAAAAGGAGCAAAAACGCTGATGTCACATAATTTGTCAGCACTGATATTCCGTTTTGGGGCTTAGGGACTGGGGTCCGGAGCTGGGCGCCGGGACCAGGACCGGGAAAGGCGTACATTCCCGGTCCATTTCTCTGTCCCGGTTTGGGTCCGGGGCATTGGCCAATGCCCGTCGTGATGTACCGTCATAGCCGTGCTCCGCTCTGGCTCGGAGTTACATAGAACGTCCGGCTTTGAGGACCGACTGCGTGTGCAAAGAGTCACATACGGGCCCATCGCCATGAAAACAGCTGCCAAATTCCGGACTTCGGCTCCGCACGGCGCTCTAGTAAGTCAAATCTTGAAGTATTGTGCTTCCGGCGTCGGCTCTTTCGCCTGACTGACCCTCACCACCACTATCGACCTCAGCACCATGGCCCCAGTCACTAATGGACGCTATGTTTTCAACGAGTACCCTACCGGTACGTCTATCGCTTAGGTTAAAACCTGGGAACCTCGCTGCATCACAACGTGATTTCCGTTAGGCTATCCAGTTCTTGACAAGACCCTCAGTTATGACGCCACCAACGCCATAGACCTCTGGAACGTCCCTCTCAATGGCGGAACCCTCATCAAGGTCCTCGTGTTGTCTATCGATCCATTCCTTCGGAACCGCATGGATATGCCGGATCCCGAGGCTGCATTCAGTGTAAGGTATTGCTGCCCTCGCCACTTCTAAAGAGACTTATCAGATACACCACATCCAGTGGTCCTTCAAGAAAGGCGAGCCGTGTGTACTCCATCTGCTATCGCCCTGCTCCATTTGCTGAACCCTTGACCATAGAATCGAGGGTTACGGTGTGGGAGTCGTCCTCCGCACGGAGAACTCGGCCTTGAAGAAAGGCGATCTCGTCTATGGACTCTACGGTGAGTTCATCCCCGGCTTCCAAATTCAGTTTCACTCATTCTCTGCTTCCACTCTGGCAGATTTTCAGGAGTATGTAATCTGGCCTGGACTTCCCGCCAACGGCATCTCGCGTGTCCTGGAGAATAAGGAGAACCTCCCATTGTCGGCTTATGTAGGCGTGGCTGGAATGCCTGGTATGTACAATACGCCACGGTGAACCTATCTAACATGTCTATCCAGGCCAGACCGCATACTACGGCTGGAAGGAGTACGCATCGCCCAAGAATGGCGAAGTCGCATTTGTCACTACCGGCGCCGGTATGAATTTCTGGATCGTATCATGTAGTCGTACTGGAACCACCTGTTTCTTATGTGCTAGGTCCGATCGGAGCGTAAGTCGCCGTACTCTGTTTACTCAGCTTCAATTACTCATTGCCGTATTGTGGTGCAGTACCGTCATCCAATTTGCCAAAGCCGCGGGCCTCAAGGTCATCGCATCGGCCGGATCCGACGAGAAGGTCGCGTACATGAAGTCCATCGGCGCCGATGTGGCCTTCAACTACAAGACCACTAAGACTGCCACAGTCCTCCAGAAGGAAGGTCCCATCAACATGTGGGTATATCGAACTCAGACGGCTATTACCGGTCGTTGATTTGAGATAACTAGATTCTGGGACAACGTCGGTGGGGAGACCTTTGAGGCGGCCATCGAATACGCCGCAACCGGCGCGCGCTTCCTTGTAAGCGACTCATGGCCTCTGCGAGCCTGACTCATCTTTCCTCCGTAGCAATGCGGCTCGGCGTCTACGTATAACGCGACCGAAGTGTACCCCGTGAAGAACCTCACCAAGATCACTGTGAAGGAGCTGCACATTCACGGCTTCAACGTCGCCGGAAGTCTAGCTACGAAGTACCGCGAGGAGTTCTACGCAACAGTGCCTGGACAGATCGCTCGCGGAGAACTAAAGTACAAGGAGTATGTCCTCCGTGGATTAAACTTGGCGGGCCAAGGTCTCCTCGACGTCTTAACCGGGAAGAATTTCGGGAAGTGCGTCATCATCGTCGCGGATGAATGATCGCGCAGTGTCGAGGTATGCAAAGAGAATAGCTTGCGAAGGGGCGGCCTTTGGAGATATCGGGTCGTTTGGTACATGCTGTCATCTCAACGGTTCTCGCTGCCACATTGATGATTGATCGAAGGATCGTATACACATTCCACGAGCACGCCCTCTTTCTGGTGACCTTGAGACTTTAGGACCCAGGGAACGTGATGCTCGGGTGTGCGATATCACTGCCGAGATGCTAGTCGCTATATACAGGCAACCCTCCCATCGTCTTGAATTCGAGGGGATCACGGTATGCGTGGGACTAGCAAAGAGCTGCGCGAGGTTGCCCATCCCAGAAGTTGATGGACTATGGTAAAGGCGTGAGGGTAAGGGTGCTGGTGCGCATGCAAGCGGGGTTTCGGACGGTGGCAACGTGAGCCCCAATGCCGGTGCAAGGGGTGCTTGTGGTGCAGGAGAGGACGACCAGGAGTGGATGGCGCGGTGACAGTAAGTCGCACTGTTGCATACGGAGCGAGCAAGGCTCGTTGTCACTGTCATGCTACGAGTGCCTGTCCCAGGATGAATGTTCGCAGTACTAGTAGCCTTGAAGGCATCGGTGAGCTGTATTTCTGATCAACATGAGACCAAGGGTACATACCATACCGAGCGGTCCAGCTAATTACACAAAGACATTCTGTAAGACGAGACGCTCCCACCATCTATAGTACAGGAGCCCACTCACTAATGCGCACAGTCCCATCCCGGATCCCCAAGCGTTTCCACGGCTGCGGATGTCATAAGACGGGGGTATTACAGCAAGTCGTAACACATATCGTCAATCTCTTCTCGCTGAGGCCTGGTCCAGCATCGGCGGTTGAAGGCTAAGCTGCTGCCCAAATAATCGCCTCTGTCTAGCATACGTCCGGAACTGACTCAGCTCTAGGACCTCGGGAGGAATATGGGACTGACGAGGATCAGAGGGAAAAGCTTCTCCAGATCACCGCCGGGTGTAATGACATCAGCGAAGACTCTACGTTGTATGGTGATGCGGAACGCCTAGTCACGCTTATGTTTGAAGACCTGTCGCATCCAGCCAGCTAGCACGGCGGTAGGGGCAAGCCGATGAGCGTTTCGAATACGCCACATGCCTCAAAGCTAGGCGCACTTACGAACGAGGGGCTCGTAGAAGCGAGAGTTGCCGCACGACCGAGACTGGGCCATCCGACAACGTAGACGCAGTAGTACACTGGAAGCTTGTGTACAGTATCAATATCACACGAGGGTTGCGGCTTCGTGAGCATCGCTGAAGGCAGTTGAGTAGACAGCACGGTCCAGTCATTTACAACGACGTCGCCTGCTTAGGCGGGAGGTCCCGTTGCATTGCTGTTGTCGACTCTCGAGCCGAAGTCGAGATTTTACAGACACAGGGGCAGTCTAGGGCGTTTCGAGCACATGCCCGAGATAGTCGTCAGTCCACGCGAGAAAGAAAGCTAACTCGAAGAGCGCGCAATAGGCCGTCAAGCGAGGCACAGCGACGAACTTCTGAACCGTGGGATTGATCTGTTTTCGCTCGCCTCCACATAAGTGAGAGAGCGAAAGGCACCGTCGGAGAAAGACCTTGCCAGATAGCGGGATGTATTCGTCTATCAATATATCACCCGTGGAGGCGTATGACTCCGCGGCAAGGTCCGTCGATAGGCCTGATCCGCGGACGCACCATCACGTGTCTCATTTCTGCTGCCCACGCTCGGCTACCGCCGGTGAGCACACCTGGTCGTTCCCTGCTACTCTCAGGCTACATATGCCTTTGGAAACCACTTGCCCTCATCCACCACCCCGATCGTATGGTCACATCCTTTGATTCTTGTGGGACAAGTTTTGTATGTTTTCCGTCTGTCTCTGTCTATTTCGACTTTCTTTATACTCCATGCTACCGCTTTCTCATTCACCGCAAGGACGCGCGGCTGTGACTGCCCATCCCCGCACGGCTTTTCTCGGTCGCGTAGGTTGTTCGCTATGTCACCCCACGACCTCTCTGCCGACGCTGAAAGGCGTAGTTCTATCCATACAGCTTTTCTGTCCCCCAAGCTGCTTTCCTTTTTTGCGACGCTCGTTCTGGTGCTCCTGTTGACCCACAATTGCAACTCGTCTCCTGCTATGGCGCCTTCGGCCTTCCGTTCATGCAGTCTGCCCTTTCATACACATTACATCCAGCTTCGCGGAAGGCAATTTTCTCGCTCGCAACGTCGTCGACGGCCCCTTTGCCCTACGACGCTGAGCTTAAGTTCAATCCGGCGCCGCAGCTCACAGCTACTTCCGCTTTTTCCCCTGCGGTCTGCACACGCCCCTCAGCCCGCCTCTTTGGGAAAAGGTTTGGTGAAGTCCTCTCTTCGGGGCGGATCTCCGCTCACACGTGCTGTGCAGAGTCAGTCTATGCACCTCAGCGCACTTAACTGTATGTCGGCACGTGCTTGTTGAGCCGTTCTACGGAACGCGTTCTGCTCTTTTTAACGCTTCTTCCTATCGGCTGGATTCCCTCGTGGACGCGTGTGTCTACCTGTTCTTAGTGCTCTTGGGTGTCTCGTCTCACTTCCTTTCCTCCGCCCTTCTCGTTTACCGTGATGGGCCGAAGTACCCCCTGAGTGCCCAACTGAACATAAATGAACATGTTGCCTTACCTTCGCAGGGCGTCGCCTCCCCCTCCCGTGTGCGAGCGGGACGCTGCAGCGTGTTATTCAAAGCCAGCTGCTAATAATAGAACATGTGCAACCTGGTGAGTCGGCTAACCGGGGGCCGAGGTCATCATTGAAAAATATCGTGCAACGGGAGTCCGTCGATGAGGACTCCTCCTCACCACCAATATCTATCCTGTTCAGAACCTCAGTCAACTTACTATGCAGGAGCTGCGCATTCAGTGTCTCACGGTCGTCGGAAGCTTAGCTTCGCAGTATCGCGACGTCTCGAACACGACAGTGCCTGGACAGATCGCTCTCGGGGAGATAAAGTACAAGGAATGTATCGTGCGTGGATCAGACAAAGCGGGCCAAGGTCTCCTCCACGTCTAAAGCGAGGAAGATTTGGGGAAATGCGTCATCGTTGTTACGGATGAACGAACGTCGGGTCATGAGGTATGCAGAGAGATGATCTTGTGGCTGCGGCAAGGGATATTGAGACGCTTAAGAACGTCGATCGAGCCTGCCATGTTCTGACGGCTGTCATCTTGGCGGTCCCCGCTGCCACATCGATGATTGATCGAGGGATCGTAAGTACACCCACTCCCTTCTGGCGACCTGGAACATTTTCGTGCCGTTTCCGCCTTCCAAGATGATCGGATGGTCGCGTGAGCGAGTTTACTACAAGATGCTAGTGGCCGTATATACAGGCAGGCACCCCATCGGTATAAGCGCCAAGAGTACTGTGAGGGCGAGACGGAAAAAGGAATTTTGGGGTTGCCGCCGCCACAGATCCGGGGGGGGCACACCTCCTTTGCCGAAATTCGATGGCGGCCGCTCTTTCATGATTTGGAGTCGATAAAAATCACACCATGCAGATTTTCAGATGTTCGAGATTCTCCAGCGTAAATCTCAGCTCATATATGTATGTAACTACATGGCAGGCTTCGCCTCGGGCGAAGTACCGCGTTGGTGTAGCGCGCCTCCCGAGCACCGACATCAGAGGATGAGTACTCCGGGTCTTTTGTCGCTCGAAGTGTTCCTATGTCTCAGCGCTCATACAGTCTCCATACATCGTTGTTACCGTGCGGACGTACCGGTTCTCGGGAGGCCTTCTCGCCGTTGACCAGCATCCTCCCGCTGTGAGTAAGCGCGCCGGGAGTCCAGGCCTCGTTCGAGACCGCACAAATCCATGTATATGAACCATCTGAACAATGGGAGTCGCAATTCATACATGACGACTATACTAACAATGACAGTTCTGTCTGTCGTAGTCCTTCGAAAGCTATCAGTGGCGATGTTCCTGAGCCACGAACCAGCGTCTCAATCCGACTCGGGAAGCCTCCGTCTTGGAAAATTGGGGAGGATGAGTAAGCATCCTCAAAGAGCGTGCCATGCGCCAGGGGCACCTCAATCGGGGCGTCCAGGGACCTCGTCCCGCGGTGAGAACAGCCACGACATCCCATCATGTCTACATGCTAGCGACGGGATTCGAGAATGACGGCGTGGGAATCCGCTCATCGGATACTTGACGGTATTTATCCCCACAACCGCTCGCATGCATCTCCGAGTCGGTCTCACTTCCTTCTCGCTGTCGCTCGGGTACTATCTGGTCCTTGCAAGAGTGGACAGAATATGTCCGCAAACGTCACCGCCACGGCCCCAGCGGTGCCTGCGCTGGACAACTCGTTCGGGGCTATTCTCATCGGAACCTTCATTGGTCTAACGTGAGTTGGTACGACTGCTTCGCAAAACTTCCGTTAGCTGACCTGTGACACGCAAACATCTGATCTAGGATGTATGGTCTATCTTTGGGCCAGATGTTCCGATATTTCCACGCCTACGCCGGAGACACGTTGATTCTCAAGGGCACGGTAAGCCAGACATCGTCGTATAGCCCTGCTTGGATCCAGCTGACAACGCCTCGCTCGCATTCTATATATGACTCCTCTCAGGTCCTCTGTCTCTCGTACGTGATCAAGGAGCGCTTTCATTGCAATAGCTGACTCGTATGACACAGCATACTGGACACCTTCCATTCTATCGCTTGTATGCACGCATCGTGAGCCCGGCTTCCACATACACTTGCTCTCGCTGTCTGACGGCCAAGGTAGCTATCATTATCTTGTAAACAACTATTTTAGGCCGCAAGTCCTGCTCGTCGGGGTATGGTATGTTGTCCCCATTGTCAGATTGTTTCCGTAACAAGGTCTGACTGCATTACCGCAGGTCCGTTCGAGTGAGTTAGCAGATGTCTAGATTGAATGCTACTCTGATGCTCCCCTTTACCATCAGATCTTGGCCCCGGTCACTGTAAGTGGTGTAGGATCTCGCGCTTGGGGCTGGAGGTGATATTTTTTGCTATCTGTGCAGGGAGTCACCGTGCTCGTCGCTCAGTCGTATGTCTTCTGAGTCATGCATGCCTTGATCAGGATCTCTTTGCTAAGTTTTGTCTCGATAGCTTCTACGCTCGTAGGATCTATCGTCGTGCGTCCAACTAGTTTCGGTGCGCATACACGAAGCTCACGGTGCTCCGTCGTAGTTGGTTCTGGCTACGCTTTTGTCGTGATCCCTATCGTATGTTATCCTTGTCTGTGTCCGTACTCAGCCTTCTGACCCTCATATAGATACTGTTCATGCTTGGCTCTGTCGGTGAGTGCTGCCGCCGAAGCATGACTGCTGGTCAGCCATTTATGAGAGCTGCGCAATAGGTTTCACGATCGGTCAGTGTTGCCATCCTCTCAATTGTTCAGATATTTATCTCACCGCGTTCTGTGCAGCTGCTAGTTACGAAATGTCAGTCTTTCTTCTAATGGTGCCCATGTGCCGTCTGACGAACAACGCTGTAGCTTTGCACAAGCGACGTTCGCCAAATTTGAGCATTACACCGTACGACGCTGAAAGACGCCCCCGGGTTGTGTAACGATACTGAAGGATCGCATCCGCAGTGGCTCATGTCCGGCGGGTTCGCGTGCTCGCTGGCCACCGATGTAGTGCTTACCGTGACTCTGATTGCCTTTCTTATGCGGAGCCGCACTGCGTTTAAAAAGTAAGTACACGAACGTGCTCAGCTGTTGGATGGAAGCTCAGTCGTCTCCAGGACGAACTCGATGCTTAGCGTTCTGGTGGTATATACAATCAACACAGGTGAGCTCGTTAAGTTAGCAGTTTACGATTGATGCAGGTTTCATACGGCGGCTGGTCTAGGGCTTCTCACGAGGTAGATACCTGATGTACTCGCGGAACGATCTGGAGTTGATATGGCTTCCTCTCAGCGCCCTCAGCCTCGCATCGCTAGCGTTCGTGAGTCGCACAAAGTCCTTGTTTTCTTGAGGCGATATGAATATACTGCTAGGGTCTATCGCAACCGGAACACATGATCTGGATCGCGGTTAACATGCTCGCCACAAAATGTGAGCACCTCCCTACTTCGCACTTTCAACAGCGGCGCTGATATTTGCCCTTAGCCTATGTCAACGCCGTGCTCGCTGTGTACGTAATTTTCACATGCTCATAAGGCAGAGGAGCTTGATTCATTCCCCTTCTGCGCAGTGTCAACTCCCGTCGCGGAGTCGCGGAGTCAACACGGGAGACTGGTGGCTTCGGCACCTTCGGCTTGACTGCGCAGCAGCAAGTATCTCAGCGTATTCCGGCGCGGATGGACACCTTCCGTGCGTCGGCTGTGCAGAGGGACGTCATTGACGTCCATTGGGACAATCCCCCTGAGGATGACGTGCCGATGAAAAATCATGGGGTTGAATCGAAGCGAGACGGAGACGTGGTGTAAATTCTCGGTGGCTGTAGCGTTAGTCTTTCGACGTGTAATCTTCGAGAGCAGGCCTCTGGCTGAACGTTTGTTAGATATTGGACTGTATGATAGTACTAATTAGAGAAGTTTCGAAGAGGTTACGGGATGTTCCTCATTTGTCTGCGCGTTCATGAGGCGGAGGGCATGATCGCGGAACTGATGCCCTGTGTGGATATCGGCTTCTAATCTTTAGTAGCCTCCATGGTAGATAACAGTCTGCGATGGAGACTCCTTTCCTTGCGCTCATTGCACCTGAGCGTACGTGACGCCAGCAATGAGTCCCAGTTGCTATCTTGGTTCGCCGTGCGGATATGGTGACTTTCTATTCAGACAGTGTATCCTTCATCAATTCTATGAGTCTCAGTCTCATTGACTGACTTTGCTGCGGTAGTTACGTTTCTCCATGTAATAGAGGCTTGAGCCTCGGTACGCTCGGACTGCCAGCAGTGATCATTGCGCGCTCACTGAGTCTGGGCGGACATAGCACCAGACTATGCCGTATGCTCCGCATCAAAGGTGCTCTGTGTCTCATACAAGTCTAAGAAAGACCTTCATCTCGACTCGAACAAAAAGATCCTGGATGAGATGTAATGGCAGTCCGTGCGTTCACAGGCGGCATTGGCCGGCGTCTATTGTACCAAATCGAGGAATCCGATTTTGATTGATGCAATGCGATAGTAAGTAAGCGCATTCGAAGGCTACCTCATCTCCACGTTTCTCTTCACTGCTAAGGACCTTTCTCGAACCATGTACCGGCGATACGTTGAGAGGTCTGCTCGTATCATTCTGCCAATGTGGGGCTTGAACCTATTGCGCCCTGGTGCAGAGACGCATGAATCTCGATGCTGCCATGCCACTCCCACGCACCCGGTTTCACCTTTCACCGACGCCGCTCTTCTGCAGAACTTGGGCGTGATGATGAGAGAAGATCAGCTCTTCGGTCTTTCTGGGCGCTCTTAATTCCCGCCAGCTGTCTGCGTGTTACTATCTCCTTCGCTGTTCCTCGCGCTTCAGCACACTCGGTCCTCCGACCACTCGAGCTTGAGCTCGAAGATGATCTCCTCTCCAATCTGGCGGATCTTCTCCAGGCCTGTCCATGAACCGTGCTGGTGTATAGTCATCATCAAATGGTTTCATGGCCATATCATGGTCTCACGATGGCCTGTCGTTCTGTGGACAATTTGAGCATCATCTGCGTGATTCCTCGAGCGGGGGCTTCTGTCCCGGCGCTGTGTCCCACACCAGAATAGATCCGCGGGTCACTACGATACCATGCCCTCTGCGGATATGCGGTCAACGGGCGCATTTCTTGAGCGTGCTTCTCAAAACACTGGTAGCTATGGCCAAGATGCTATTTCACAGACACCGCTGAGAATGATCTCACACCGCACCCTGCGAAGAAGAGCGCTCACATCTGCCATCTAGATGATATTCTTCCTTCTTTGTTAGATGGTCCACTACAATACTTCAGTTCGACAGGGACCTCTTCTCTTCCAAGATACTCGCTTGCTGAGAACAGATTGTCAAGATCGGTGGCGTCTTTGTGCGTGGCATCGCAGATGAGCTGCCCTTTCTCCGGCCTATTGACGCGCCAATGCCCCTTACTCTCTGTCCTCGCGTTGTGCCTCTTCAAAACAATGGTGACCAATGGTACTGCTATAGTCTCGCTGTTTCCACAAGTACCCACTCTGGATAACACGTTCGGGGCTGTACTGATCGGGACGTTCATTGGGCTCATGTACGTACTTGGTTTGAGCTAAGAGCAGACTCAAAACTGATGGTTCTGTTCAGGATGTATGGGTTATCTCTCCACCAGACCTTCCGCTACTTCCGCATATATGTCGGAGACACCCTACTTCTGAAGATCACGGTACGTCGTCAGAATCGCTCAAGGATGACGCTAGACAGCAGCTGGGTCTAAACATCAGTTTACAGGTTTTTGGCCTCGCGTTAGTCTCTCGGACTCTCTCCTAATTCTTGGCTGGGTCTGGGCTGACCCGGAGCCTTGCTTAGTGTCCTGGACACGACGCACTCTGTCGCTTGCATGCATGCATCGTACGTGTTCGAAACCTGTAGATGCTTCGGGGTGATTGACAGACGCACAAGATACTTCTATCTCGTGACCAATTACTTCAACCCCCTGGCCCTATTCTCAGGCATCTGGTCTATCAGGGTTGGTACCTCCTCCGCTTACTGAGGTGGCTTGCTGAGTACCCTTCCCATAGTCGTTGGCTCCGCTAACGGTAGGTGGTGCTTCTTTGAGACCAATGTTCTTCACATCTCATAGTTGCATTATCCAGGGCGCAACTGTCCTGCTAGCTCAATCGTACGCTTCCGCATGATGGAGCCATTTCGTGGGCTGACCCTATCCGGTGCATGCTCAGATTCTATGTCCGAAGAGTGTACCTTTGTAAGTACATTTAAGGACTACACACCACTCGCTCCGCCGAAACTGAGTATGGATGGGCAGTGGGACAAGGATATGCTTTGCTTGTCATTCCCTTAGTAAGGACTGAATAGCACCCAAATAACTTCCGGGTACTGACGTACTAACCAGGGACTGATCATGATCGGCACTACTGGTAAGGCATACATATCTCCTATGCTGTTGCAACATTGACGAAGCGGGCTTCCAGGTTTTGCGGTCGGTCAGTGGTCTTCTAACCCATATCCCTACGCTAGCGTAGACGAGCTGAGCACCGGAAACCTTATCTGACTAGCTGCGAGCTTTGAAATGTGAGTCTTGAAGACTTTCGAATATCCGTGTTATGCTGAGCAATTGCCCTCCATAGCTTCCATCAGAAGACTTTCGCAAATTTCGAGCGCTTTACGGTGTGTTATGCAGTCGTCCGATTCGGACCCGGACGGATATCAAACTCATTAATATGCCTGCAGTGGTTGATGTCTGGAGGCTTCGGTTGCTCGCTTGCGACAGATATACTCCTCACTGTCGCCTTGACAATCTTCTTGACGCGCAGTCGCTCCGCTTTCCACGGGTGCGTCCGGAGCTGTGATAGCGAATACAATTCACATGATGACATACCTCTCAGGACGAATTCTGCTTTGAGCATTCTGGTCGTGTACACAATCAATACCGGTGCGTCACCTTGTGAAGGTCTCCACGTCGGATGCGTCAGGCTTAATCATGGGGCATTGACAGGATTACTGACGAGGTGGCTTGTATTGCATACTACAGCGATAAAGCAGGAATTACTAACAATCAATCAACAGCGCGCTGAGCCTGTTGTCTCTCGTCTTTGTGAGCATGTCAGAGATCTGGGATCTGTTCGCGATATAATAGGCTGCGTTACAGGGAGTCGCTCAACCGGGCAATATGATCTATATTGCAGCGAACATGCTCGCTACCAAGTGTATGCATCGAGACATCGTCTGAGTATTCCCACACAGTGCTGATTGAGGACGGTAGCTTATGTGAACGCCGTACTAGCTGTGTATGTTTTACGACATGTCTTTGCGCACATTCAGACTCACCCGTCCCGTACAGAGTCAACTCGCGAAGCTCCCTTGCAGATTCCAAACGGGACACAGAAGCTCTTGGCACGTTCGGCTTGAGCACCCAACTGCAATCGTCACAGAGGCTACCTATTCGGATGGAGCACTTCCGTACGGCTTTATCGCAGGGAGATGCCATTGACGTACATTGGAGAATCCCGGCACAGGCAGAGGACCAGAAAGATGGGGGCACGGGGAGTACGACTGTTTGACTGAAATCATCGTGTGGACACCAGAGGTTTGAGCCAGTCATGTATTGGGCGCATGAGATGTCATGTTCTCGAGAACAATCGCCAGCTTCGGCACTTGCCAATCGCGCTCAGAACTGGATTCTCAGTCCCAAGCGTCAATCACTGAATGCTCCAAAAAGTCAAATTCTAACATGCTTCTCGTGGCTGTAGTGAGAGGAGTCAGGTCAGATTGTGATCATGAACACCCGCCCATCGAGAAACGCGCCGTGATGCGCGCCGTCTAACCCTGGTTCTGACATCTCACTGAAGAAGTCTCGGGATGTTCACTTCTAATTTTGGACAAGTATATAGCGCTCTATTCCGAAGACCTGGTCACGATGGTCGAGATCCTATACCCAAGCATGCGCCTACAAAGCACTGGCTGAAGTCTCCTTCGCCGTGCCGAGGACGAATAGCGCTGAGTGGTCCTCAGCGCATCATACGCCGCCGTGATGCTGGGAAGCACGGGTCTCAGATAGAATCCCGGACAACTATCAAACTGAGGAGGGCTTTTGCGCATAGACCCTTCCCCCCCTACCCATCTCCCCATTGCATTTGAGGGCCCTGACAGCTGCGAATAGGAGGCAATGTCTCGCATTCCCTCCCGTGCAGCTAATGTGACTGAATCTCTAGCTCTGCTTCCAAAACTCCCACCTCTGGACAACACGTTCGGGGCAGTGCTCATCGGGACATTCATGAGCCTCATGTGAGTCGTTCAGCGAGCGATACCTTAGTTGCATACATGATCTGTATGTGCCATCAGACTATACGGGATGACGCTGCATCAGTTATATCGATATCTCCTCACGTATGCTACTGACAGGCTATGGGTGAGGTGTACGGTAAGTTGATCATGCTCACCTCGGATTTTTCTGAGACTGATGGACGCTCGGGTAGGTATACAGTACAATGTGAGTAGATTTATCTGCTCTTTTCATCAGGATGGTCTTTCGAGCAAAATGACTGTAGTATGCTGGAGACGGTACACATGGCATTTTGCTGCCACGTTTGGTATGTGCATCATCACGCCCAGTTTCACGAGGGAATCTCATATCTTGAAGCTACTGGTACCTTGTGACCAATTACTTCAACCCTTCAGAACTCTTATTTGGAAGCTGGAAAGTGCACGATGTCCCTGTCTCTCATTCGCTTCTGACACATCTATAGGTCTATCAAGGTGGGCCTGTGACTCCGCTAAATCATATGATACACACACACTTACGTGTACAAACAGATTGTTCTGATATTGTCGGTGAGTGCATTTGTTCTGTCATCATGCCTGCGGTCCCATGGAGTGACACCCTCTCCGTCGATAGGGCATCATTATTATTATCTCGCAAAGGTGAGACATGGGCTGAATGAAGAACGGTCATCGACATTGCTGAAATCGCGGGGAAGCTTCTTCGCCTGGAGGGTATATCTCGGTACAGTACTTCCCCTACATAAATCTACACAATATCTGATCACCTGGCGTACACTTAGTGGGTCCTAGATTCCGGCTACTTGTTCTCGTTGCTGTGCGCTCAAATGCACCTGTATAAATCCGAACCCAGCTAATCACGTTCATACAGATGTTTCTTCTTGTCGGTGAACTAGGTGGGCTTCGAAGTCTGCTTCCCATATATTGTGCCACGGAATATAACTGGTCTCCCAGCGTTCTTTTCCGCCGCCACTATTGAAACGTACGTAGTTAATTTGCATGTTTATCTGAGAGAAAGTTGGACACGGCATGATAGCTTCATGATACCGACATTCCAAGAGTTCGAACATCTCGAGGTGATTGACCCCTCATTCTGGTCTTGTCACCTCTTGCTTAGTTCTGATGATGGTTCATCGACGTAATAGTGGCTCATCTCCGTTGGCTCTGCTCAAGCAATCACTGCAGACACCCTTCTGACTACAGTGCTCATCATCACCTTGCACCGGAGTCGGACTGGTATCAAGAGAACAGACTCTATACTTGATATTTTGATTCTATATGCAATAAGTACTGGTAAGCAGCCCAACACTGTCTACTTGCCTTTCAACTAAGTGGTCCATACGCAAGGGCTTTTGACGACGTGAGTACTTGACACTGCACTAGCTTAGTCAACTGAAGGCGTACCGTGTTCTAGTATATTTAATGCATTGGCCTTCCTCTCCGTGAGTTCTGCCACAATCATAACTCGCCTAGACTAGATTTGACGTCATCATAGGTGGTTCTGCTTCCAAAAAACATGATCTACATTGCATTCTCCATCATTGTCACGAAATGTATGTTCAGACTATCTGCATATTCGCGGTAGGAATGCTGATGATATTCAAGAAGTGTATGCCAATACCCTTCTCGTAGCGTAAGCTTGACACTACTATTCGTCACGCGACATTCTCAATTCACATACACGTCATAGGCTTAATACGAGAGATTCTCTGTCCAAGAGATGTTTGGTCCAGGCTTCCGATGGCAACCCCTACGGTTCGAGCGCCGTCTTTGGGGCTACCGTTACGCCGCACCGGGTGTTGCCTCCTCCAGCTATTGCGCAAGTGAGCGTCTCGAAGCATATGATGAGTAGCCGCCTGGGTGGAGGACGGAGCACCCGAGTACCTGGAGCTAGAGAAACGGAAACGGATTTCGGCAAAATCCTTGAAATCAAAGACGACGGACTCTCACACGGGGCAGTGTCACGAGACACGCTAGTGGTCGATGACTCGCAACAGTACGCCAAGTGAACTGCAGCCGCAGTGCTACGAAATTTCTTTTATGTATATACTTCATTGCTGGCCAGTGGATCAGAACGGTTGGACATACCATGCAGCCAAGGATGCATCATGCTCCTCCACCGTTCTGTGCTATGTTTGTCTCTAAATACTTGTCCTCGATGGCTCTCCTGATTTCATCTTGTCTCCGGCGGCATCTCGGAAAATTGTATGTTATTATTCGCTTCTTCGCCTTGCCTCCATTCAGAGGCACGCAAACGTCCCCAGCGAGAGCGAGATAAGCAATGATTATATTTTGACTCTCAACATACATCGGCATCAGATCCTCATAACACGCAACCTTGTCGCACCACCATGCAAGTCCTCTAGCACTTACAGGAAGGGCTCGAGCGCCTGAGGGAGGATCTGAGCGATGGCAGTCCCGTTCGGAGGCTCGATGCTCTGGTAGTACTGCATCCCGAAACAAGCAGTCAGCACCATCCGGCCGACCACCCAGTCCCAAGAAGGCAAAGGAGACCGGAAGAGAAAGAAAACTCACGTCGCCCCACCACGGTCCCGCGGCCCACCACAACGCGCCGAGCCACACGCCTGACTGCTGCATCTCGCAGAGTGCGCCCTGGACGGCGGTGATGCACGCCGCATTTGAGCCAGCGCCGATCTCGCCGAGGAAACCCTTGAGGTTGTTCTGCTGGAGCCACGTAGTCGCGTTCTGCAGGCGCTCCGCGCCGATCGTGGACGAGACGCAGGTCGGCGACGTCCCCGAGCCGTCCGAGTCGAGGTATTGATGCATCTCTGCCGCACGCCATCTCGTTAGTTTCGCAGGAGAACGAAATGGGAAGATACGACGTACGGATGGCGACGTTGTTGTTCGGGTCCTTAATCGCCCCGAACACCGCGCTGTTGCCAGAGGACGTCGTCCATGTCCACGCGCCGGTGTAGGACGTGCCCTCGACGAGGATGAGCTGGCTCGTCGCGCCTGCGGACCGGACACCGTTCACTCCCGCTTGCATGAGGGAGAAGACGGTCGCAGCGGGGATGTCGTGCGGCTCGTTCTGAAGGTCGAAGATGACGTGCGAGTCTGAGACGAACTCGGTGGCGAGCTGCTTCCACCACGCTTGGAAGCTGTTGAGCGAGAGTCAGTGGGAGAGTGAATACAGGGAGCATAGTGTTAAGGCACGTACGTGCTCGTGCTCGAGATAGTCGCGCCATTGTAGATCATGAAGTTATGGGCTATAGCACACTCGTGAACACCATGTATGGTTATGCCACAAGTGCGAAGACTTACGGTCGACGACAGCGTACCCGCCCTTGCCAGTGATGTAGCTGACGATCGTCTTCAACCCGCTCAGATACGTCTGGTTGAACGGCCCGCCCAACCCGCCCGTGCTCGGCGGGCTGATGCGCTCCATTAGGAAGGGAATCCTAAACGTGTTGAACCCCTGGCCGACAAAATAGTCGATCGAGGACGGCGACGGCCAGGTATAGTCCTTGCCAAGCTCGCCAGGGATGACGGTGTTGCCGAACTCACCGCCGGACTCGTTCACACCGAAGTAGGTGAATTTGGTGCGCGTGCCTGGACAGAGAGAGGAGGAAGATGTGGGCGAGGTCGCGGTCGTGGTCGCGCTGCTGGGCTGACATTGGGAGTAGTCTATATATGAGTTGCCAAGATTCGGTCAGCCAGAGTCAACAGGCGGAGAGGCGAAGGAAGGAGAAAGGACGTGCATTCGTTAGTTTCTACGCAGGTAGAGCCCGCGTCACAGACGGAAGAGCCGGTGTAGCCGATGCCCTGCGCATATTCTAGTCAGCCATGAACGCCATGTCGAGAGTGGCAGCTGAACGTACTCCGCACTGGCCCCAGACGGCAACGGAAAGAGCGGGCGCAGCGCTGGCGAGCGCGACGGCAAGCGAGAGGAGCAGCTTCATGGCCTTTACCAGAGACGAGCAGCGAGACTCGTTGAGGACCCATTCTCCTCAACGTCGCGCTTTATGTAGTGCCCGGACGCGTGCCGTGATATGATGGAACAAGCATTCGCGCGAGGCCGACGCCTTGGCGGGTGGTGCGCTCTCCGTCGAAATCCCGAAGATCAGCCTGGCAGTGATCAACGCCAGTTCGAGAAGGCGGGTCACATGTGGCTCCGGGGCGTCGTCATGTCAGCCTTTCTACGCGGCGGTCTTCGTGATTCCGAAGTGATCACAGCCTATCGGATAGATGTAGTCACACTCGGAGGTAGTAAATAAGTACTGGCCTCGAGGTTAGCGTAAAGACGGGCGCTGACTGATAGCAGAGGTTCGGCTGTAGTAGACAGACAGGTGCATCGTGTACGCTAAATACGGGAAGTCTCTCAAAACAGAAAAAGGAGCACGTACGGAGATTTGCGAAGCAGCGCATCCAGCTCCGGAACAACGTTGGATGGTGCCAAATCGGAAATATATACATCGGACGTACGTTCGTCGGAATACGAAGACTCAGTTCCAACACATAGACTGTCGGATAGTACTGGCGACGACCATCGGAGGAACATGGAGAGCAGCCGTCGGGGAAAGGTAGGGATGCTGCCGCGTGACTGGAGCAGTCACCAGGGTCCAGGTGTCATGACTCGACGCACCAACTACGTATCACCGGGGGCATTGACCTGTGCTGGCCACCGTGGAATCGATTACTTCTGCATGGTGCTATGAGCAGAGGACTAATGGGGGAGCAGAGAAACAGACTGACTCAAAAAAAGTGTCTAGGATAGAATAGGCAGTCCCACCAGGGCTACTCGATTCTTCGCCGTCAGTTCACTTCGCCAAATATTCCCCCGTCTCACGGGTTCAGCTGTAGTCCCGGCACAAGTTTCCATCCCGCACATAACTCCAGCCCTTGCTCCCGACGCGGTCTTGTCGTTGACATCAAGGTTGTTTTCCTAACATATGCGCTGGACCAGGTATCTCATAAAGGTGAAATACGGGGGACAGCGTCAGCGCTCTTCGAGTGCGAATTAGAGCGACATAATGCCAGTGAACGTGCACCGTCGGCCACGCCATCACCCTCACTGGGCGGAGTAAGGCTTTACAAGATGAAGTGACCGTGAAGAACGAAGCAATCTTACAGATCAGTGCCCCGGTGTTTCTCGTGCGACTTGTATGTCTCAATGACTAGAAAGTAAGATGTTCGGAGCGAGCAATTAAAAGTAATATACGATGCGCATATAGAGTAACATCCTAGCCAGAAAGATTAGTACATCGTTCCGATGCACCGGGCACAGGCTCACCAAGTAGCTCATCTCTACGGCTCAGCGCCGAGCTTTGAGCCAGCGACCTCGTACCCTCTCGAGGCCTTCCTCTCCTGCCTCTGCTCCCATTTTGTCCGAACAGCCGACTCTGGCACGTTCTCGACCGTTACGAGCTCCTTGATCGTCAGGATCTTGCCCGCAATATCCGGCGTGTGTCTGTGGAAGACAGTTTGCAGTCGCCGGTGAATCCCGAGAGCGGCGAGGGTACCCTTGATGTTCATAGGGAGGGCAATGGCGGAACGGCGAAGAGTGATACGGTAGTGGGTGAGGGGCTCGCCGGAGGATGATGATGAGGGAGCTGCCGCAGTGGCAAGAGAACGAGATTGGAGCGAGGCCGAGGAGGCTGCCCGTGAGCGAAGGGTTGCGGAGAACATGGTGGTCAACAACGGCGGAGGACTGCTGGTCGCTGTGCTGGACAGCGAGCAAGCAAGCGCCAGCGTCTCAGTCTGCATGCACGTGATGTTGACACGCGCGACAGCTTGCCCTAAATAGGAATCGCGTCTGATCCGCGTCTCGACCAGCTTGTCGCTCCTTCTCCGCTCGACGCCTATGCAAGTCCTCTCGAACTTGCACAGAAACACACCTTGGCTCTCTGGGAGCTACACTCTTAAATACTGCTACGATCTACACGCTTCTGGCTACGATACACGCGCTTCAATCATCAACTGCCTGCTGGTTAGATGTCCTTCCGGAGAGTCAACAGGTCCAAGAAGGTATGCATGTCTGATTGAACCCATTGCGAAGCTTAAATAACCAGAACCACACTTTATTGCAGGTACCTAACGTGAAACTACGACCCGCGGCACCCAGCGCCCGCAGAGACCTCCGCACACCAGACTCCACATGGCAACATAGCTCCGGACTCGACTCCGACGAGGAGGCCTCTCGCACCGACCTATGCCCAAGGCCGTTCAAGGGATTTGTGCTGTGTGCGACGGGAATCGATGACAAGGTGAGTGTTCGTTCCACCACATGCATTGGCGACGCCGTGGTTATGGTTGCAAGCGCTCGACAGGGGCTTGTCCAACTGCGGCTACTCGGCTGCGTAGGGTCCTTTCTGCGCCGTATCTCATGAAATGACCCTATTCTTTGTGCGGTACGACTTACGGTGCGACTTACGGTTCTACCCTCTGTCCGCAGACATCACTATTCAAGCTTGCCCTAGAGCTCGGCGCCCAGTCCTTGAACGACTTCACCGACCGCGTAACACATCTCATCGCAGAAGAACCAGGTAGCGCGAAATACAAAGTGAGTGTCAGGCCCACCCTCCCATGATCTCCGACCCTCACCCTTGCGACAGTGCGCCCTCGAGAACCGCATCCCGATCATGCACCCTTCGTGGATCATCGAATCCCACAAGATCTGGCTTCGCGGCGACGACGTTGACGTCACTGCCTCCCTGTCGGCTCATCGCTTGCCCATCTTCGCCGGGGTCGTCCTCTGTGTGTCCGGCATCGACGACGTCTCCCGGCGGATGGAGATCAACCGTGCGCTCACCGCTCAGGGCGGCACGTACGTCAAGCAGATCATACGCCCCGTACGCGTCACCCATCTAATATGCGGGAACGAGAGCGAGGAGGGGGAGAGCGAGAAGGTGCGGTACGCGGTGAAGTTCAATCAGGGCGGCGAGGCGCGGATTAGGATCGTGTGGGAGGATTGGTTCTGGGACTCATTGAGGTTCGGCGGGCGGTTCGACGAGGAGAGGTATGAGGTGGGGAAGCCGAGGGCACCACCGAGGGTGCTGCCGGACGGTACGCGTGCGTCGTGTTGATGTTTTGCTTCTGCATCGCTCATGGGTTTGGTGGATAGATACGACTCCGCCTCCGCCATCGTCCTCCGCAGGAGACCCTAGCGGACTCTCTTCTGAGATCCAGCATGCAGAGACCTCCGCCGCAGGCCGGGCCCGCCCTCCCGTGAACGCGAACGAAGAGGAGGAAGAGATCGCGTCCGTCAAGCGCGTCCCCGCCGTCACCCTTCACCTCTGGGAGTCTATCCTCAAGCCGCGCGGGTTCGAAGTCCAGGACGGCCGCCTTATTCGCAGCCCGTCCAAGTCTCAAGTCGCGAATCAGCAACAAGCGCAGCGCCATCGCGAGCCTTCCCCTTCGCGAATGGCAGCTGTGACGAAGGGGAAGGAGAAGTTGTCTCGCCGTGGGACGTTACAAGCGGGCGCCTACGAAGATGAGGACGCACGTCCGGTCCCGAAGAGCGCGCTGTCGTCTTTCCAGCACGCGAGGTCGTTCATCCCGCCACCACAGCATGCCTCGACACCCGTAGGAGCAAGGCAACAGCCGTTCCAGAGGGCGACGACGACGGCCTCGCGCACGTCTTCGTTCTTGCAGCGCTCAGTGGGCAGCGTCCATGCCGCGGGCGGGGTGTCCGCCGAAGTGCCCGTCGCGTCGACGTCTGCCGTCGCTGGCCCAAGTACGAGTCGGGATGGGAGCGAAGCCCCTGCTCTAGGGGACGACCCGATGGCCAGCGCGGCCTCGGAGGGCTTGTCCGAGAAAGGAAGGACGATGTTCTCGGGCCTCAAGTTCCGCGCACTCGGGGAGGCGCGCTGCGCCCCCGTCCGACGTGCGATCGAAGCCGCAGGAGGACGATGGCTTCGCGCGGACGACGACGAAGATGCCGACATCGTCCTCGTCCGGCTCATCAGCGGGAGCAGCTTGTTTCGGCAGGAGGCGGACGAAGGGGAGAGGGCGAAGTACCGCACGGAATGCTGGCTCGAGCGGTGCCTGTTCGAGGAGCGGGTGTGCGAGGCGGGGGAGCACGTCGCGTTCACGCCGCTGAGGGTGCAGCCCCCCGTGAGGGGCGCGGAGGGCGTTGTGGTGAGCTGTTCAGGCCTTGACCAGGCGGAGAGGTGTGTGGTTCAGAGGTTGTTGCGTGCGCTCGGTGGGCATCTTCTTGTTCTCGCGGAGGACTATGCTGACAGTCGAGGAAACGTGTAGGTGTCACGCTTGCACCTGCGTTCTCGCGCCGGTCAACACACCTCCTGTGTCCATCTGGAATCGGCGCGAAGGCGGAGAAGGCGGGCGAGTGGGGAATCCCGATCGTGGACATGGCTTGGCTCGCTACGATCGCGAACACCGGCGAGGTCCCTCGGGCTCCAGCGATGGAGGCAGAGGAGCAAGCGCAAGCGCATGACGGCGCAGTGCTCGATCTAAAGCTGCTCTCCCAGCCCCCGCGCGGACCAGACGAGGACGAATTCATGGCATCCCAACCGCCTGCGACAATACCCGCCCCCAAGATTGATGTCAAGGGCAAAGGGAAGGCGACGGAGACGATGGTAGACATCACGAACGCGCGTGGGGACGACGCCCAGGCGCAGAGTCTGTCGTATTATGACCCCCCGGGACCCGAAGACACGAGACCGGGACAGGCGGAGCAGATGGAGACATTTGGAATGCCGGATATGCTGCTTGGCGCAGCAGCTACTGCACCCGCAACGCCTCGACGGTCTGCGCGCGCGGCGCCTGATTCAAACGACAAGCTCCCTGCTACACAGGCTGTACCGGTCCAGGATGAGGGCGAGAGTGTGTCGATACCGTCGCGAGTATACGAAGACCGGATCCCGTCGTCCGCGTCGCCGTCGCCCATGCGCATGCCTGGGATGCCGACGCCCCAGGACAGCGCGCCCAAGACCCCGGTCAAGGCCGCTAAGCAGGCGACGGTGGTCATCCAGAACAGGCTTACGACCCTCCTGGGAAAGCGGCCGTCTGAGGAGGACGAGGAGGTTGTGCAGGTGAAGAAGGTGCAAGCGCATGATTCGAGGATAGGGAAAAGGCTGAAGCCTTTGCAGCGGACAAGGGTATGTCGTTCTATGTCTACATCCTGTCGTTGAGATGAAGGGCTGACTGCGGCGGGTGACAGTCGAACATGTCTTTTACAGATATGCTCGGAACTCCTGGCCGGAGCCCCGCCTCCGCCTTCGCAGCAGCGTCGTCACCAGTCCAGCCACCCGAACCCGACCTTGTCCCGCAACTCCCTGAACCAGGTACATCCGTGAGGAAACACGCTTCGAAACCAGCCTCGTCCTCAAGCGATGAGGTCGGCGGCAGCTTCGTCGGCGGTGATGCCAATGAGAGCATCTGTATCGCATACGCGGACCCGATGCAAAACGGAGAGCTCGACCGACTCAAGTTCCTCTTCAACGAGGCGGAGGGTACAGGACGGCCGGTGCAGAAGGAAGACTGGGAGATGGAATTGGAAAAGGAGATGGACGTGACGCTGCCTCAGTTGGCTGAGGTGAGGAGCGCGAGTGGGTTGGGGAAGAAGGCGGGTAGGGGGAAGAGAGGGAGGGGGCGAAGAGGTGCGAGGGCGTAGGAGACATGGGTACATGAACATTACATGACGGCTCTTACAATATCATGTTTGTACATTATACATCGCTTGCTGTACTTGTGTTGCACTCTTTGGGTAGTACGCTGCAACTCAGTCCGCTCTGACAATCACAGCACATCTATTCGTCGATCTGAGGTACATCTTCCCGACTAGCTAATCGACAGACGAAATCGTATAACTTTCTGAAGCAACCTATATGAGAGGAGCGTCGTCAGCGAGTTATCGCGATAGAAAGAACGGAGGAATCAGCAAAGAGTGAAGTTGTCTCATACCCTCGCCCCCAGGGCACACAGGCGAGTGTACCCCTTTGGTGTGAGAGCGAGGGCGATCGAACGCAAATTACAAAGTACCATCATATTAAAACAGGCGAAAAGACGGAGTACTCACGAGTTCGCATTGTCAGGACCGTTCAGCAAGCACACCAAGCACACAAGGTCGTACAACACGAAGTAGTAAGAAGCAAAGTTTGTTACGGCGCTCATGGCAATGTTTGGCTGTGCTTGGCATGTGGCGCTAGTAGCAGAGCGGAGCCAGGAGACCCCGCGCCACAACGCTCTTCGGTCTACTACTTACGTCCACGACATCCGTACTGACGAAGGAAAAAACACGATGTCTCATAACCATTCACATGGAGGAGGGTGCCATGACGAAAGCCACAATCATGATCACGACCACGGTCTTCCGGAAGATATTGGGTACCGAGATAACTTATACTCACGTATCGACCGTGCCAATGTAGTCGCCTTGAACGCTGAGGAACCTGGTAAGGGACCAGAAATCATTAAGCCATGGGATCAGCGGATAGACGAGGAGACGGTAGGTAATAATTCATGAACATGGGCGGTTGCTTACGTGCCTTCTTCCTCGTAGTATATCGAGTCTGATGCGGACGATCAGCTGTACGGCGTCACCCGACTTTTCTTCCATTATGTAGGCACTCACTAGGATGACCCTCAGGATCATCCGTGTCCCTTTCACAGGCGCAGTGAAGCTTCGCGCTTTATTGCTGAAGACAGGGCCGGGAGAAAAGACGGCCGCGAAAGTCGCCCTCGTAGGTCACGAATTCATCGCTCCATGCGCGTATGCGAGCCAACTCCAATCTACCAGTTCCCCAATGCAGAGCATGTCGACTTCTCTGACCTGGAGGATAGGAAACCTTCTCAAGAGTTTACCATTCCACAGAGGAGGGAGGTCGGAGAGTATCACGTTCTGTACGTGATGTCCCATGACATATCGTCGCAGTCCATCACTCACCCAGTTCGCTATAGGCCGGCGAAGTTCCCCAACCTCACGTCTATCACTCTGTTCTTCCCTGCTTCGCAAGGTGCGGATACCACCCGCGTTTACTACGTAGGCTTCCTCGGGCAATGGAGCGAGGTGAGTTTTTGGACTCATCATCGATGCGACGTGAATCTGAATGTATCGGACATCACAGCGCAAGTTCGAGCCAGTCGTAACTGTATACGAGTCAAAACCCAATCTTGCAGATCACGACAAGATTCAAGGCCTGAACGAAAACTGGACAACCCCAGATTCAGGATAGAATGTAGCCTTGTGCCTCTTGAATTGCGAAGGCAAGAACGGCAGACGGAAACCGATGTCCTCAAATGTAGCTATCCAAGCTCAATGTAATCATAGCGTTCGCTTGCCATCCTCTTCGCCATTGTTGTGTACGTCCTCTTTCGAGCGTGGGACAATTTGGGCTCAGTTCGACAACATGCATGCCGCTAGCACCACTGGCAACCACTCTTCGTATACGTAGGCAGATTGCAAACAAGCCTAGCAGCGATCTCGACGAAATATATTCCTTTCCTGGATTCTATCTAATCCAGCACTACACTACCGATATACAGGAGACTCTATTTACTACTGCCACAGGTATACTATCCTACATTCCGTATTCGCAAACCAGTCCCAGAGTCCATTAGCTCCATGCGCATGCGAGTTTACTTACCAGCCCCCGCTTCAGCCCCGCTTGTTGGCTCGCGTCCACCAGGCTACAGCCCGAGAGACAACGACTTTTTTCAGGTCTTTGCGCTTGCAGTGGTCGTTAGAGGGCGGATCCGAGGGAGGCTGAGCACGTTCCGAAGCTTGAGGGAAACGATCACCGAAATCGAGGTCGATCCCGAGTCCAATGACTCGAGGACTGATGGTCGAGGGGAGGAGGCGAAGAGTAGTTGAAGGCGTCGAGGAGGGTTGAGGGTCTAAATCGTTGTCAAAGAGAATCGGAAGGCGGTTAAGGATGGAGGCGATGGGGAACTGGGAGGAGTCAGAGACATTGGGGGAGAAGGAAGAAAGTAGCGTCCGGCGCCGGTCGTCGTAGGAGAGAGCATAAGAAGCAGAGGAGGAAGACATGATCAGGAAGCGGCTGAAGGGAGGATTGACTGCGCAGCAGTGTGAAGTAAGAGGGTAAGGTGGGTGAAACATCGGGCGGTATGCTTACTGCCCTTATACGTGGCGGCTGCCCTCGTCGTGCATACGCGGAAGAATGCTAGGGATCTCACCGTGAATTTCCGAGCTAAACTGCCCTATTTTGCGATAGCGTTAAGAGAAAGACCAGAGCTGCACCCGATGTTTCCCGGGAGGCTGGCAAGAATTACAGTCACAAGTCACCGGTTCACCCGTGAGGCTGACACTGTCGACCAGCATTCTGGGGAGGTCGCGAGCAACTCACGGCAGAACGCAAGGCAAATGAGCCTATGGTACCTACTGCGTACTCTGCTCCCAGGCATTGCCAATGAGTCACTGCGAGACCTCGTCCGTACTTCATAATATACAACAACTGTGGATAGTTGCGGGAAAGCGCTACAGTATACAGGTCAAGCTCAACAGAACGTAATCAAGCCATACCGCCCAATGACCCGTTCGACCCCCCACCGCCCTCCTGGCTCCGTTGCATGAACGACTGTAGCATCTCGTAGCTCAGCCCACTCACCCCAGGCCCACCACCTGGCACATTCCCGCTCGGGGTTCTTCTGTGCATCCCTTGGGGCCCGCCCATGCCTGGCTGGCCACCGGGCTGCTGTTGCGATTGCGAGCCAGGCATGCCCATCCCGAAGTTCATCGTCAGATTATTCATGTTCATGTTGCCTATATTACCCATGTTCCCCATACCAATCCCGCCCGCTCCGCTCATATTCATCCCGGGCATGAGGTTGGCCATCGCATTGGGCATCATCCCAGGGGGACCCTGGCCCTGCCCCTGCGACGTCAGGTTCGACACTCCCGGCTGGTTCGGGCCCTGCCCGTTGGCTATCCGCGATAGCATCGCAGCCATGTTCGGCTGCTGCCCGCCCAGCATCCATGCGTTCGGACCTTGCGATTGGAGCTGGGGCTGCTGCGGGGGCTCTGGCTGCTGCGGCTGCTGAGGATTGAGATTGGACATCTGCACCTGCATCTGGTGTTGCTGCTGCTGCTGCTCGCGCGTTTGGCTCATCCTCGCCCACACGGCCGAGATGACCGTCCTTCGCCCCTCTGGAGGCATCTGACGGAACGCCGCTTGTTGCTCGGGGGTCATCTGTGCGAGGAACTGCGCGAGGAGTGCTTGTTGTTGCGTCTGCGCATTCGCGTTGGCGTTAGCGTTGGGGCCGCTTGTAGTGTTCGCCGTGGCGGTCGGGCCTATATTGGGTTGGTTGTCTTGGGTTTTCGGAAGCTCGGGCATACCACCCGGCCCGTAGAAGAACGCCGCGGTGAGGCCGTTGTGCGGGAAGATCAGCAGTCGATTCTCAGGTTTGTTTGGAGGCCATGCGGCGAGGGCGTACTGCGCGACAGACGGAGCGGGCGATGAGCGACGAGTTCAACACTTCCTGGAAATTTGCGAGGAGGATGCACCCACCACATTCTTCTCTGTGAGGAGCCGATTAAGAGCCCGGAAGTGCTCCTCGTTCGTGCTCAGTTCTGGCGCTTGTGGATGCGGTAGGATCTGGAGAGGCAGGCATTGCTGGCGACCGAGCCACTGGATGAGCACAGAGACAGGCACAGCGCTGTGCTGCGACGGTGCCAGATGCAGAATCGCCGGCCACATCTCCGCATGCCTATACACGTCCGCAGACGTCCTCAGCTGACGTTCCACATCGGGCAAACAGCCGACTCACATCACTTCTCCCTTGGGGTGCTGCACGATCACTTGCGTTTGCAAGTCCTTACGCACATGCGTCTCTGAGTCGAACCCGCGCCACGTCAGCGTCCCTTGCCACCTCCCGGAGCCCTGTCCCTGCGTTGCATGAGATGGGATCGCGTGTGGTTTCTGCGGGCTCGCCGGCGTAGGCAACGGCTGCTGCTGCGACGGTGGCGGCGCGAGCTTGTGCGTCTGCTCGAGAAGCTTGTTCATCTGTGCCGCAATATTTGGGTTCATAGGCTGCTGCGCAGCCTGTGACGGCTTCACTCCGACCGCAGAGCTTTGTGCCCCGGGAAGGACAGCGGGAGGGAGGATGGGCGTCGGACGCCTTGGTCCAGCATCGTGCTCCAGTTTCGCAGCCAGCCCCGTGGCAGTAGACGGCCCCGGCACAGGCAGCTCCGGAGCTTTTGTGCTCGTACTCGCGTGCCCTGATGGCTGGGGCTGCGGTTGGGCTTGAGATTGAGACTGCGACTGAAGTTGGGACTGAGACGCAGAAGGCTCCATCTTGGCTCCCCCCGTACCCCCAGCACCGCCCGCAGCGGCCTGAAAGAGCTGTATCTTGAACTGTTTCAGCTTCTCCGCGCGCACCTGGAACTGCTGCTTGACCGCTGCCGCCTCCGCGGTCTTTCCCTGCTTCTCCAGTTCGACCGCCTTCGCCATCTGCTGCCTAAGCCCTTGCTCCGCGGCATGCAGCTTTTGAAGCAGACCCGCGCGCTGCGCAGGGTCGCTGAGAACTTGTGCGATATTGCCCACCCCGGGCACCATTGTAGGCACGAATGGGGGTGCCGGCGCAGACGCAAGTGAGGGTGCTGGAGGGTGTGCCGGGGGTGCCGGCGCTGAGGGCGCAGGTGCTGGTGCCGGTTCCGGCACAGGTGCAGGTGCAGGTGCAGGTGCAGGTGCAGGTGCAGGTGCAGGTGCAGGAGCGGGCGCATGCTGTGGAATGGGAGGAGAAGACGAGGGCGGGGCGACAGGAGCGGTGGCGTGTGGAACCGAGGGCGTGTTGGGTGTGGAAGGCGCCTTTTTCGGGGACGCGGCGGCTTTGAACCGTTTGGACGCTTCTGGGCTCTGCTCTGTAGTTGGGCCGACGGCCCCCGAACGCTTCGTACCTGCATGCCCAATCTATCATTGCCCTCGACCGTCCTCTGACCGTGCGTACCTTTTTGCGGTTGCGGAAAGCCGGTGATATGGACGGCGTGGGGTGAGCGGACTAAGAACCATGGTGTCTGCATGGAACCTAGTGACGCCTGCAGGTGGAGATTGCATCAGACTAGCCTGTGGAGAGGATAAGTCACGTACTGAAATCTGCAGTTGCGATAGCCGTGATATTGGCTTCAACAGGATGTTACTATAATTGATCTTGCGCTGTTATGACCATGAGCGGACTATTCTAAAACAAACGTGGAGAGCGCCGTACCTCTTTCAGCTCCCCTGGTAACGTATCCCATGTGATCGAGTCCAAAGCGGGGAGCATGTTCCAGAGAGGTCGTTCTGCAGAATCCGGAGGCGTACATGCAAGATGTATTAGGTGGCATGTGAGGTTGGGATTGTTGGCTTTCTAATATGTGTGAACGATGCTCGTCAGCGCAGTATGGGATGAACGCACTTGCGGTGTGTCGATCGAGTTCTTCAGTATTTCAAACATCTGAAATTGGTCGGATGAGCATCCAGACGTTTATATACACTAAGCAAGCTTTCGGGGAGCTGACATGGAGCAAGGATTCGGCGAAGTGCTCCTGCCGGAGAAGAAGAAAAGGAATGAAGTATACAGACGTACCTCCATAGCAGTAACGATGCCCTCAAGGGCAGCCATCCCTTGACCTCCACCCGAAGAGGTCTGTCCGATGCCAAAATCATGTGGCTGTTTCCGCATGGTTTCCATGATAGTGTTCGGAGGGCCAAAGAAGATTTTGGTGGGGATCGGAGTAGGTCGAGTGTCGGCGGTTGCATAGGTTACGAAGGCCATGCGGAACTGACAGGCCATGAGACATGGTCCGATGAGTAGCATAAGGGACGTACCGGGGGAGCAGCGTGCGTCTCTCCGAGGCGTGCCAGGAGTGGGACGAGATAGTCTTGCAGGATCTGAGGCCATTCGGAGGCGAGGGCAAGTGACGACTCCGAGACGCAAGCGACAGCAACAACTTCAGTCATTGTTCAGATACTCAGAAAGTTCATGAAGGCGTGTTGGTATGGCGGTCTGGACGTGGAGGCCAAGATGACAGGGTACAAGACAAGGTGTCCTCGTATATATATTGGTGGGCGACAGCAACGCCCGCTTCTTGAGCTCCGCGCTGGTTGACAACGGTATCTATTTCACGTTGTCATGAACCAGAGCGTGGATTCTGGGCAAGCAGCGACGTCGAGAAACGCAGAACGAGGTACAGGGTAGAGTTGTGGCTGCAGCTCGCGAGACTCGTGCGCGGGCGCTAGCTACGCCGTCCTTCCCGGAGATCACGTCTGGCGCCGATGACTCTTCACACGGCTCCTCGGTCCGGCTCGAGGATGAATCGGAGCGGTCGGCGACTCAGCCTGACGGACTAGTCTCAACCGTCATACACGCGAGAACACTGCGAAGCCTTAGGCATAACGACATACAAGCAAGTAAGGTATCTAGTACATCACAGCATCTACTTTGTCACCCTATCTTACATAGTGGGTAGTGCTCCAACCGACCTCCAATAGTCAATCCACTTCCGCACCTCCTCCCTGTTCAGCTGAGGTAGCGATGGGTTGCTCAAGACAGCGCTGTAAGGCAGACTGTCCTCGACGTCCATGAGGACCGACAGACCATTGTTCTCCGTCACACGCACACGCAAGGCCTCATCATCGGGGTAGCGGGGTCGGAGATGGTCGACGAGCGTGAGCGCAGGACTGACGAACTTCCCCAGTCGCCGATCGGGATGTGCAGTAGTGATCCTGGAGAGCCACTCTTCATATGGAACGGTGGATACACGGAGGAGACGAGAGAGCTCGCTCATGATGTCCGACCAGCCGATTGGGCGCGGGTGTCGTAGGTGGAGGATGGTGTAGGGTGATGTTACGTCGACCATCTCGACAAGAGCTTGGGCAGCTACTTCAACCGGTAGCCAGGTCACCACCTGCAGAGACCGCATAAGCAAATCACCCAACACTATATCGAGTACACTTACCCCTTGGCCCGTAGGAAGGCATCCGAGTGCCGCACCCGCGGCTACGATGGCAGGGAACCATTCTGTAGGCTTCCAAGCACCGTTCTTGCCTCCGGTTTGTTGCCCGATGCGTACTACTACGCCGCGCACAAGGTTTCTCTCCGAGGCGACTTGCACCATATGTTCAGCAATCCACTTCGACTCGCTGTATCCTTCCCCGACGGCGACGACGGGATCCAGCGGCCGCTCCCGAGGAGGGGCAGTCTCGTTATAATCTGAACAAAGAAAGGATGTCAAGGTCTGTATATAGCGCGGTTGCATAGAGCAGCGTACTTTTGAAGATACCGGAACTACTTCCGTACAGGAGCGACACCGGCCCAAACTCCTGAGCCGCATTCGCCAAGTCGATCAATCTCCTCAGACCCACAAGCGCATTCTTAAACGAGGACAGGGGCGCCTCGAAGTTGACTGGCCAGCCGACATGGATGATATGCGATACTGAGGTCCGGATCTGCCCCAAGGGGAGGTCGGAACCTAATTCATCGTTTGTCTGCGAATGACGCACCTCTTCGTACTCCGCCGCCGACAAGCCAAGCCTTTCCCGCTCAAAAGTACACCCCACCACGGCAAGCCGCTCCGACGTCAACAGCCGCACATCAAGCCCGCGCGCTGCGAACGCGTCGAACTGCCTTGCCATCGTCATGGCGGCGTCCTTCCCAGGCCGCACAAGGGCGTACACCTTTGCATACGGCGAATCCTGCAGGAGGTGCTCAAGGATATGCGCCCCCACGCTCCCCGTCGTCCCCGTCACGACGACTGCACCATGCCGCCGTACGCTACCGTGCACACTTGTAGGGCGGGAGGGCAAATCCGCGGTGAGCTCATCCAGCAACGCCTTCATCTCCCCGACTCGGCCGTCTACGTACTCCGTCGACTCCGGGCGAGCCTTCGTGAGCTGAGCCGCGGGTGCCTCTGGAGGCTCGTCCACGCCCTCAAGCTTCGTCTGCAGATCCTTGATTGTGACGTCCGCTAGGAGCTGGATTTGTGAGATCGCCAACAACGAACGAAGGGCGTACGAGAGTGACGCGGCCGAGAGCGAGTCGAGCCCATACGCTGTCAGGGGCACGTCCAGCGACACGTCCTCGACCTTCAGATCCAGTACCCGACACACGGTTTGCACTAGCGACGGAGCCCCACTGCCGTCGCCCTCATTGCCTTCCTCATCTTCAGATGATTCCTTGGGGACAAGGTGGTCATACAGCTTCGACGGGCCCATGTTGTCTCGCACAGCGCGCCAGTCGAAGTCGGGGATATACTGCCAGACGGAGCCCGGGTCGGCGCGGACCTTGCGGATACCGTCTCCGATGTAATCGCAAAGCTCGCGCGCGGTCATACCCCACTTGACCATGTGCCGCACACGCGAGTTGTAGGTCTCGTCTGTGAGGGTGACGATGCGGCTGTCGAGGATGATAGGTGAAACAATCGAGAAGGCGTTGGGGTACTTGCGTGTTAGGCCGGCGAGCGCGGTATTTGCTCTGGGAGTGAGGTGAGTATGGCTTTGCGTTGGGTGGGACGAGCAAGTGGGACTCACGCAGCGTAGCTCGTCTGGCCTGGGTTTCCAAACATACCCGAAATGGAAACCACGGCGATGACAAAGTCCAGGCTCTCGTACCCAACCGCCTTTTCTAGCGCTTGAAACGCATCCGTCTTCGGCGGAAAGACGCTGTCAAACGTCTCCTGCGTGTGCGCCGCGAAGGTTCGGTCATTCAAAAGTGCGGAAAGGAACATGCACCCCGCGAGCGGCGGGGAGATCCCGCGTGCAAGGGCTACCATCTCTGAATCGGACGCCGCATCAACAGCTGCAGTGCGGAGCGAGAGGTCCGACTGATTGAGGAGATAGGCGAGGATGCGCTGTGAGGCGAGGTCTCCACGCTTATCGAGACTAGAGGGGCCTGTACGAGAAGTGAGAATGAGGTGCCCCGCGCCATGCTATGATGAGGTCGTCATTACTTATGAGGATAAAGCGCGGGGGATCAGATGCTCACCTCATACATCCACAGCGCCACATGGAGACCAATACTGCCTATACCTCCAACGAGAAGGTAAGATTTATGTGGATCGAACAAGTTGAAAGAGACGCAAGCGGTGGTGGTAAGGGAGCTGTCGAGTAGCCCAGCGGGTGGAACGAATGGTACGCTGGTCAACTGAGCAGAGCCAGGATGGAAAGCAGATGCGCTTCGAACTGCATCGCCAAGAGCCCAGGGGTCGATCGCGGCGAAGTGGGCGATGCCTTCGTGTGGGTGGTTCCACAACAGGATGCGGCCTGACGATACTAGGGATCGCAAGATAGTCACATCGCGAGCTTCGATGATACCGGACAACACGTAGTGAGGCGCGTGAAGGTAGAAGGGCTGAAGTTGATCTTCTGCGAGAGGAGAATAAAGAACCTTGACATCCATGCCGAGTCCGGACCCAATGGCCTCAATCTGGCTCCCTAATACACGATCATCAGGCTCGACGGCTACGAGCAGCCGTTTCCCATTGAGGCGCTGAGGGCGAGTAATGGTATGAGGTCCGACAACCAGTGCGAGGAGGGTGGACGCTAGGATGGGTGGCGCGCATGCATCAGAGAAGAAGGCGCTGTCCAACTCTACGACAGAATCCCTGTGCACTTGGATGTGGCTACTACGTGGCGCAGACGAGACACCAACGACGGGTCTGGAAGCGCCTTCGACAACTCCAATGAATGCGCAAGCGTTGTGGTGAGACGGCGACACGCCTGTAACGTGTACCACGACGTAATCGTCCACAGCTTTGGGTACATGAGTCTGGATCAACCTGTTGTTTTCAAATACCCATGGCTTAGTCGAATCAAAAGGAATGTGGGCAGGTGGAGGTTGTGAGGCGTTGATACGAGGGAGCAAGATCAGACCATCGGTATCCACGATGATCTCCAAATCTGTCGTGTCCATAGTCAGGAGGATTCGCAAAGCCTGTGCTCGCTGAGGGAGTGTCCAAGGCGAAGCGAACACTGCAACGCGCACTGTCCAGAAGGGGTATTCTTTTCGCAGAGACCGAGAGAAACCCAGGGAGGCGCTCCCGTTGATGCCTTCTTCGGCGACGATGAGAATCGACCAAGGCTCATTGACGTCGAGCGGTAGGATCGCAGCTTGAAGTTTCATCTCCTCTCCATGTACATACTCGAGAATCAGGCTGTGCTCGTCGTCAGAACATGCCAAGGTTCCGGCAAAGGGCGTCACGAACTCCCACTCTCCGCCAGATGATGGTGGAGTAGCTGGTGGAGGTAAGAGGCGGAGATTTGTCTTTTCGTAGGTGAGGTCGAAGCGCTTGTCAATCTTCTTCAGCCGGTGGCCATGCAGGCTAACTTCGAGACGTTCGAAGATGCAGAGAGGGACGCCTTCCTCGTTAGCGATGGTGACATCGTACACGGTGGCCTCTGTGGGATATGATTAGCACTTCACTGTTGTCGAAATTACTAGTTCGCATGCGATACCTACTAGGAGACCAATCAACGGAGACGGCATGGGTATATACCAACTTCGGGAACGGACGCTTGCCAAAGCCTGGGCAAAGCCTAAACACGCCCACCTTCGAAGGCAGGTGGTACAGATCAGGGTCATGATTGCCTGTCAGGTTCGGATGAGCAACAATGTGTATGGCAGCGTCCAGTATAGCCGGGTGGAGACGGTAGTCTGAGAAGCTAATCGATGGTGTCAGCACGGACGAACAGATAAACCTTACAGTCCAAGACACGTACTTTACAAGGTCGCTATCGTCACCCCGAAGCTCCGTAAGTGCCTCAATACGCCCACCAGCGCTTGTAGCAATGTGGCACTGACGTATCCTCCGGTACGTTGGGCCGTATTGAGCGAAGTATGACATGGCGGTGTAGAAACCTGCAAGCGATTGAGGAACGAAAAGGGCGTGTGCCCGATGCATGAGCACTCACCGTTCATGTCTACGGGCTTCATCCTCTGGCGAATGGCAGTGAAGTCGAGCTTTGCGACAGCGATATCGTCGCGGGAGCGCATCGATAAGAAACCCGTAGCGTGCGTGCGGTCGTACTGTCCAAAGGCCATGCATCAATGCGTTGTCCACGAGACACAGAATGAACATACAACATGCCTGAATGGGCCAAGCTCGCCCTTGGTTAGCAGACGAGACGCCGTTGACACTCCACCGCGTCCCTTCCAGTCTCACATCTACAGGCACGGGGCGTTCCGACGAAAGGGGAAGCAGTGCATGGAACTCAACATTATACAGCTCGCTGGCCCCGAACTCGAGCGCCTGAACTGCGTCCTTAACACGGACAGTTGCCTACTGAGATCGCTGAACCACGCACCATCTCAATGAAGCCGGCAGCTGGCATGATGGGCTCGCCCTTGATGATGTGCTCCGCTAGGGCAGGGTGTGTCTGGCTATTGATTTGGAGCTGAGGATAGTTGAGAGGTCCATTTCTGTGTTGTCGCTGTCGTACGATCTCCGCGGTGGGGAAGTACCATGGAACCTTCTTCGCAGCAAAAGGATAACGAGGAAGAGTCCCCGTGTAGGCTCTCGATGTGCCGTAGAGCGCATCGAAGTTGACACAATTGTGTCCAGCGGTGACGAGCTTGCCGAGGGTCGAGAGGAACTCCGCGACCTCTAAACCCTCCTGGGGTACCTTGTGCCTGCGCATTGGACAAGTCACCACGGCGCTCTTACCAGACATTGATACGATGTAGCTGGTAAGAACAGGATGAGGCCCGATCTCTACGAACGTCGCGTTCGGATGCCTCGCCGACAATGACTGGATGGCGCTAGTGAACTGAACAGGACGAAGTGTGCCGTCCCAGAAGTACTGCGCGTTGAACAAACTCTCGAAGTGTTGTCCGGTCAGCGTCGAGTACGTCTCCACTGTAGGCGGCGATACTGGATGACGGGCGAACACATTGCCTACCTCCCTCTCGAACGCGTTACGGCAAAGCTCCATCATCGCCGAGTGGACTGGTACGCGCGTACGCAGCTTGCGCGCGAAGATACCGGCTTCGTTTGCCTTGGCCACGGCAAGGAGAATGTGCGACTCCGCGCCGGAGAGCGTGACCGCGCCAGGGGTGTTGTAACATCCTATCTCTAGCACGCCATCTCCGAGCTCAGCTTTGACTGCAGCGATGATAGAACTCGCCTCTGCGGGAGAGCACGAGAACGCCGCCATGGTACCCTCCGCGGTCTCCACGACCGAGAGAGCCTGACCACGAGCGATCGCAAGCTCCAGCGCTGCGGCCTTGGACGCGGCTCCGCAGGCAGCAAGAACTGCAGTTTCGCCCGCGGAGTGGCCAACGACAATATCAGGAGAGACACCTGCTGCGATTAGAGTATCGAACAGGGCGAGCTGCAGCATCGTCAGGGCCGGCAACATAGTCACGATTGGCCATGGGTCCCCGAGCGGGTCGCTGGATTCATACGGTACGTCGGTGAACAAACCGAGCTCGACGAGCGATGTCCCTGTCGATGCCTTGTAGACCTCATCAAGCTCGAGGATGCTTGAGCGAAAAACGCTGCATGACTTGAATAGATCGCGTCCCACTGTGATGATATGTAATAAGCACCCTGTGGAGACGGACGAAGCCGACAAGTAGATACTCACTATGGTAGTACTGTGTCCCTTGACCAGAGAACACGAACACGATCGGCGGGCGCTTCTTTGGTACTAGGATAGGCTCGGCGAACGTTGCCTGTTTACCCACCTGTACAACTGCCGTACTGCGCCAAGTCATAGACCGCGCACGTCGTCCGAAGATTCTCGCGAGCGCAGCCTTGCCGTCATCGGAAGCAGTCGTAGCATCAATCAAAGCCGATGCAAGCGCTGACGTAGACCGGGGGGATAACCCTCCCGCGACCAGAAGCGCAGGAATCTTCGCGTCCTCGGTCCAGAACACCGTGGGACGTGCAACTTGGAGAGGACGGCCTTCAACTACGCAGTGACCGTTCGCACCTCCGATGCCGGAGCTCGTCATCGCGATCAGAGGGGGTCGGCCCGAGTTCGAAGAACGGCATCTGAGCCGCTCGACTTCGCGGGGAACGCGCAGGCGGTGCTCCGCCCAGTGTATCGCCGGATTTGGATTGATGAGGTTGACGTTGGGCGGTATGAGCCCTGTTTCGAAGATGCCGCAGACTTTGCAAAGAGACGCGAGAAAGGCTGCGATCTCCAAGTGGCTGACGAAGTCGAGCCAGTTAGGTGGGAGCGTGGATTCAGCGACGGAGGAGAACTCACCCTATGTTGCCTTTGACACTGCCCACGAGAAGCTCGTCTTCTCTATGGAAGTTACGACCGACCCAGTTCGCTTCTGAGGGGTCTCCTTGAGCGGTGCCTGCGCCCACATTGTCAGCACGATGAGGCATGTCGGACGGGAGTGGATCATTCCCTACCCGTAGCATGCAGTTCGAGGAAATCGACCTCTTGTGGAAGTCTGTCGGTGTACGAGAAGGCGCGCCTCATCGCGTCTGCCTGAGCTGAAGCAACGGGGGCGTTCACAGGCGCGAGAGAGCCAGAGGAGTTGACCCCTGTGCCGAGGATCTGCACGACGTCAGACTGAGATGTGCATGAGTTACTTGCACTTCAACTTACGGTGGCGTAAATGTGATCATGGTCGTGCACAGCATCCTCGAGAGGCTTCAGCACTATGCATATTACTCCTTCACCGCGACCAAAGCTGAAGATGGTGTCAGCGTGGTCTGTCAGACCGCACGACGTACAAAATTGCTCACCCATTAGCAGACGCGTCGAACGGTTTGCACTTGCCATCCGGCGAAAGCACTCCGCCCTGAGTGTATGTCAACCACTCGGTGAACCTAGCATGGCCGTTGGCGTCAACATAGACTGCTGAGTATGATCAGAAGGTGCGTACCGATGGTTTATCTGACAACCGCCGACGACAGCGGCCTCACACTCTCCGTTACGTAGCGCTTGCACAGCCAGGTGGGTCGCGTACAGACTGGAGCTGCAGGCGGTGTCTATGGGCACGGAAGGGCCCCTCAGGTCCAGATGATACGATACTCGATTGGCGACCATAGATGGTCCGATAGCGAAAGAGCCTTTCGCTTCGGTATCATCCTGCTCCCAGTACGCGTTGATCGTCAGCTAGAGAACCAACGTCAAAGCGCAGCAATGACTCACATGGCCAGAAACGGAGAACTGGTCATGTGCCACGCCGGACATGAAGCACCCAACATTCTTGCCGCGGTAGTCAATGCCCGAATCTTGCAGGCTTAGGAATGACGTCTCCAGCAGCTTGCGCGTGCTGACAGGCATAAGACGTGCATCTCTCGCTGTGATGCCGAACTCGAGAGGGTCGAATGTGTCGATATCTTTGAGGAATGCACCGGTGTCGGTAACGACCTTGCCCACCGAGTTGCCGCGGATACTGTGTACAGAGTCAGCCACTTCCTGTATGGTATAAAATCCTGCTTCGATGTGCCGGACTTACAATTGGGTATTGAAACGTTCTTTAGGTATAGGCTCGTAGGCTTCGCCCCCTTGAAGGAGAAATTGGAAGAACGATGAGTAGTCAAGGTCGGTGCTAGCGAAGGTACCACTGGGAATCTGTGCGGCGACGCCGACCTGACAGTGTCCATTCGTTGAGATATTCCTGCTCCGCACAAGAGGTAGGAGAAACTTACAACTGCTACTTTGAGCGCCCTTGATTTGGAGGACATCGGGAGGGTAGCTGAGCAACGTGCAGGTCGATGACAAAGTATGGATATGGCGAAGGTCTGGAATTGCGACCGCGATTAGGTTTAATGCAGTCGGCGTCCTGACGGTGCTGTGTTCGTCGCTGATGTCGCATTGGCTTTGAGACGACCAATTTTAGGTCATGACGCGAAGTGAAACGCTTCGATCGAGCTGGAGGCGTGCAATGATGCCTCAAGACGATGGGAAGGGCATTGAACCACAATCATATTTGATCATTGAAGCAGTGTTCAGCAGAATGTCTGATATGCAAATGCAATCACGCCGAGAGGATGGGAGTGCGATGAGACGGTGCGGGCGTCTCTAGAGACGACACAGTCACCGTCGGACTTCCTAAGTTCTAGGGTCCTGTCAGAGCTTCGAAATTGAAGCCCGCACTTGTACTTTCTCGCGCAGGGCCCGGAACTCTCAAGGATTTGCTGCCATGTTCGACTGCGCCTTTACCGCATGTGCATACGTGACACGTCCCATTTCATAGTATTTCTGACATATGTTCCCATGCGATCGCATGGCAACGTCTCAGTATCGACCGCTGACTCCACTCCACTAAGCGAGGGGTTTCGCGGCCTCGTCTTCCCCCCATCTCATCAGTTGAACATCAGCAGGCCTTGCCGATGTGGGTCACCGGATACGAAACTCCAGAGGATTCTCAGGAAGATTCTCAGGAATGTTCCAAAGTGAGTCGCCTCGGATCGATCGACATCATTACATATCTTGAGTCCCTGCACGGACAGTAGGGAGAATACACTCATATTCCGAGCCTTTCCAATGGTGCGCCCTCGGATATTCGTCAGTAGGCAGAGCATGTGCGGACGGAACAGCACGAATAGGCATGAGCTGATAGCGATGATCGACATCAAGTACGATCCCCGTTCGCTCCACAGGCTGAAATAGACTCTCCTCGCGAACGGTTGAGAGGAGATCCGAGCTCCTCATTGGTGGGGAACGGGGAGGCGCCGACTCAAAACCGCTTGAGAAATTACATCGTGGCCGTGTGCACGCGCAGCACGCGCTCCGACCACTCCTATACCACGGAGTGCATTCATGCCGAGTTACTTACTTAGCTCCGTCCGAACCGCGCCTTCGACTCGGTTATCTCGCCGGCGGGCCATCAATGTTCGCGTCACCGGCCACGACTGATTTGCGACCAATTGTTCGTTAGCGGCTGGGAGTGGGATTCACATAGGACGTCTTGACATCCAGCCCCAGGATTTGCCTTCTCGCGCCACTCACTTCAACCTCCCAGCGTCGGCCTTGCTGGTAAAGTCGGCTCGCAGCATCCATCCTCCGTCTTCTCCCTCAAGTGAAAACGGAATCATGGCTGATCAGGTCTCTGTGACGTTGCTGTGAGTCTAGAAGGCTCAGATGCCCCGTTTGGGTGACCGATGACTGTGACTGACGGACTTGTGGCTGGTTTGATAGTGCGGGTCCCCAGGTACGTTTGCCGGCTTCCATTGACTTGTTCGCCTCCCTGATGCAAATGTGTATTGTGCGTCCTCTTAGCTTCTCGGCATGTTCTTCAACTGGGGCCTGCAGGGCATCTTGACCGTGCAGGTTTGTGAGTATATTCTTCCGTTGTATCGGGAGGCTGCTCATGTCCTACACGTCCAGATTTTTATTACCTCTTGTTTCCAAAGGATCCGGTCGCTCTGCGATACTTAGGTACGTATATCTTAGGACGCCTTTGCCCCTCGTTCCGCCGTTCAAACGACGCCCAGTCTACGGCATTCTCGCCTATGAATGGGTGCAGACAGGACTCATTACCGAAGTCGCGTTCGACAACTTCGTCTATGGGTACGGGGATCGAAATGTCCTCACTGCGTTCCACAACACATGGTTCAGTGTCACGATCATGTGTTCCATCGTGTCCGGGGTAGTACAGTCCTACTTCGCCTACCGGACATGGGTCCTCGCACGGTCAGTAATCCTCACCTCCGTGATTGCTTTTGTGAGTCCAGTATACTCTTACTCTTGATCACGAGACTTCAGCTGACGGGACTCATGACATCTGCTCAGATTTCCATCGGTCAGATGTGTATTGGTATCGCCGGCGGCGTTATGGTGCGTTCTGGCGGAGTAGTCATCCAGATCGCTACTGACCCACGCACTCAGCTGCACGTAATCGACCCTTCAGCCGCCGCGGCATCATTGGTCACACCGGTCATCTCGGCTTGGCTTGCGTGTGCAGCATTCGCCGACATTGTCATTGCTATCGCAATGACTTGCTTGGTATGTATTGTACTGCTCTCTGTCACTGCTGCGATCGCCACTAATGGCACATGTCATAGCTCTGGCAGGCGAAGAGCGGGATCAAGCATTCGGACAACATGATCAACAAGCTCATTCGGCTGGTCGTCGAGACTGGCACTGTGACCGGTGAGGAGCGCCTTTACGCCTCCTCGGCTGACCCCCTTCTTTGACTGACGTGCCGCCGTCCGTCTAGCTACGGTTGCTATCGCAGACTTGATTTGCTTCACTGCCTTTTCGGTGAGCTCCTCATGCGGTTTTGAGAGATATCCAGCTCCGCTAATACCGAAACGCAGAACACGCTCCTTCACGAATGCCCGTATGTTCTCGGTTACATTTCTTTCACATGACGAGCACGATGATGACGCCTGCCAGGGCCCTCATGCTCGCCAAGCTCTATACGAACACCTTCCTAGCGAGTCTCAACAACCGCTATATCCTGCGCCAATATGTGAACGGCGCCACCGTTGCGGTTGATACTACTGTGTCCAGTAACTCCCTCCCCATGCGCGGCCTAGGCTCTCGCCTGAGCGGTTTCCGACCCGCCGAGCAGAGAAGCGCATTCTCCCAGCAGGGACACATCAGCATCCGAGAGGAGACGTTCGTCGTCCACGATCTTGACGTTTATTCGGAAACAGACGCTAAGGACCGCGGGCTATCGTTCTCCAACAAGAGACAGTCCGAGCAGACCGTCAAGGCTATGGATGGGGCCTACGCTGTGTAGATATGGTACTCCGAGTGCCTTTAGTGATTGTACTTGTGATGAGCTCACGATATTTAAGTATCCTGTTGTACCATACTGTAGCTGCCTTGGGCTAGTATGGGCTCTGCCAGGCTAATGCATGATACCTGTTGGACTTCGTAGCATGATGATCGTCTCCTTGTAGGTACTCATATCTACCATGACGTCGCTCGACACTCGCACCTCGAAGGACAGCGCTACAGTAGCCGGATGATCCGGAGATACCCGACCCTCGAGATGGCCCGATGATGTCAAGGGTCGTCTCCTTGAAGCCTTCCACCTCCGGCATAGTGTCCGTTCCACTCTCATACACAATCCGAACTGACAGAGTCAGGGTTGATACGTTGATGCATGATGACCGCAACAATAGGAGGACTGCGTATGACGAGAAAAATAACACTGAGATTGGCGGTGCGTGCGCTTCGCTCACTTCTGAACATACCACATCATTTCATCTATCGGCGATAGGAATGGAAGGTCCATGCCCTCTACGCGCACCCACCCTCGAACGTATCATCTTACGCCTCTTCATCCTCCTCGTCATGGGATCAGCAGAAACCGCCTGCCGTGAACAGATCATGTTGATGAGTAGAGGCGCCCGAGAATCCATGCGCTGCACATGCGCTGTGAAACAGAGGTGTGTATCAATCGGTGACCGCAGACAGCTTCGAATTGGGCGCCATCCGCATCTCACTGTCAGATGGGGTTCTCAATGCGGGGCAAGTGCGGGAGTAGAAGTCCCGTGGACGGCTTCTAGAGCAGTCCGATAGGGTCGTTTCTGCAGCGTTCTCCACGCTACAGCCCAAGACGGGATGCCTACATCCGACGACTTGCTGAGGTTGACCCTTGGTGAGCAGAACGAACGCGGTTAGCACATCAGATCAGTCCCATACTTCAGGACGTTTTACTTCCCATCGTCACTTAGCCATGTTGGGCATCTCAGCATGATGTTTTCTGCATTGTTCGAGCGCCTGTATATTCTCCCATTTCCGAGCGTCGGTGGGGCGATCGGGGGTCTTGAGACCATCAAAACAGATCAAGGACGGTGTTGGTACGAGAAGGGTGCTGAGATAGCCGGCAGGAGAAGCTACGATGCTGATTGTTTAGGTTGGCCGTGATCGTGCATCCCGAGTGTGGCGGATATGTCAATGCAGCACCCATTACGACACGGACTGCTGGCGCTTCACCAACTTCCGGTCCGCGACCGTTGTCGCGTGGACTCAAGAATACATCGCGGTTACTTGAAGCACCCTCGATACCCCCCCCCACTAGTTGCATTTGAACTTGAAGTTCACAAGTCATCATGGAACAGAAACTCGCCAAAGTAACCGACGTCGCCCAGAAGTCCTTTGACTTTGTGGTAGTGGGTCCGTCCGTCCCCTGCATTCTGTTCACAGATGACATGCTGATGACAGCGTCGTAGGCGGTGGTGTAAGTGGCCTTGATCCAGCGTTCCTGGATATTGTTGTGAACATTCGTGGTTGTGTACCAGGTGTCAGGATGTACTATCGCGTCGAGGTTGTCGGAGAACCCCAACGTTTCGGTCGCACTCTTGGAAGCTGGCAACTCGCACTTCGACGATCCCCTCGTTTGTAAGTGCGCTTGGCTCATCAGACATGTGATTTTCAGCATCGATCCTTGACCCATCTGTAGCTGTGCCCGACGGCTGGATGCAACAGGTATTCGACCCCGAGTACGACTGGGTGTTCCGCACCACCACGCAAGAGAAAGTCGTCAACAATATCACTACTCCCAGTGGTGGTCCAGATAAGAGCTTCTTCTGGTCTCGGTCAGTTTCTCTGGTTCTGCGTGAGGTACCAGATTTGATTTGTTCATCGCATGTTCATCAGAGGGAAGGGCCTGGGCGGCAGCTCTGCTCTCAACTTCCTGTTCTGGACCAGACCTCAGCGTGAAGAGATCGACGGTATGTACAACAACGCGCTACAGTTTCCTTCGTCTCATATCATTCGCAGCTGTGGAAGCGCTCGGAAACCCGGGCTGGAATTGGGAGCGCTATTTTGCGGCGGCGAAGCGAGCCGAGACGTATGCCGTTCTCGTTTCTTTGCTCTTGTCTTGGCTTAGGTCTGTCGTAGCTTCCTTCCGTCACCTGCCAACAACTTCCCGGAGTTCCGTGAACTCTACAACAAGGACTCTGTTGGTCACTCTGGTAAGCTGAGGGTCCGTTATCGTTGATGATACTGTAAACTAACATGTTGCAGGTCCTGTCCCAATCTCGTTCTGCAGGACCGTCTCCGGCGCTGAGCTGTACTTCCAAAAGGTGTGCAGACGTCGTACAACTCCGTGCTGTGACGACAGGGATTGATGCTTCTCTGAATAGGCATTGGAAGCACATGGCGTTAAGACAATCGATGATGGAGTGAGTACGGCTCCAATGGTACCGTTAGTTGGCACATCTCACATTAGTGTCTATCCTTCAAGCTCGGTGGCTCGGTACGTAGCATGTGTTCAACGGACAGTCGACGCCACGTGTTGAACGGAGATACAGCTTACCGGTACCTTCAAAGCTGCCGCGAACATCGATCCTAGGACTGGCACTCGTAGCACCGCCGCGACGGTGAGCCTCGCTCTTTCGTTACGCGAAATTGTTACTCAATGCGATTTAATGTGAAAACACAGGGCTATATCGTCCCAGCTCTTGATCGTCCAAACCTGAAGGTGCTCACCGCCGCGTACGTCAATCGCGTCCTGACCAAAAAGGAGGACGATGATGTCGTCGCTACTGGCGTCGAGTTCGAGCATGGCGGAAACGTGCACGTTGTCCATGCTGCCAAAGAAGTGATCCTGTGCGCGAGGTAAGGGGGAACACGTTACGCTCGAAGCCCTATCATTTCTCATTGAGACCCTTGGCAGCACGGTCAAGTCCCCACATATCCTCGAGCTGAGCGGTATCGGAAATCGCAATGTATTGGAACCTCTCGGCATCCCGGTACAGGTTGACCTTCCTTCTGTTGGCGAGAACCTGCAAGATCACCTCATCTTCACAAGCTGCGTCTTCAGTACGTACAACACTCCTCATTTCAAATAGATCCTGAGATACGATAACTCCGCAGAGATGAAGGAGGAGCACGGCTTCGTTACAAGCGAGACCATTACGTTGCCAGAAGTACAGACAAAGCTCCGGAGCATCTAGTACGTACGCACCATAAGACCCTGCCACATGCGCTGACCTCCGGGCGTAGCGGAGAAGCAGCTGGCCCCCTTTCACTCGCTTGCACCGGCGTCACCTTCCTCCCGCTCCACACGTTCTCCGATCGGGCGGACGAGCTGATCGAGAAGGTCGAGAAGAGGATCGAGCAGAACGCGGACAAACTGCCGCCGGGTTTGAAGGAGCAGTACGAGCAGCAGCTGAAGTTGCTCAAAGACAAGAACGTGCCCGACCTCGAGATTGTCGTCTTCCCCGTCAACGTGCATCCTGCAGGTGAGTCTTCCACACCATGGGGCCGGATACCCAGTTGTGCTCAGCGCGTGTCAGGTCCTCCGAAACCGCACATCGGCCTCCTTCCCTCGATCGGTCACCCATTCTCTCGGGGAACCATTGTTCGTCGCGTTTTCTTCTTCATGTCATGCATGCGGAACTGACGCTGCCCGCTTCAGCACGCCAGCTCGAGTGACCCCAAGGTCCAGCCAACGATCGAGCCGAACTACCTCGCGGAAGAGATTGACATCGACATTCTGGTTGAGTCCGCGAAGTTCATCCGGAAGGTTACGCAGGATGGGCCTTGGAAGGATGTCAGCGAAGCGGAGCTGATTCCTGGCGCCAATGTCACCACGGACGAGCAGCTGCACGGTACGGAGAAAGCCTCTTGAATTACTGGGTCTATTACTGACACGAGTACGTTCGAGTAGAGTTCGTCAAGACGAACGTCTCTACTACTTGGCGTATGAAGTTACTGCTCCTGTTTACAGGAAACCTTGTTGACACGGTTGCAATTGTAGATTCGTCAGGCACGTGCTCGCTCGCGCCGAAGGAGAAGGGTGGTGTGGTCGACACCCACTTGAAGGCATGTCTTACCTCGACCTTCGTCTTAACTACACATTAACACGTCAAGCAGGTGTACGGCACGAAGAACATTCGCGTCGCTGACCTGTCTATTCTTCCTCTCCTTACTGTCGTCCATACGCAAGGTACGGCCTGTCATATCTGGTAGCGAGGCGTCATTCTGATGAAACTCGGATCCTCTAGCCACTACCTATGGCATCGCAGAACAAGGTATGTCACTGATACAGTACACAGGCTCTGTCCTAACGTGTTGTGTAGCTGCCGACATCATTAAAGCGGACCATGGCATCTAATGGAGCATGATCAATAGGTAGTTCGCCTTCCACCAAGAACGCTGCATGCATGATAGAGCAAGTAGCGTGTTTCATGTGTCATGTAGAATGTGTACGACGATTGTATCTGTATTGTTCTTCGGAGCAAGCTCGTCGCTATATTGCGTATCGTGATCATGCTTGTCTCACCCACCCGTATATCCCTCAAGGCATCCGACTTGGCTTGCCCATCTTGAATACAGGTCTTAAGTTTGGATGTTAAGGTCTCGGTGCATTGAACACAAGACGGAAACACGGGCATTCGAGATTTCCGTCTGAACAGCAGGTATGGCTTTGATGAAAGAAATCGAGGGAAAGGGCCTCCATAGGAAAATGTACTCGGGACTGTCTAAATGGTGCACCGGTGAGGACCCGCCGACGCACTTCATGTCGCTCCACATTGCTCACAAGCACCCACGGCGGCATGTGTCCATCCACTCAGCCGACATACCATGCATCACAATGTGATCCACCTTCCACTATCGCTTCGCCTCTCTATCCGAGCTGACGGTGAGCGAGCATGAGTCCAAGCCTGCATGCTCAGGATAGAGCATCGGTCTGTATGCACGCTGGCCCCAGTCAGTATCTACCAAGAGAATACTTTCACTCGTTACGCACTCTACATTCGGAAGATTATGACGACACAAATGGGCGCAGTCCATGGGTATGACCCGTCGCGGACTCGCTTACGGGGGATGGCCTAATTGGAAACCAGGATATAACGAATGAAGACGCCGAGGCATAGACAAGGAGGGCGAAGGGACGACCAGGACCCGATTCCCCGATTTGGTCTACTAGACGCTTGATTACATCATCGCAGCAGGCTGCGACTCGGAGTACTCTGCGCTCCTCCGAGCCGTACACAAAACCTAATCCCCCGTTTCCCCCTGCCCTCCCGCTGATATTAACACCGCAGGCTTAAGAGAGCGGCGTTGTTTTTGACTTCCGTCTTTTTTTCTGGGGACCAACCCGTGATCTCATGAACATCCGGTCATGAGGCGGCGCGCTTGTCTAAGAGTTCTTGAGGCTATCTAACGTGAGTGGCTTTCGCGCTGTATAGCTGAGATAGTATAAACATCGCAGCTTGTCACAGATCCGATTTAATGCCTGTCTAGTGCCGTTTGCGTATGTGCCAACCTCATGAGGACCGTTCCACCGCAAATGAACGATCGCGCTCGTGTAAGAAGTCGACACTTGTTCTTAGGACGAAAGCTCCTCTAGGCCCGCCTATCTCAATGTAAACGCTGGTGCGGGGAGGAGCTCCTTTAACTCGTACCACCACCAGCGACGACTTTGCCACGGTCGTCAGCCAATAGGAGCGGGCTACGCCGTGCGGTCAGTTCTCTCTCTGGGCGACGCACTAGTTTATATCGAACGCTATACACATACTAATAGCAGAATGCCGCTGGAACCTGTCAGACGAGGAGGAACAGCATCGCCACAAGTTACCTCGCGGTCGAAGAAGACGTCGGCGCCAGTACCGGCGGGCGCACCGCCCGCAAGGCAGATGCGGCCCCCAACCGAAGACACATTTACGGCAGCGTATGGGAAGATCAAGACGATAGAAGACGCTCTGAGTGTGTTGCGCAGGCATGAGATGGTACCCGCAGCAGGAGACCCTACGGCTGAAGGACTAATTACCGGGCTTCTGCACGTGGGAGTAGCCCTAGTGGGCAAGAACGAGTGGGCGGCGGAATGCTGCATTGGGCT